TGGACCAGAGCCTAAGAGCAGCACAACATCTACTTGTAGCCGACTGACATATGTTCCGCTTGTTCACTGAAATCATTGTGCTGGCTTTTGTCAAGCCCGTCTGGTGGAATCGTGCCCCAGAAGATGCCACACAAATACTGTATTCGCCCAAGCTAAGCAGGCAACATCCTTAGCATCCCCACGCGCGATGGGGAATTTAGCCCACGGAGCCTGGTGCCATGAAAGGGTCGGAGGATTTGTCCATGTCCGTAGAAGTTGGAGCAAGTTTTGAAGCCGGGCATGCGGGTAAGCTCGGAGACATGTCCCATCCTGAATTTCAGAGGCAACACGATCACAGGTTTCATTGTCGCATGTTTGAAGTGGTGCTCCTCTCTTAGTGTAGGAGCATAGAGAGACATGGCTGTCTCTTCTGGGTGCCATATTGCCGAGAATGTTTGATTCTCCCAAAAGAGACCAGACGATGGACATTTCTTTCCCAAGTTTTCCAGGGCAACTCGGGTCCCAGACACCCTAGAGCGTTGCGAGGTGAGGCTCCGGTGTCTGCCCGGCCCGGGTGCCAACTTGCGCGGAGATGCCCAAGCCATGGAAAAAGAAAAGAACCCATTACTTGGTGGTACTGTGGATGGACGTCTGGTCCACTTGGCACCAGTTGGAAGGCGGTTGATCATAGTATTAGCCCACAGAGTTTCATACACACAGCTGCAGGATTTTGCCCTGGACCGCGTGAGATTAGGGTTGCCAAGTGACCTATTTTGCCACGGCATGGGTAAGTGCCAAAATAGGGATTTGGGCCCTTTTTTTTTTTTTTTTAAAGTTTCTCTCTAAACCAAGGTGGAAAGGGCAAACTCAGTTTTAGCCCATGGCCCTTTGGTGGACGGTTTCTCACAACTAAGCAATGAATCCTGGTTGAACGAATAAACTGGGGGTTCAGGTATGGGTTTGTAGATGGGTTAAAAAATGGGTTCATATATGGTCAGCCTTTGTCTGGCCTTCTCACACCCACCGACGTTGCTGTGAAAATCGGGCGAGGCAAACGGAGGCCCTCGCCAACAGCAGTCTCAGAGGCAGCAGTCTCAGAAGAGGAGCTTGGTATTGCCCGCGCGGGTCGGGTTTCTCTGCTCGACGTATGGAAGGGGGGGTATACCCGATACTGGACCCTTCCTCTTTCTCCCATTGTGGGTACCCGGAGAAATAGGGGGAGGTGTCTTGACCCAACAATTTTTCTCCTGGAGGGGATTTTTCTTCGCGAGAGTCCGCGAGGATCGTCCCCTGGTGCGCGCAAACGCGCCAAGGACGAGGTGGGATTTTGCCATGTGAGGAGACAGCCAGTGCCTGTTTTCGTTGGGAACGTCATGGAGGTGTGCCCCAAAAATGGGGCTGGGGTTTAGACGGAACGCCTCCCAACTTCAGGGGGGGGGGGGCATCTTTTGGAATCGCCCATTGGGACTTTGCTCTTGTCTCCTCTTTCGGACAGCTGCCTTTGGATGTCGCCTCTCGGGGCAAGAGCTTTTTGGGACGAAGAGACGCGTGAGTGGCAAGGAAAGGCCCTCCCCCCTCCCTCCCCGAAATGGTCAGGTTTTGATGGACGCGGCGAGCTAAAGAACGAGAACCTCAGATCCTTTCGAGCTGCAAGACCACCCCCTGAGCCCATTGGTCTGCAGGTGGAGGAGAAGCTGGGGGAGTATTTGATCAACTCTCCCCACTGCAAGCTGGAATTCTGCAGGCGAAATGGATCCGCGGAATAGACAGCAGTCGAAATGTACAGTTGGTGTGGCTTTTTTGAGGGTACCCTTCTCATCTTGGATTAACGGGAAGCCAGACGCACAAAGAGCAGTTTGGGGGTTTACTCTTGGAGACACACCCATGGGAACATTTGAGTCCCCTCTGAATCTTGGGCTCTTACTGGGATTCCTAACTGAACCTTACATGTGATGTGATTTTTTGCGATGGGCTTAGTTTAGCGGGAAAATACAAGGACACCCTTCATTTTGGGTTCCCCGACATGTTCAAGTTTGTGCGTTTGATTGGAATACCCCCCCAAAAAAAACCACCTGGAATTCGAATCTCCAGGAATCGGGGTGTCGAATCGGGGTGTCGAATCGGTCTGGGGGGGAACCCCCAAGACGTGGTCCACTAAGGCCCGCTTTTCGAGTGGGTTCTTAGTTTCAAGACTTCAACCCAGAGGTGTCCCTACAAAGTGCCCTCTGCCCGATGCAGGTTGAACCAGGGCTGGCGGTGCCGGCCTGTTGATCGAGAGACCCGAAGCCAGGGTTTGAGACTCAAAGAACCAACAGACCAGGAGGTGTCCCTAAAATCTTGAGAAACGTCGGCGATTTGTTTGTTTGGCTCCCGGCGATTTTAAGCGAAAAGGTTTGGGCCCGCGGTTTTGATGAGTTTCCTTTCGCAGGGGTGATGCTTTAAGGCGGAATTATGGGCAAATGGAACGCTCCGGTTCGAACGCGAGAATGCGTCTCCACCAAGAGCTCAAGCTGCATCACGCCGTTAAGCCGCTTGCCAGGTATCAGTACCGGCACATCACTGACAGCTCAGTTCAGCCAAAGTGTCTGGAGGCAGGGCAATGCCAAACGCGGAGTACACGCTAGGACGGTAGCTTGAGGCACAGCATTGAGGTTAAGAGATAGGGTGATTCCAAGGAGTCGCGGCTCGAGCGGCCACACGGTTCGAAACACGGACTCAGTATCCTTGTTGGGCCAGATGTCCATTGTCAACGGCAAGCTGATGGTGAAGCTGGAGCCGACCTCCCACGATCGTGGCTGGAGCGCAACCGGGCGATGGACGAAGTTGTGAAAGCCATCCTACCGTGTTCTCTGCCATGAGTGATTTTCAAGGACCCCTACCTCCAGGAATTGTTCAGCGATTGAGTTTCAGGTTTGGCACGAAGAGTGCGTGTGTTCCCGTGTGCCCGTGTGCTTGCGTGTGTGTGTGTGTGTGTGTGCGCGCTCTGGGCAAGCTCACACAAAGCCGACCAAGTATATTCTCTGTATGTTGACCGTTGCTCGTGTGGTGTGTGTGTGTGTTGTGTTGTGTGTTGTGTCGTGTCGTGTCGTGTCGTGTCATGTCGTGTCGTGTCGTGTCGTGTCGTGTCGTGTCGTGTCGTGGTGTGGTGTGGTGTGGTGTGTGTGTGTGTGTGCGTTTGTGCACGCATGCTTGCTGGCTGGCTTGCTTGGCTTGCTCGGCTTGCTTGCTTGGCTTGCTTGGCTTGCTTGGCTTGCTTGGCTTACTTGGCTTGCTTGGCTTGCTTGGCTTGCTTGGCTTGCTTGGCTTGCTTGGCTTGCTTGGCTTGCTTGGCTTGCTTGCTTGCTTTTGATTGCTTCATTGTTGGTTGATTGTTTCTTTGTTTCATTGTGTATTTCTCATTCAGGACAGGTCGTGGCATCCCTCTAGAAAATCCATGCAAGGTTTCAAGACCAGTGAACGCAGGCATGTTCAACCTCGATGCAGAGCTGTTCAAGGTTTTAAAAGGGAACTGCACTTGCGCTGTCAGGATCGTTTAAGCGATCTTCGTTTGTCTTCGTTTGGTGCTCCAGTCCGGCGGGCTCCGCATTCCGCAGCTTGACACTCAAACTGGGGATAAACAAACACGCGCTAAGTTGCTGAGAGAGAGGTCACAGCCCTCCTCTTCAAACACCGAGCCCACGTGCTGAGTTCACTGCAAGTGGCCAGCCCGTTCCTGGAAGCGGTGCATCTCCCGTGGGGCAGCGGCTGAAGCTGCAAATGTCAGCATGGTAGCCTTGACCTTCGGAGATGAGATCGGATATGGGCCCGATGCTGAGCATTTTTTTTATCTCTTTGCCTCGGCATTCGACGCCACACGTTTGTTTGTTCGCTTCTGTCTTCGTGGACTTGCACATTGCACGACCTTGCCCTGTCGTCATGGTGCTGAGTTCTGTCCTGTCTACGGTGTTTAAGCGAGTGGTTTGATACATAGCCCATACATTTGAGGAAGCTAATGGAGTCGGCTGTGAAATCTCTGGTTCTTCAATTGTGACTCGATCAGTTCGGGCTGCAATTATCTTAGCCTGGGCTCCGCAGAATAGCTGGAAGCGATTAATGCTCAGCTGACTTAGCTTCACTGCATCCCAAGAGCTTCAAACAGTTTCAAGCAATCCCCAAATTGAGATGAAACCCGAGAGGGTCCATTTCTCGACAGCTTCCAGCACTCTCCTTTAGTTAGGCAAACCAACAAAACACATCTCGTCGCCTGGGACCCGTCAGAAATTCCCCTTTGCCGTAGGCCGGTCTTTCGGTGGCTCAACACGGTGTCTTCGGCACTCTCCGTGGCTGGCTGCTTGGTGGTGCCAGCCTCAGATCGTCGATCTGAATTCGGATGGAAGCCGAAGGGACCATAGGACCGGGACCCGTCAAAATTTCTGAGATTTGAGAGTTACACAGAACCTCCGCGCACGGGGGAAAGCGGGGGAAAGCGCTTGAGTCCGTTGAGAAAGCTCGCTCTCATGAGGGAACCCATGGTCCCATTGCAACCCTTCAAGCCGTATCCTTGGTTCGCACAGACGAACGAGTGGAAAAAGGTCACATCGAGTCACCCATGTAGCGGAATATAGGCAGTCAGCTCGGTCAGACGCTGCTTCCTTTGAAGCGGAGGTTTCCCAGACACGTCAGGTGATCGGCGCCTTCCTCGCCTTCCCCGCCCTGAGGTGGGAACTCAAACTCAGTTGTTCAGTGGCGCCCTTGTCCCCCGTTTTTTGGTGGCTGCCCCACTAAAAATGGTCCTTCCCCAAAAGGGTTCCTTTTTTTTCTTCTTTTTCTCCAGGGTCACTGAACAACTGAGCAAAGTCTCCTTCCAGTTGTCAACCGCAGGGGAGGGGACCCCGTATAAGGAATTTGTTGGAATCAATGGATTTGTTCCCGTCGCTTGCACCAAACAGCCATTGAACCCAATTTCGGAACCCATGTTTCAGAGCCCGTTCAATGGGCCAAAGCATGGGCATGAGGCTCGTTTCATGCACCTCATGCGCGCCATGGTAAGGCACCTGCTTCGGTCGCGGACACTTTAAGATTTTAGAGAAATGTCAAGCCCCGTTAGTAAGTCATATATATATATATATATGTCGTTTTTTGGGGGGTGGGGGGGTGGGGTGGGGTTGCTTTGAGAAGGGTGCTCCGGATTAATCCGAAGTGAACATGATGCGCAGCCAGGCGGTACTTTGCACGGCTGGTACTGTACTTGGCCATCAGCGACCTCTGGCTGTGTACCTCTTTCCTCATGGGCGGCTGCCTCGGCTATCGGTCGGGCGACGCATTTTGTTTGAAGAGGCCTTTTTTTTTCCCGACTCGCATCGTTTGGGGCCCAGAAACCAAAAGACCAAACAGAGGTCCAAAAGCAGGTTAGGGGTTGGAAATTCAGGCTTCCCATTTGGAATGAGGCATGATAGATACGACTGGAACTGCCAAAAGGCTAGACTCGTGATTCAACGAATGGAACAATGCCATCCACAGCAAGTTTCTCCGTACAGGTAGCAAAAGCCATGGGATGCCCTGGAGCATGTTACCAAATCAGTAAGACACTCGAATTCCCTCGCCATTTGTCAGACATTGTCTCAGTTGCCCAAAGCCGACCTTTTGACCTTTTGGTTTTCTCGTTTTGGTCCATTTTTAGTGAAGGTGCCAAAAGGTTAACCTTTTATTTCTGGGTCCTTTGGGCAAGTAAGTTGTTGTTGAGGGCTGACTTCCTTTTTCGTTTCGCTGCGCTGCGACACTCCTCGCTTCTGGCCCTGGGGCACAGGCGAGCATCAATTTCCGATCCGCCTTGCGCGGGCTCCTGAGGCGAGTTTGAGAGCCCGCACTACACCAAGTGCACCATCCAGTCCATGCTAGGCACGAGTGACAGAAGTGTTGCACGGAGAACCGGCGAACCGGCGGCAAAATAGGGTTCCCAGCTAGGAAGAGCTAAAACCAACATCTGAGGTCCGCTGGGTCCGTCTTGAACCACTCCCATCATCAAAGTAACTCACTTCCGAATTTTAGAGTTTTTGGGAAGGCCGCTTTAGTGGACAGGAAGTTTAGACTCTGTGGGCCAATCCACTCAGGAAGTGAGGCCCGGTTTCTCCTTTCGCTGGACAGGCATCTTCTTTGGCTTGTCCTCCGTCCTATGGACCGTGGCGATTGCGGACTCCATACGCCGACAGGGTCCTAGCTTGTTTCAGAGCAAGCGCCTCATTTGTGCCATGGTCAAAGATCTGCTTACTCGGGGTTGGTATGGGTGAAGTCAACGCCTTGATAGGGATTTTAGCCAAGATTCTAAGAGTTTTTATTTTACTCCCAAACGGCAAATTCGCATCTAGTGGCTTGGTGATGTATGGGTCATGTTGATCTGGCCTTCAACAGCCACTCTCCTGAGAAGGGATACTGTTTGCACAATCCACACCGATCGGCGCCGATCGCTGGCTTCATCCATTTGCACCGATCGGCGCTGATCGGTGCGCGCCTAGGCATCGTCATGGCCCAGGACCTCACAGTGGAAAGCCGGCCTGGGGCGCAGATCCGCAGATCCGCAGATCCGCAGATCCGCAGATCGCAGGCCGCGTTTCATGTGGTCAAACGGCCGGTTCCTTTACTTGGGGTAGGGATGATCAGCATCGGTATGTCACTCGCCAATAATCTCTGGGAGTTTCTCAAGGTGGTCCCAATCCTCACTGAAATAGCTAGAATGGGTGGTGCACCTACCCCAAAATGGTACAATTTTGTTTTGACCCACAGCCATTTGTTTGCTTGCCAGCGTACTGAAGGCACGAGAAGCGGCTGCACATCCTTGCGTGGGGACTGGCGCTGAGGAGGTGTGCTTGTTGTTTGGCGTTCATTTTGTCCGTATGGGTACGTGTCAAAGTAGGGGACCAGAAAAATGGTGGTTGTCCTCCTGATTCTCCTTGAAACCAAGCTGGAAAGGGTAGTTTCTCATCTGCAGCTCGTCTCTCAGCTTGCGATCAACCAGCGGGCCTATGATTCACCTGGTGTCAAAAATAATATGGCAACCCCTGAGCAGGCGTTTGCCTGTTAAGACCAAACCCGCCTGAGGCCTGCCGCTGCTGTCGGTGTTTGCCGTGTTGCTGCTGGGCGCGCAGGGGCAGAGCGGCATGGTGTGCTGGACGGGGCACTCTGAGTGAGTGGCGAGCTGACCGTGCTTGGCCTGGCTGAGCCACGGGGCAGTTGGAAGCAGCCTTGAGCAGGTGGCATTTTCCGCAGGCATCGAGGGCCCTTCAAGGGTTCAGCATTTTAGCCGCTGTATGAAAGAAGTCTTGCACCATCTTTGCCGTGGGCCAGGATTGAAAACTCGGCACTGGGAACTGTCCTGCGCCGCTTGGCAAGCCGGTCATGTGCGGGAGATGCCAACCGCGACAGTCTTCCTGCCCAAAATTGACCTGATTAATCAACGCCCACTTATTCAGTGGGGATTCGTTTCTTCCAGGGGAACCTCCCTGGTTTGTGGCCGTGTGAATCAGGGGTCATGATCAATCCTTGCTATGCAGCTCGAGACCTGAGGCCTTGCGACATTCTACCTGCCTTTGTGGCTCGCCATCGCCTATTCGCTTTGGGCGCCTTGGCGAGAGATCTGGATTCGGGTCCCAGCATTCAATTGGGGATCACAGCTAAGGAATCCACCAAGTTCTACTGACATTTGGTTCGGGGCTGAAGTGTGTGTGTGTGTGTTGGTGTGTGTGTCTCTGGCTTTACTAAGATTACCTTGTTCGACCATTTGAGGTTGGTTGAGGGAAACCGGAAAGTCACCATTAGGTTCGGCTCATGCGGAATTCAATATCTTGGATGAGGTTCCCGTTGCCCAAGAAGGTAATGTATGTCTCTGCCAAGTTGCCAGCTGGGACCTGTTTGAGGAGATCTGCCCGCTTTTGTAGAGTTCCACAAAGGGTACTTTACTTTTGGCAGCTTTGCACAAGTCATGCTAGAAGCAACAGTACAAACCACAGCGCACTTTCCCTTTCCAGGTCCCCCTTGTTGCTGGGTCTGGGACCCAAAAGCAATTTCGCGAACCCTAAATATGCCGGCCCACTTTCAGCTGGACCCAGTAACCAACCAACCGACCGACCGACCGACCGACCGACCGACCGACCGACCGACCGACCGACCGACCGACCGACTGACCAACCGACCGATCGACCAACCGACGGACATCTGCTTTGCCATCGGGCCGAGGTCTACTGGTGCGTTTCCCAACGGCTGAGCCAGCTGCTGGAACAAGCATCCTCCAGAGCCATGCCTGATGTTGGCTGTTGCTCGTTGGCGTCTGCGTTTTTCCCCCTAGTATCATTAAATATATATATATATACACACACATTGTTTTAAACGGAGCTTGTTTGAAGGCTATTGCAAAAGGGTCCCACAGCATCCGCATGGTTCGTTTGAGTGGGTCTCTTGAAGTGAACGTTTTGCGGGACCCGTTCTCAAAGTCAGTGTTGAGTCCTGGTGGGGAGCCCCTTTTAAACCACCGCTTAGAGGGAAAGGTCTCCTAAATGTGGTTGACCATTTAAGGGCCCCAGGGGGGAGGCCCTTTCGCGGGCCACGAACAAGGCAAGGGCCAGGTGCACATTTTGCACGATTTTGCATGATTCTGCATGTGTTTGCTTGATAGGAACCATATGTCACGGGATGTTTTTGAGAATGCGTTCGCCCCCCAAACCGATTCGGTGTCCCCCTGATTGCACTCCCTCTTGCACCCTGTTTCTCGAGGACGCACAGGTGAGAACAATGAGCTGCTGGAGCATCGGGGGTTTTCCACACCCCCTCTTGCGCCCCTCTTGCACCCTGTTTTTTGCTTGACTTCGCCTGTTTTTGCATGATTTCGCCTGCTTCTGCATGCTTTTTGCATGATTTTGAACAAACGGCAACTCGGTTGAAATCGTTTAGGTGTCGGAGCACTTTCAGCAAGCTTGCCCCGCGCATTTTGAGGCGAGATTCTGCGGCCTGAGCGCGTATCTCCCACAGGCAATGTCTCAAGAACAATGCTGGATTAGCTGGATCACTGAAATGGCTGTGGCTTAATATTGAACAGATGGGGCTGCGCAGGTTTTAGTCCTTGGTTCCATTTGGCCAGGTGCCATGTTGTTACATGTGTCGCACAGGTTCCCCCCTTGAAGACCAATCGGCTGATGTCTGGCCGCTCGTTCGCGTCCATCCCGTGGATGACTTGAAGCTCCTCGAATGGCGCGGCTGCTGCGCCGGGTAGCGCCTTGGCCTCTGGCGTTTGTCAGCTGGCAGGGAGGGCGCGCAGCTTGTGGCGAAGCAGGCTGCAGGAGGAACGCGCAGACCCGGAGCGCATTCTGCGCGAAGAATGCTGGAAGTGTCAAGAGGAACGGCGCTCAAAGGCACTAGTTGCTATGACAGAGGACGATGCTCGCTTCCGAGAGGACTTCAACCAGTCGACGTGCATTTTCGCCACCAACACTGTGAAATACAACGTGAACCGCAAACGCGCGCGCAAATTCGCAACGGAAGCGCGACAGCGGCTCTACTACGCCATTGCGGAAGATCGCGCCTCGACCGAAATCCTAGCAGCAAAGCCCCATCTGGACGAAGATAAGGTGAAATTGCTGCAGCGCCACGACTGCGAAGCCGGAGACCTCTACGGCGCATTGTCGCAGGCGAGTCTGCGGCTGGACGCACGAAGTCCGTGACGTCCAGCCAAGCAAAGCGGACGGAGAAGCCCGCTTCTGGACGAAACTGCCTGCAGCAGTATTCGTGCGATTCCGAAGCAAGCGACTGTGGCGTGTACAGGGTATGGGAAACGATTGCATCCCCCCAGTAGCACCCGTTGGCGGCGTGTGGCACCTAGACCAGCGTCGGAAAAACTCAAGGTGTCGCGGAGACAGCTCCCACTGCGTCCGCGCTTTGCTATCACCGCTCACGCAGCGCAGAGCCTCACCGTGCGAGAAGGCGCCGTTGCAGACATCGACGACCCCTGGACTTGTTACGTTGCCGTAACGCGCGTGGAAGGTTGAGAGCGCCTGCTGATATTTTGCCCCTTTGCCTTAGCGCCATTCCAGCGTGGGGGCGATTTCGGGCGAAACCTGCTGCTCCGTGTGTGGAGAGGAGAAGCGATAGACTGGGAGCAAATCCGAGCAGAGTATATTATTGAAAAGGCATGCTGCGAGTGTCGAGAACGCAAGGAGTTGCGCGGGCGCACGGCAGGTCAATGGAAGCGTGATGATGCGAGTCGCGTCTGTAAAGAATGCGTAGGCAGGCACGAGCATGGTCATCCGTGGCAGTGCCATTTTTGCAAGTGCTGGCAGCCCACCACCACCTTCTACGGAAATGGCAAAGCAACGGAGCATCACTACTGCGTGTGTCTGAATTGTAAGGAAACGACGCGATGCCAGAAGTGCGGGGAACTGAAGGAAGAGGCAGACTTTAGCGCGGCCGCGTGGCGCATCCGCCACCAATGCCGACGCACGCAGTCGCAAAGAACGAGGCTGTTGGACATGCGCAAGCTGCGCCACCTCGCGACCTAAGCGGTGCTTTGCGCGACACGCGTGACGGCAACACGGCGTCCAGGACGGGAAACAGACGTGCGACGTGTGTTTGGCAGAGGCGGACTTGAAACAAATTGCTACTAGAGGCAAGGTGCGACTAGCAAGAACACGGGCAAAACGAAAGCAGCAGATTCTTGCAGCGGTCTGGCGTCAGGTTGGCGAAATGCGAAGGACGCGCACTTGCAGGAAAGATCTTACTGGCTAGCCCGAGCAAGACTGCGGCGGCAGGAAACCATGCCATCACGAGCGCCACAGTAACGATACCGGCGCGAAGCTGCGCAGGCCTCTACGTGAAGATGTTCGTATGTGCGAAGATGACTGCCAGCAACTCAGCGGGAGTGATGATGATGATGATGACGATGATGATGAGGATGATGATAAAGATGATTTGTGGTTTTGGCTGAAGGATGGTGATGATGATGATGATGATGATGACTGTGATGATAACTATCATCGTAGCACCCTCTGCATCACCAATGCTGCCTAATAAGGGATGATGATGACCATGAGGATACTGCTGATAAGGATGAAGACTGTGATGACAACTATTATTGTAGCATCCTCTGCATCACCAATGCTGCCAAATAAGAGATGATGATGACCACTTTGACAATGATGAGAAGGATGAGGACTGTGATGATAACTATCATCGCAGCCTCTGCATCACCAATGGTGCCCAACACACACCAGCAGTCGTGAGACAGCTGGTGTGTTGTCAACCATGTTGGCGATGCTAGCCCGCCCCATCCGATCCCTTCCGCAAGTGGTCGGACGGGTTGAGTTTCTGCTTCTGCTGATGCTGATGGTGTTAGCGCTGCCGGGTGCTGGCGATGCTGGCGATGCTGGCGATGCTAGACCGCCCCCTTCCGCAAGGGGTCGGATGGGTTGGATTTCTGCTTCTGGGGATGCTGATGGTGTTAGCGCTGCTGGCGATGCTGGCCAACCAGTATCACCGACAACACCCCCAGCAGCGCCAGCACCACCAGCGTCACCAGCTTCCGCCAGCATCATCGTAGCACCATCTGCATTACCAATGCTGCCTCATAAGAGATGCTGATGATGACCATGAGGATGATGATAAGGATGATGACGATGATGATAAGGATGATGATCCATTCGACCACTTCCGCAAGTGGCGACCCAGCATCATCGTAGCATCATCTGCATTACCAATGCTGCCTCATAAGAGATGATGATGACCATGATGATAATGATGATAAGGGTCAGGATTGTGATAACAACTAGCATCCTCTGCATCACCAATGGTGCCTAACGCCACACTGGAAACGTATATAAGAATAAGAAAGAGATGATGATGACCATCATGATGATGATGATGCGAAGGTGATGGTGATGACCGTCATCATGATGATGATAAGGATAAAGATGATGATGACTGTGATGATAACTTTCATTGTAGCATCCTCTGCATCACCAATGCTGCCCAATAAGGGATGATGATGACCATAAAGATAATAACAATAAGGATGAAGACTGTGATGATACTTATTATCGTAGCATCGTCTGCATTACCAATGCTGCCTCATAAGAGATGATGATGACCATGATGATATTGATGATAAGGATGAGGATTGTGATAACAACTAGCATCCTCTGCATCACCAACGAACGGTGCCTAACGCCACACTTGAAACGTATATAAGAATACGAAAGACATGATGATGACCATTATGATGATGATGATGAGAAGGGTGATGATGATGATGATGATGATGATGATGATGACTGTGCTGGTAGCTTTCATTGTAGCATCCTCTGCGTCACCAATGCTGCCTAATAAGGGATGATGATGACCAAAAGATAATGACAATAAGGATGAAGACTGTGATGACACCTATTATCGTAGCATCGTCTGCATTACCAATGCTGCCTCATAAGAGATGATGATGACCATGATGATATGGATGATAAGGATGAGGATATCACTATCATCGCAGCATCCTCTGCATCACCAACGGTGCCTGACGCCACACTTGAAACGCATATAAGAATAAGAAAGAGATGATGATGACCATCATGATGATGATGAGAAGGGTGATGATGATGATGATGATGCCCGCCATCGTGATGATGGTATGGATGATGATGATGATGATGACTGTGATGATCACTAAATGAGGTTTGTGATCATAGCACTTGAGACATCTATAAGAATAAGAAAGAGATGATGATGACCATCAGGATGATGATGAGAAGGGTGCTGATGATGATGAAGATGATCATCATCATGAGGATGGTGATGATGATGACTGTGATGATAGCTATCATCGTGGCATCCTCTGCATCACCAATGCTGCCTTTTAAGGGATGATGATGACCATGAGGATAATGAAGAGAAGGATGTTGACTGCGATGATAACTATCATCGTAGCACCGTCTGCATTACCAATGCTGCCTCATAAGAGATGATGATGACCATGATGATAATGATGATAGCTATCATCGTAGCATCCTTTGCATCACCAATGTTGTCTAACGCCACACTTGAAACGTATACAAGAAAAATAAGAAAGAGATGCTGATGACCATCGTGATGATGATGAGAAGGGTGATGACACCATCATGATGATGATAAGCATCGTAGCATCCTCTGCATCACCAATGCTGCCTCATAAGGCATGATGATGACCATGAATACAAGGGTGAAGACTGTGATGATAATTATTATCGTAGCTTCGTCTGCAGTACCAATGCTGCCTCAGAAGAGATGATGATAACCATGATGATAATGTGATAAGGATGAGGATTGTGATGATAACTATCATCGCAGCATCCTCTGCATCACCAATGGTGCGGATGACCATCATAATGATGATGAAACGGGTGATGATGATGATGATGATGCCCACCATCGTGATGATGATAAGGATGATGATGATGCTGACTGTGATGATAACTATCATCGTAGCATCCTCGACGTTCCCAACGCTATCTCATAAGAGATGATGATGATAAGGGTGATGACTATGATGATAAGGATGATGACTGCGATGATAGCTCTCATCGTAGCATTGTGTGCATTACCAGTGCTGCCTCATCAGAGAAGATGATGATGACCCTGATGATAATGATGATCAGGATGAGGGTTGTGATGATAACTATCATTGTAGCATCCTCTGTATCACCAATGCTGCCTAACACGGGATGATGATGATGACCATGAGGATAATGATGATAAGGATGAAGACTGTGATGACAAATGTTATTGTAGCATCCTGTGCACCACCAATGCTGCCTAAAAAGAGATGATGATAACCATAAGGGTGAGCGCTGTGATGATAACTATCATCGCAGCTTCCTCTGCATCACCAATGTTGCCTAACACGCGCCAGCAGTCGTAATAATGCCCTAACCAGCATCACCGACAACAGAGATGATGATGAGGAGGATGACGACTATGATGATCAGGATGAGGGTTGCGATGATAACTATCTCTGCATCACCCATGGTGCCTAACGCCACACTTGAAACGTATATAGGAATAAGAAAGAGATGATGATGACCATCGTGATGATGATCAGAAAGGTGATGATGATGATGACCTTCATCATGATGATGATAAGGATGATGCGTCACCAGTCATCATGAGAATCATGTCCATGCATCTTTTGCATCTCCAATCGGATGATAATCATCATGACGCATCCTCAGCATCACCATCAGTCATGATGATAACTACGACGCGTCCTCTGCATCACCAATGGTGTCGAAGTATAGAATATAGAAAGAGAAGCTGATGGCTACGATGATGATGATAACCAGATTGATAACGAATCGGAAGACCAAGACGCATCCTGAGCATCACGCGGACTTAATCTTTGAGACAAGCATGCGACTACTGGCAGGACCAACCAGGTTTGTCCGCTACTCACCATGACGCACCCTCAGCATCACCAGCAATCATCACGACAGGCATGTCCACGCATCTTCTGCATTTCAATTAGGATGATAATCATGGTGACGCATCCTCAGCATCGCCAGCAGTCGTCATGATGATCACGACTACGCATCCTCTGCACCACCAATGGTGTCTAACGCCACACTTGAAATGTGTAGTGTAGAAATAGAAAGAGACGGTGATGACTACGATGATGATGATGATGATGATGATGATGTGATGATGATGTGATGAGAGTCATCACTAGCACTCGTCCCCAACATCAGTGATGATAAGCATCATCGTGCATCCTCTGTATCAGATGACTACGCATCCTCTGCATCTCCAGTCGGCTCTAACAGGACCACCAGTACCACTTGCGGAAGGGGTCGGATGGACCGGCCACGCGTCGCCAGCATCACCAACAACACGCCAACAGTCGTGATAATCCTCTTGCCAGCATCACCGAACATCACGAAGAACGTCCCCGGTGACGCCTGTGGCAGCTGATGACGACTATGACGATAACTGTACTTTGTCCAATTGCAGCCGCATCCAACCTTTGATATATATATATAAGAGATAGTCGTGACCGTCATCATCATCACGCATCCCCAGCGCCGCCAGGAATGATGGCATCTGTAGCAGTGATGATGATCATCGATCACCCTTCCCATGCGCCTCCCCCTTGGAGGAGAAGGGGTCGGCGGATTATTCGGGGGGTATCAAAGCTCCAAACCAGCTTTTGATCTACCACGTGGGGAGTGAGTTTCAAAATGATGGAAAGCAATGGGCCCAACATTTGACGGGTGTCAAACAATTTCTTTTGGGTCCCGGCGGAAACCCTGTTTGAGCCACCACTTAGCTCGGGCAATTTGGAAGATGGCCTCGAGAAGGAGAATGGAGGGGAAGCAGTTGGGCCAACCACTTGGGCAAACAAACCCGGGCTTTGACCTCCATATTCCATATACATCCCTTTGGTTGGGCCAATAGGGTTGCGGGTCGAAAACCACAGAACCCTTTTGTAAGACTAAACCGAGCTTGGACCCGTTTGAAGGCAACATGACATGAGAAGGGTCTGCAAAGGACGGCCCTCCCATTGAGGCGGAGACGTGCACATATTTCTGTTGTTTTTTAATGGCGAGCTCACCCGGGTTACAGTGAGCTCAGCATGATGGAGACCCTTTGCTCTTAATACAGTTTTTGGACATATCATTAATTTTGCAGTGTTGAGGGTACCCCTTTCAGTTGGTTTGAGAAGGAAAGCAAAAAGTGCCACCACTCTGGGGGCCCCCGATTTTCACACATACCCGCTCATATCTCTTGATTTGTTTTATTATCATCGACAAGTACAGCATGTTCCGTGGTGTTCCTTGCAGCGTGGAGCATTGATATTTGCGTCAACTGCATTGCTGCAAGGGATTGCTGTCTGCTTTGTATCAAGGCAACGCGGACGAGTACGAGGGGACGGCCTTTGAGTACCATCAGGACCGGGTTTGTGAGAGCAGCAGCAAGCAGCAGCACGGTGTGTTTGGCATGGGGGAACGCCCCGCAATTCCACCAACTTCATCCGAACTCGAGCCGGGCAGGACCTGGAAAGGCAACGGCGCTCGCTGCGCATGATGATGCTGCTGCCCCTGATCTTGGTGTTTTGTTGGTCACCCAGTTCCATTCGCAGGCACGGAGAAGTGGGTGTGAGCAGTTTGAACGTCGAGCGATTGTGGAGGCCAATATGATGCCTTATTTACCTGCTTGCTGCCAGGCTATTGGACGTGATCTTCCCTAACATGCAGCGGTCAGTGCTGGACTACGTGTGGGAGCCCCAAAAAGCCAAGCCTAGATTTAGTCCGAAAAACTGACAGCCTGTTACAGAAGATCATAAGAACTGTCCGCACATGCGAGACTACCGTTGGTTTGCTTGCAGTGTTTTTGGTTGAACCAATCTTGCGCCCCACATGTTTGGGAGGGACCAGTGATCATCAACAAAATTACCCCTTTGGGAAACAACCCCCAAGAAATCGAAAACAAACTCAAAACACAGCCACTTGATCGGTTCATTCCCAGCCCAGGTGCGTTTTCGCAGGCCCGCTACAGGGCTTCCTCAATGCCGTGGTCTACGGCTCAACGCCTGCCGTGCGGGACGCTCTCACAGGCGAAAAGGGGGCAATCCAGCTGGATGCTAAATGAGGACGTGTCAACGGGACATTTCAAAACTGGTGGTGTTCCTTTTGGTCGCCCTTCAAACTACCCGAAAAGGGTACCTCCAAAAGAACGTTCCAATATGGTTGATTGATTGGGGGTCCAATGAAATATCGGGGGCAACGGGTCAACATCAAATTGCAAATCATTTTCAATTGCCCCTAAAGGACGCCACATTTTCTAGACCCTATTTTGAGCTTCCAGCCAGCAGTCCATGGTCAATCTGGGAGGGACATGCGGCCATATCCCACCCAACAAAAACTGGGAGGCGCAACAACCCGAATTTGTCCAAGTCCTTCATTCTGACCGTGCGCCCAGCCAAGGCAAATGCAGTTGGACATTGGATGAATAATGGCAATCCGAGATCAGAGTAACAATTTGACATTGTTCGCATGCTTAAGGTGCAGAGATCTTTCGTGTGCTTCAGAGGTCTATGGGTTCCCACGTGTCCAAAATAGGAGGACCGGTTCCTTTTTTGGATGGTATTAGGAGCAGCAAAGGACAGACATATTTTCAGGCATCCCCAACGTCCATTGCCAGAATTTTGTCCTCAAGGGCCCTTGTAGATTTACTTCATTTTCCTTGAAACGCACAGTCCTTTTTTTAGGGGGTCACAGTCTGGCCACGGATTCTTGAATGCAAGTTGTTGGACCAGTCTCAATATGGTTCCAAGTCCGGCCAAAAATGGGAGGAGAACAAACACCAGCCACTATTTGAAGAGGTCCCCCCTCTTTTTTCTTAAAAGGGGCTGCCCATTTTCGAAACAAACCGCAGAACCAAAAGCTGGAGTCCGTTTTGTTTCTTCCTCTTTTTTCTCCTTAAATTTCGGTGAGGGGCGCCTCACCGAATCTTCGGCCACGCCTCGGGCGCGGACGCGGACGCGGCGCGAGTCGATCCGCAGGGCGCTTCGACCACGGGGCGGCGAAGCTCAAGAGCCTGAAGACGCAGCTGCGGGTGCTCAGGAAGAAGCGCCAGGCCGAAGGAGCAAGGGGAGATATGGAGAGACGGCTGCCCAAGGGTATTTGGGCGGTTGGGAAACCGCCATGCTTTTTTTTGTTTTGTCCCCGATTTTGAGACACACCCATATTTATACCTTTTGGTGGTTGTGGAACATCACCTTGACATCTTTGGGGCCTTTCAACCGTCACCGTGGTACCAAAAAGGGCGTATTTTTCAAACATCACGGTGGCACCTTTCGAGCCAACGTGAGGTGAGTTTCTCCTTGGGCGATGACACGCACAGTTTGGGCTTGTTTGTGCCAATCCACTCGGGAAGTGTTTATTTATTTTTTTGAGGAGTTGAGGCAGTTCAAACCATGACCAATCGCAAGTTGCATCGCCCACGCGCCAGGGGAAGTTTCAGACCTTCGAAGACTTCGAGGCTCGGCCTGTGATCTGTTGAGGTCCATCCGTGGGACCGATGTGCAGCACCCAAGACAAGCGAGTTCAGGGGTCAGGGCCGGGCCCGTTTTAGGACATCCGTATTTCTGGTTCGGGGATTCGAACAAATTGCCAGTGGGATGTGACTGAATCGCGCCTGGCCAAGTCCCAAAGTACATCCATCGGTGCGTAGTCTGAGATCGTTTGAAAAATTCATGAGAAGGTTGACTGATCCGTGGGAAAATGTTGCGGTTGGCCGCTGCTCAAATGGACTTTCTTGGTACACGTGTCGCTTTGGATGAAAGTGCTCGCCATCCAAAAGGAGGCTCTAGTTTAGAATCTAAACTTTAGAACTGTAAACTCTGCAGAATCGCATACCATCTTTCAGGGAATCCAGAAGAACGTTGAGGCGATGCGACACCACTCAGAGACAGCTTTTCATGCACAGGCAACTTGCATGTGCTTCTCAAACTAAACAACTGTTAATTTGATGGTTGGAATCCTTTGATTTCCCTCAGAAGTGCCAAGGGGTTTCTCTATTTCGAGAACCCCCCCTCCTTCCATGTGGTGGCCAATTCCTGTTGCTAGGAAGCGAGTCCGGACTCCTCACCGACGCCCGAGCCGACTAGGCACAAGCCATCAGTCTGGCTTGACATGGAGAGAGTGGCGGAAGGCCTTTGGCATTGAACATAGCATGGAAGCTATGCTTGCAGCACAACCAGTGCTTGTGATTGTGCGCTTCAGGTAGTCTAAACAGCTGCAACCTCCTTCACTTGTTCAGCTCATTTCAAGCTCTAGTCGAAAACATCCTACTAACATACCTGGACAAGCATACTCCAAAGAATCAGCGTTTAGGACCATTAAATTCTGTTATACAGCAGCCAACGAAGGCGTGTTCCAAGTACCATCCTCATGCATGGCTCACAGGTTGGGTATGTTCATTTTGGGTGCCTTGGACCTACCCAGCTTGCCTTCCCAGCCCTGTGGGTCAGGTTTGGCAAGGGTGTGGAGGGCGCCGGGGCCCCGGTGCCGGGTTGTGGGTCAGTGAGCCACGTCAACATGACCCTCTTCAGGTCGGTTCAAGGGAAACCAAAAGGGAAACCAGGAAAACCACCGTTTGTGTTTTGGCACCTTTTGACATACCAGTATGCAGCAGCAAGAACGTGGCGATGAAATTTGGGGAACACCTCAACAACAGCAACAGTTGGTGGACAAGCATGCGCGTAGCAATTAATTTCCGCCGAATAGTCTTCCGATTTGAATTCACCCCCGAGCAACCCTTCTTGTCCTAATCGTAATTTAGTGAGAGTCCTAATGTCATCCCGTTGACTTCAGATGACTGTGAGCATTGAACATTGCTGACGCAAGTAATCTGGCTGCACGGAAGTGAGTTGTTGAAAGTCTAAAATGGGAGGGGATTTGACCGCTTGGCAAGCAGCATGTGACTCGTATTTTGGCCTGTGTATTGATCTTTTCTTGCTTCTTGGCGAGCCGGAGCGGTGATGCATATCATTACCACTACGCTCCACAAGCACACAAATCCAAACGCAGCTCAGAAGGAGCCAAACAATGAAACCGCAACAAGACACGGGCATTTGATTAGAAGCCAAACCACCCACCCAAATGATGAAAAGCAACAACGAACACAGATTTGGCATCTTCTGGGATGGTTTTGCGAAACAACGTGTGGGATGTACTTGACAGTATTTCCATTTGTTTTAGTGTTCATTACACATGCTTGCTTGTCCCAAACATGTTCAGCCGCTGCCACCGACCATCACTACTTCCTACAAATTGAGTACCCTGGACCGCATTTGAAGGAGCCCCTACGATGTGTCGTAGAGTGATTTCTCGTATTTGCTTTTTTTGGCCAAAGTCGCACTGTTCGCCCTGTTGAGGGCTGTGTCATCACTTGTTGCTCTCAAGTCAGCTGCAGCCTTGTTCTGCTTGGTGAGCATTCTTGTGCTTTGACCCTTTATCTCACTACTGCTTTGCAAGCCATGCTCAGAACCTGCACCATTTACAAGCAAGCACTCAGGCGTGGGAGCCTTTGATGGCTTTTGCAATGTATTCCGCTGAAATCACCTGTGTTTGCTTGTTCGGAGCGAGGGTTTCAAGTTATTTTCACTTAATCAGCGAGACTCATGCTCATTTGCATGCACAAGTTTTTGTGGAATCTCTGCACATTCCCGAGTTGCCATGCTCTTCTATTTTTTTGTATTTTTGTTCCCTCTCTCTCTCTCTCTGGCCAAGCTCAAAGCTGCAACGAAGGAATTCGGAGGCTGGGCTCAAACATGGGGAGAACGTATGTGTTCAAGCTCGGGGGCCATGGCGGCGTTCCTTTGGTTTCCCTTTACGTGAAGCATGAAAAGGCGACCCTTCGCCTAAAACCAAACCACGCCTGGCCGTGGTGACCCAGGACGGCTTGCAGGCCGAGGCGAGCCAAGGGCTCGCTAGTTTGGAGGTGTTTGTGTCATGTGGCCGTGGGTCAAAACCGGTTGGGTCCCATTTCGGGGGCCCTATTTTAGAACCTATTTTAGTGGTTGGATTGGGATGTTCACTGGTAGGATTTGGATTTGACCCATGGCCATATTTGAGGCTTTGCTTTTGGCAAGGGAGCAACCCATGATTCAGTTGCAGGAACAACCTTTTGGGACAGGGACCTGATTTTGCGGGGGGTAAATGATGTCGAGCCCGGATAAAAGCAGTTTGAGGGGATGCTTTTTTTCTTTCTTTGAGTGCAACTCTAACCAGGGGTTCAGTAATCCTGGGTTCCCATTGTGCAACGAAGATGAGGATCGCAAGGTTCATTTGGGAAAAGATGTGCAAGCACCCTCTACAGAATTTGACTTCAACGTTTTTTTGGTGAGGCTGTGACCTCAGGTGACCCTGCTTCTTGAGGGCAAATGGGACTTCCCAGCCCTAGCCAACCAAACCACCCACCCAATCCACCAATGGGTGCGAAGTTGATGACCAACTCGTTGGAATGGCGTCGGCGATTTTTTCTTCCAAGCCGATGATCGCTTCCAGAGGTCGGGCCATGGGGCCTTTGAACCCCCAATAAGTCGGCCAGAGTCTTGCGTGATTCTTTCTTCAGATTCCATCCGGGGAATGGTCAAGAGTCAGCGAAATAACCATCCACTGCAAAAAGCATCCCGCACCCTTTGGAACGGCTGAAACCCTAGAAATACTGGGAGAACCAACCTGCCAACCGGTGCAGGATGTTGTCTATCCATAGTATCACTTGGCATGGGGGGACACAGCTATCACGAATACGGGGGTAGCAGGTTCAACAAACTCTTCTCCGGCAAAAGAAGCAGTTCAGATCGATCCGACTCACACTCGCGCAGCAACTTGCCAACTCTGCCAAATCTGCCAACTCTGCCAACTCTGCCCATTGTGCCAAGACTTGGCCCAGAATCGCCTCCGAAAGAGCCACGGGGACAGGCCATCGAGTTGGAAGTGCGGCCTGCGGCAGCCGGATAAGCCGAGCTAGGCGGCGAGTCTGCAGCCAGCGACACCGAGATCCGACATACGACAGTCTTAATTCCTTTATAAAGCAGATTCAGAGCAACAAATCGGCAGTTCCTCTTTTTGAGATGCGCAGCACTTAGAAGGTTTTTATCGAGATATCCCGCGAGCAGTGTCACTTTTAGGGAGAAATCTGCGAACCATTGCAACCACAAAATGGAAGGAGATTCCGAGCGAGAGGGTCGGGTGCCGGTTGAGCTACGAAGGTCCACAGTCAAGCTTTGGATCGTCCCAGATCCTTCTGTAAATCACACCTGATGGAATTGTAAAGGCATGGACACCGGGGGAGCCAAGGAGCCACAAATACTTGAGATCCGTTCCTGTGTTTTTAGTAGCTAAAAAGCGCAATTCTCCCCAACAGAAGATAGGTTGGATGCGTGTCGCCAGTAGCCCATGTACATAGAGGACGAAAAGACGCACTGAGGGCGGCCAATCATGATGCCTTGGCAAGAGCGTGGTTTGTTGTTGCCATTGCCTTGCTGTTGCAATTTGCAAACACCGGCCCAGTTGGCCAGTGCCTCTTCGTTTTTGGGATGGGTTTCCCCTTAAACTCAACCAACAAAGGTGCCTGGTTTCCCATGGCCACTGAACTTCTGAGACTCAAACATCTGTCTCGCAAGCAGACAGACTGGCCAGGGGGGATGGCTGCACCGTTGTGCAAGGCTTTCTCAGGCGGCTTTTTGCCCTAGAGGACAGACTTCGTTCTCTTGCCAAACGACACTGGCGTTAAATACCTTCCGCGCCGGCGTCTCACCAACCTGCGTCGCAAGGGTCAAAAGCGCTGCTTTCGGCGCTGCCGAGAGCTGTCGGCGAGCTTTCGAGAATGTGTCCCGCGCCAGGAATCACGGCAAGGTTGGTCCGATTGATCGCTTCGTGAGCCAGTTCCGATGAAGGCCATAGGACATTGCACGTAGTTTTTTTAAGTCTGCCTGGCTGGAACATGGTCCCAGACTGCCAGACCGAAGGACTCAATCTTGGGATTGAGACTGGAAGTCAAGGAGCTGGTTCCAGTTGAAGCTGCAACGTGTCGACCGGTTGCGCCCACCAGTAGAATTCGTTGACGTAGCTGTCATGGGAATGACAAGTTGATTTCCATGACTTTCGCGGCGCGTGGGTCTGCCGGGCCAATCTATTGCCAATGAGAGAAGCAAAAGGGAGGGCTAGGGCTGGGTGATGATTTGTGTCCTGCCCGTTGTATGTTTTCAGGGTACCAATTGGTTGAATGGGAAGCCAGAAGGACAGCTAAAGATCAAAAAAAACGAAAAGGGTCTTTGCAAGGAGCCTTTTCTCTGTTTGGAAACCAGCGATTGACCCAACTAGCTCCAGGGCCCATCGAAGCAAGATGTTTGTTTGAAACGCCGGTGGACAAAATCCGGGCCAGTTGCATCAGTTGGGATTGGTGGTTTAGAGTGAGCTGAACTCAGATCGGGTTTTATTCCTCCCGACGAGTGCCTGGCATGGATTTCATCCGATGCCCTCGCTCCAAGCGGCACGCAGAGCCAGACGCAAAACTCTCAAGCAAGCTAGATCATTGAAAAGTTGAACCTGGTTGTCAACCTCATGAGTTTTACATCGCGCAATGCTCACCTAGGTTAAATTTCAAGCGCAGAGCAGGATAGACATGGCGCACCTGCTTCATGTGCTTCCGGTACTCAATGGTACGACGGATCTTGGCCACACCTCAAGACAAGCCTTCCTGGCCGCAAAAACAAAATAAACATATCAACCCTGACTGACACGAAGGAAGGGATTCTGCAACAAGACCGACGGTGGATGTAGCGTTGCCATAGCTACGCGCATGCCATGGTCATGACGGTTCTGCAAGAGGTGAACGGCGAGGAGCAGATCAGTTTCAGAAATCAGCCAGGGTGCCATGAGAGGTGAGAACTCTGGGATGTTTAAAGTGGTCGCAGTTTGAAGGATTCTATCAGTAGCTTTCGGGGTGGTTCCCTTCAAACCACCATGAGGTAATTTTGAGGACGTGACTTAGAAGCCTCTGATGGTACTGCAACGGGATTCCATAGATGAAGCAATAGTGTGAGACTTTTCGGACCACTATTTTCAATTAGATGTCTCTTTGCCCATGTGTAGCTGGTGTTCCGTATCAGCTTATGCTCCGTATCTTAGATACGAGGCGTATCCAATATCTAAGGTACTGAGCATGAATGCAGACCCTGGCAATGTTTTCTAACTGTCCTCACACTTCTATCATGTCTTCGGTACGTTTACATCAATCAACCTCACGTATTCTCATAAACTCTGATTCTTCCAAAACATGGAGCCTGTGGCGCCTGCCAGAAGACCATTTTGCCTCTTGAAAGAGACCCCTTCATGCTTTTGTGATGGGAGGACAGGGCCCCTGACCCATTCGATCGCGTGGCACGCTTCAAATCTGGTCCAGTGCGATTTCCAGGACGCCTCACCCGAGAAGCGCAGCTCGTTGAGCGGAGGCAGTGTGGACAAGTTGTTTCACGGCCAAATGGGTCTGGCTCAAACTTAAACAGGAGGGGTTACGCAGGTTTGGGTCCATGTTTCCACTCACCAGGGTTTCATGTTGATACCGGTTTGAGCCACAGCCAAACGGGTTCGGGGGGGTCTTTTTGCTACCTTTTGTCAGAAAAAGACCGACTCCCTCAAAAGGGAATCCTTCACTACGAGGGGGTCGATCAATTGTCCACAAAAGGTGGCAAAAAGACCACCCTGAAAGCCTTGGGGTCTCTGCCCGGAAAAGCTCCGGAGTGGTCCAGAGCGACTGTTCCGGACGGGTTCCGGGGGTTGCTGTTTGGCTGATTTTTTGACGCTCGGTACTCTCTTCGCCAGATTCAATAGAAGTTTCTAAATTGGGATGCTTGCTGATGGTTCGCAGGTGAGGCGAACGAGGCGGGCCCTGCGAGATGTTGGCCGACTTGCCTGCACATTAAGACACGACATTTTGTTGCATTTATTTGTTTGCGGAGGGGGGACCCCCTTTTGTTGTTTTTCTCGCAGGCAAAGCAGAGGAAAAAGCGCCTGGTGACCTCACAAGAGGAGGCCCCAATGACTTTGAACTTTTGCGGTTCAGAAGTTCTCATGCTCCATGAAACATTCGGCACTCCTGCTCGCTTCCATGTGAGCCCCTGCAGTGGCCCTTTTTGGCCACCTCCAAAATGACGGGTTCCCCGTTAATTAGTCTAATTAGAAGTGGGCACCTTCAGAAACCACCTCCAAAATTATTACAGGGGTTACTTTCCCAAAAGGGCCACTGTCAGAAAACACCCGCGCGCGGCATTCATAGCAAGCTGCGCAGGCAGCACAGCTTCGGCAGGCTCTCTTGGAGGCGTGCCTGGCTTCTTAAGTGGATATGTGTCAACATAGGGGTTCCACACAGCGCTTTTTTGTTGTTTGGTTCCGGTCTTCCTTTTGAGCCAAGCTCAAAAGGGTGACCAAGCTCAAAAGGGTGCCCTCAAATGAACACACACACACACACAGACAGACACATAGACACACACACACACCCAAGTAGTGGAAAGTCTTCCTTCCAGTCACGTCTTAGGCACGTTCCCAGGTTTCCTGGTTCAACTCTTTTGCTTCATGCGCAGATTCGGGTCTGATGGGCGACTTGTTGCAGAAGGGCATGTTACTTCGCCTTGGATCCGGTTCCTGGCACCTCCATTGCATTCGTTGTCCCAAGATTCAATTTGAGGCCCATGCGTGGGCTGCCTGATCCTATTCCATGTGTCCATGAGTATCTCACACACATCGTGTGGCTGGCGTGCAACTGCTAGTGTTCATGAACAGGGTAGAGCTGGAACATGCAGGCCCAGGGCGAGATCGCGGGGTTGCGCCTTGCCTTGGCTGCGAAGGAGCCGATTGCTTTGAGGGTCTGTGCGGTACTCATATAGATGGTCCGGGGGTTAGCTGAATGATCAGAAGTGCTTGCGCATTGCAAGGGCTTCACTGATTCGTAACAATTTAGCAATCTCCCGGAATGTTGAGATATAAGTTAGTCGCTCAAGGGAAGGCTTTGAGATTCCCAAGAGACATTTGACCAGGAAGCCCAAAAACGCGAACACACGCACCAAGAGGCACTGCATGTGCGTGTGCGTGTGCGTGTGCGTGTGTGCAGGGAGCAAGCTCCTTGGCAGCAAGAGCCTTGTTCAGGGGTCCCTATATTTCCCTTTTTGGTGGTTTTAAACATCTTGAATAAACTTGACGCTCCTCCTGGAGCCGAATCCACCAGGCCCATAACTGTATTTAGTTTGCTATACCGAACATGGGCGAAAGTCCACTCTTCCAAAGTATTTAAGTCTTGGTCTAAAATCCTTCCTGATTCTATAGTGGGAGGTCTCCCAAAAAGGAAAACCGAAGACGTTTGGCTGCGCTTGCAAGCCGAAATAGAAGACAGCATCCTAAACAATAGGCCAATTGCAGGCTTTGTTATGGACATACAAAAGGCTTTTTACGGGCTGCCGCGACAACCAGTTGCCTACCTTATGAAAAGACTTGGCATCAATACCCCTTTTGTAGATAAATGGATATCCGCCCTTCAGATGTGCCAAAGAGTAATGCTTGTCAATGGTGCTGCCACACCTACTGGCAAAAGCACTACAGGCGCTCCAGAAGGATGCCCAGTCAGTGTACTTGCTATGATATCCATATCGTACCTATGGACAATGAATATCGGCGCAATAAGTGGATCCACTTTTGTGTATGCCGATAATTGGGAATGGTACACCGGCAACCCCGACGAAAACCGAGCGGCTTATACTGCCACTAAGTCCTTTTGTAACTTGTGGAGACAAAAAATGTCCATGCCTAAGTGCTGGGCATGGGCTACCGACAACGCAAATAAAGTCATGTGGAAAAAGTTGCAATCTGTTGAACAGGTTCAGGGTCAGACGTTCTCAATTCAAAAAAGTGAAACCGACCTTGGCGCCACCATGCAGTATAATAAAACGCCTTGTGTGGGAAAGTTGCCGGAAAGACTTGCAAAGGCTTGCGCCCGCCTTAAGAAAATTGCTGTACTCCCACTCAGTGTCGACGATAAGGCTAAGCTCAGCAGTGCTTCCAGCTGCACTCCACGCGTGTGAAAACACCGCGATTCAGGATAGACACTTGCAGCGGCTCAGGACGCGTATCACAGAGGCCCTATCTGGACAAAAAGGGAAACCCAACCCTTTCCTTGTTTGCGGGTGCCTGTCCGTAAAAAACGTCGATCCTGAATATTTCTCTTTAGAGAAATCCTTGCGCACGTTCCTCGACACTTGGCACAACAAGCCTTCGGTGGGAGTTGAAGACGGCCTGTCAGGCCACCAACTTTAAACGCACATACGGTCCGTGTGGTACCCTGCAGAAGAGACTTGGGGGGTCGGTGCATCGTCTGTACACGCGGAATTCGGATCGTCTGTACACGCGGGACCGGATCGTCTCTGCACGCGGGCCTTTTTTGCCCCGGATCGTTTGTACACGCAGTGCTTACTGCTATGCACAAGAAGGGACAGGGGCGTTGACAGCTGCGCGAGCGGGTGTTCGCCCCAGCCCCCACCCCCACCCCCACCCCACCCTTCCCCAATACCGCACCCCATCTGTTGCACGTGAGCGGGTATGCTTATTAGGTGGCAGGCATGTGCTTACCATTCCCCCCCCTCCCCACCCACCCCCCACCCCTTCGGGCTACTATTCCGCATGCGTGGAAACAGCCTGAGCGGGCGCGCTTACCATTCCCCCCCCCCCCCACCCCCCACCCCTTCCGGCTACTATTCCGCATGCGTGGAAACAGCGCTGAGCGGGTGCGCTTGAGCGGGTGTGCTTACCATCCCTCCCCCCCCCCGCATGCGTGGAAACAGCGCTGAGCGGGTGCACTTGAGCGGGTGTGCTTACCTTTCCCCCCCCCCCCCGCACCACCCCCCACCCCTTCGGGCTACTCTTCCGCACGCGTGGAAACAGCGCTGAGCGGGTGCACTTGAGCGGGTGTGCTTGCCATCCCCCCCCCCCCCCGCCAGCCCCCCCCCCCCCACCACAGTGCTGAGCGGGGCGCACTTGAGCGGGTGTGCTTACCAATCCCCCCCCCCCCCCACCCCCCCACCCTGCGAAAAGTGTGTGTGTGTACAGATGATCCAGATGACAGAAACCTTGTGTGCGCAGATGATCCAGAGTGCATGGCGCAATGAGTGAGGAAAGCCTGTGTGTACAGATGATCCAGATTTGTGTGCGCAGATGATCCCCCGCCCGACTTGGGGTAATAGGATGGAAGTGCACGGAGAACCGCGCCATATTGACCGATATGGGAATTGAATTCCCCATAAACACAACGTCTTTCCTTGATATTCGTCCGAATCTCAGTTTTGCTTGGGGGAAAGCCATTCATTTGACAATAACCAACCAAAAGCAATATCAACACTGCAAGAGACCTCACATACTGAGACATGCCAAGGTCTGTGAAAAACTTGAAATTGGCATGCGCAAAGCCATAGCTCCAGCCATGGCTACTGCTTTCCAGACGGAGATAATCAAGAGTAAATATAGGCCTGACGCTGATGGCAATTGCAAAAGATGTGGGGAGCAGGATACCCTCATGCACCATATTTGGTTATGTCCGAAGAACGAGCAAGCTGGGGTTCAAACTAACACATGTTTGCAGGCTCTCCGGGTTGCCAATGTCAGCCCCGAGCTCCCCCTTTTTCCACCACATGACCTCGAAAGCGAAATTATCAGATTGAATCGATGCAAGCCCTTACCACCACTCACCGGTAACCGGATTGCGCAGCACCACAATATTTTCACTGATGGGAGTTGCACGGTCAGGCACTTCCATGTCGAAAATGTTGCAGCCTACGCAATAATTGCAGATTGCATTCAGAGTGTCGCCGCGAAGCAAATAATTCTCGACCAATATACACGCGATAAGAAAATTCCTCTCGTATTTAGATGTGTGGCCGTATCAGCCATCCACGGCAACCAAACTATAAATCGAGCAGAGTTTTCTGCCATCATCCATGCGTTTTGTTTGTTTGAGCGCAAGCTGATTCACACCGACAGCTCATACGCATGTGACCTTTTCAACGACATCATGGACGAGCCCCGCCCAGAGCGATTTGGAACCTCAAAAAACTTGGACCTGATACATCACGCGTGTAGAGCTGTGCAGATGTTCGCCAGCACACCTCTGTGGTAAAGGTTAAATCCCATAGTAAAATTTGCGACTTAGATACCCTTGAAGACAAGTGGGCGTGTGTTGGAAACGATGCGGCGGATATCGCTGCAAATCGAGCACGCAACTCCCTCAACCAGGATATTGTGGGCAAGACCAACGTTTTGCATTTTGCAAACTTAAGAGCGGAGAAAGCTATCAAAGAAGCTCACACTTTGTTAGGAAAAATCTCACGGTTGCGAGTAAGTGAATTAACAGAAAAAGAGGACTTGGTGCAAAGTGACCCGGTTGTTAAACTATGTGGCAGTGTCCATAGCACTTGGCCCACACGTAAGTTGCCAGAGTTTGATGAACGATGCCGTGACGAAGCGTTTTGGGGAATTACGTATATGCTTAGGCTGTATCACTGGGTCTCCACTCTTCGCTGGGCACCTCACGTCCAGGAAGATGAATGGGGTGTTTCATGGATTGAGCTGTTTCTCAGCTTTCAAATGAGCACTGAGTCGGATATCCCAGTTAACCTTGGCACTGATGATCGACCACTCTTCACATTGCCAGAACACAATGAAGCGGTGAAACTCATTAAGCCGACGACGCATAAGCGTATGATTAGCTTTGAGAAAAGTTTGCGGGCCTTGGGAAAAATCTTGGGTGTCGAATTATTCCCTTGCAACACTTGCAGCAGACCTCAAAGCCTCCGGGCCCTCGGTTTCTTCCAGGCACGACCCGGTCTTCAGAAAAGGCCGTGGTTCCCTTTCCACGAAGACATAACGCAAGCACTTCGCAACAAGGCAGGTTGCCCTGTCATCATTGGGGACCTGCCCACTTTGGTTGCAGACATTCGCATGATTTCCATCCCTTTGCAAGAAGGGGATACCGTCGAGTCACAGTGGACGAGACGGAGGTTTCACAAAGAGCGCCTTCGGGCGCCGCGCTAAGGAGAACGGACTCGGGCTGCACTCACACGTGGGGTGCAGTCCGAAGAAAGAGACGGGTGGTTTTAAACATCGCCTTTTTGGCCCATAGAAGGTGAGTGTCCCTTGGTGGGTGTGATATCTTAAGGGGAAATATAGGGAGCCCTGTTGTTCGCCCTGGCAAAATTCCGCCAAATCCTTGGCGCTTCAAAGGCTACTTTCGTGCCAGGAGTCAGTGCGCCGATCCGAGGAGCTGCAAAGCATCGGTCGATGTTGGTGCGAATATTCGCACAAAGCAGTTCCACCAACACATTGGATTGCTACGAACCGGGAGACCCCCATTGCCGAGCTCCAATTTGAACAGATGCTTGATTGTAGTTCCTTTCGCCCAGTGTCACTTCTCGAGTTGCTGAACTTTGTATTTTTTGGGCAGACAAGTCTTGTCGGGCAACCCACCCAGGAAGTGACGAGTGCGTGTACAGAAGATTCAGCGAAGGACGGATCCAACGAGCCGCGCTCTGCTCGACTCTCGCTGGATCCTTCGAGCGCAAGGAGAGCTCGCCGTCTATCCGTGGAGGACATGCAGACCGCAGGTGAATTCCACGAACTTGCTTACCCGCAGGCAGAACCTGAAAGAGGGACCCTGCTGGAGATTTCAATTGATCTTGCTGGTGTCTTTCAGGTTCCATGTTTTGTTTAGGAGGGGTATGTACTTTTTTTTGTTCCATTCAACAACGTGCCACCTCTCTCTCCGATGGCCGTGCTGCTCTAGCTGTGGCCACCACTTGGTGACCAGAGCCTACTTTTTGACCTCCACTTACCTGGCGTGCAGCACAAACAGAGGTTTAGAGAGGCCATGTGAATTCATGTGAGCCACGTCCTCAATACCGATGAAGGTTGAGGGACAATCAAAACCAACTCGTTGGTTTGGATGCGCCATGTGAATTCCCGGTTTTGATTTTGACTGTCTTGTTACATGTGTTTCTGGAGGTTTACCTTTCGGTTTTATGGGCCCGAAAAAACCGGTTGGGCCTCCCCTTGGTGGTCGAAAAAAGCAATACAAACAGACCCCCAGCAGGGGGAAATTCCCATTCCCTCAGCTCCGTGGTATGGCTCACTTGCGTCATGAGCCGCGGTGTTTTTTTTCTGCTTGTTTCTTTTTCTTTCTTTCTTTGATTTATTTCCTTTTTCTTTTTCTTCTTTTCTTTCTTTTCTTTCCTTTTTTCTTTCTTTTTTTCTTTCTTTCTTTCTTTCTTTCTTTCTTTCCTTTCCGTTCCTTTCCTTTCCTTTCCTTTCTTTTATTTCTTTCTTCTCTTTTTTTTCTTCTTTCCTTTCTTTCTTTTTTTTTCCTTTCTTTCTTTCTTTCCTTTACTTTCCTTTCCTTTCCTTTCTTTTATTTCTTTCTTCTCTTTTTTTCTTCTTTCCTTTCTTTCTTCCTTTCTTTCTTTCTTTCTTTCTTTCTTTCCTTTACTTTCCTTTCCTTTCCTTTCCTTTCTTTTCCTTTCCTTTCTTTTATTTCTTCTCTTTTTTTCTTCTTTCCTTTCTTTCTTTTTTTCTTTCTTTCTTTCTTTCTTTCCTTTACTTTCCTTTCCTTTCCTTTCCTTTCTTTTATTTCTTTCTTCTTTTTTTCTTCTTTCCTTTCCTTTCCTTTCCTTTCCTTTCCTTTTCTTTCCTTTCTTTTCTCTTTCTTTCTTTCTTTCTTTTTTTTCTTTCTTTCTTCTTTCTTTCTTTCTTTCTTTCTTTCTTTCTTTCTTTCTTTCTTTCTTTTCCTTCTTTTGTTTAGATTCTGGCCTTTGGATTCTTGCCGTTGGATCAGCAAGCCACACCCAGGTCTTTGTTTTTGGGCAATTGTCTTTGTTTTTGGGCAATTGGAGTTCAGCGCAGCGCGCCAGGAAACAGCCACAACAGCGCGCCGCACAGAGGCCTTTCGGGGGTTCAAACAAACTCATTTGGGGGCTCCTCTAGTTTTGAGACACACTCCTCTTCCCACAAACAGAAGGCAGCTGTGAGAAGGGACCTGGAAGATCCACTTCCTTTTGACGGGACTTTGTGGGTGCATGCTGCGTTTGGCCCACCATCATGCTTTGCTTCAGACACGCTCAACGCACATATATTTCCTTGTGTGATCCACATTCTTGTCGCACAAGCTGAGCAAGTGCAGAGCAGGGACTGGTTTATCTCACCTAGAGACTGGCCGGTGGACAGGTTAGTTGGGTGAGGTCGCCTTTTCCTTTATCATGTTGGCACACCTTCCTCTTGACTCCGTCCCACCACTCACCATCCCTTGTCTGGTTCATTGGAGAGAAGAGTGTGTCAACAAAGGAAAAGAGAGTGAGGTGAAAGGAATAGAGGGAAGTGATAGGAAGAGATGGATCAGTCCTCTCGCCTCTGGGCTCGGTGTCTCATGACTCAGGAATTAGCTGCAACATATTGAATCGCTTTTATGTCAGCTATTAACCCATCATTCATCCCTTGCCTGTCATTGGCTCAGTCTTCACTCTGTTTTTATGCTTCCCGTCGTTCATAGAGCTGCTCCCACCCCAGCCAACCACCCCAAACACACCGAGCCCAGTTTTGGTCGATTTTAGCCTTCCCAAAACACTTGGTCTTTGGAAGCTGGTGTGTTAAGGCTCTCCTGGAGCCTGGCAAAAAGTCCTCTTACCTTTCCCAGGTGCTTTGGACGTGCACATCCAACCGGGGGGTCAACGAAAGATGGCTCCTGTCTTGGGGCGCCGCAGGTGCCTCTTGGGGATATCAAAAACGGACCTCTTGTGACAACCAACCAGTCGGAGCAAGCCTCGCGTTCAGGGGCGACGCCAGGCCAGAGACACAGTGGACAGTCGACTTTCTTGCTCCAGGATGCGGAACGTGGAGCCCAACTAGAAACCATGCTTTTTTTGTGTTTGCTCCATGCCACACAACCGCCAACAGATAAGTTCGTTGGGTTTAACGGGAATCGACAAGGGGTCTCCCGATTTCGCCCTATGCGGCTGGACTTCCCGAACCCAAACCGCGAGTCTAGGCTGGACTCTTCGAGCTCCGAGTTTCACTGAGGCCGGGGGCATTGGCTCCGGACGGTGGGATGGGCAAAGTCCATGCACTTGGGATGAACCCCTCGGAAGTACTGGGAACGACTGGTGCAAAGCCGGTTTCGTCCATCCACAGCAGGTTCGGTCGCATCCTGGCTTGTCTATGGGGGATTCAGGATCGGAAGGACATGGGTCACGGAATGAGGACAAACCAGGGGGGGGGAAGCCTTTCCCATGTGTGAAGATTTTGAATTTTAACCCCAGGCTGACGCAGCGTCATGTGGAGAACTGGCAATATTACGAGCCCCAAATTATCATGCGGAAATGAGTTACTCACCACCATCCAATAACACCATGAAGATTGACTGTGGCTCATGTGAGGAACCGACAATGTCAGGACAGCCCAAGTCTGTGATAACGCCGTGGGACATCGGACATCCTAATCTTCCCATCTTCTTTTGGAGAACAAATGATATTGTCCGCGGGTCATGTGTTTGCAGACGGAAAGAGACTCGAATGGTCTACACTCGCGTCAACTTGAGTCCCTTTGCCTACATGGGTATGGGTCAAAATAAAGCCACCAGCGGACCGCAGGTTGTAGTCTTTGGTTCCATTTACCAGGCTTCCATTCTGGGTACGCATTTTTGACCCACAGCCACATGGTGATGGCCCTGAGAGGGAAAGGCCATGGACTGACCTGGAGATTGGCTGTGGCTTCCTTGAGGGGCAGGCGGTTCGCGCGGGGGATCTTCGACACGCCTGAGTACTATGATCGCGTCTTTGGCGAGTTGGGCCAAGGGGAGATCCTGGAATGGTACAACACCGACTGGGAGCAGCTGGAGCCCCTGGTGAGCAGATGCTTTAAGCTCTCCCATCCAGTGCGAAGGATCCTGGATGTGGGCTGCGGCACCTCGCGGCTGGCCGCGCAGCTGTTGCCCTTGAAGTCTGTGCGGCTGGTGGTGGGCTGCGACAGCTCCGCAAAGGCGGTGGCGATCCAACAGGCTGCGGCTCCTCCGCGGAGCCCGGGAAGGCGGATACTCTTTCAGGTTGCAGACGCCACCAGGCTCGCGTTTGGGAGCTGCACTTTCCACGCAGTGCTTGAGAAGGGAATGCTGGACGCACTCGTGAGCACCCGCGGTGCCAGTCAAGCCCCGGCAGCTCTGGCTGAGGCCTGGCGAGTGCTTGCGCCAGGGGGGCTCTTCATCTCCGTGTCGCAGCTGGGAAAGCTCGATCCTCTCGAGTCGCGGCTGCGGCTCTTTCAGGAGGCCGGGCTGCCATGCCCAGCCTCCATGGAGGTTGGCTCGGGTGCCCGGGGCATCCGCTGCTTTGCGGTGCAGAAGCCAGAGAAAAAATGAGAGTCTACACTCCTCACAGGGATCTCCAAAGCTTTGCGGCGCGCTGTGATTGGAGTGCCTATAGATTCAGCTTCCCAGCTTTGATCCGGAGACATCCAGGTGGCGAGAAACCTGCGCCCCTTGAGGAAATAGGCAGGCTATCCATGTACGACTCCGTTTTTTTCTTCCACTCTCATGTTCCAGCAAGCAAGCCAGCAAGAAAGCAAGGCAGCCAGCACGCAAACAAGCAAGCCAGCCAGCCAGCCAGCCAGCAATCAATCAAGCAAGCAGGCAAGCCAGCAATCACCGTAAAACCACTCTAATCCCACCCTAAACCCACCCTACGCCACTCTAAAGCCACCAACCCATCCTGAACCCTAAACGAAGCCTAGCCCACCTGAAACCCACCCCTGGGCCCACCAAAGCAAAGCCTGTGGAGCAGAGTCTAGAACTTCACCGCTTGCAGGGCACGAGGGCGAAGTGGTAAGGGGCAAGGACAGTAGAAAACAAACACGGGAAAAAGTGGAAACAAACCACAGGGGAAAATGCGAACGCCTTTTCTTTGGCCTTTTCAATCGCTTCGACACTTTTTTTTTCTTCTCCTCCTTCTGCTTCGGCTAGTTCTTCCCTCTGATTCTTTTGTTTGCTTTTTTTTATTCTCGTTGTGCTTCCTTTTTTAACCTCCTTCCTCCTCCCTTTCTTTACCTTTCCTCGCTTTCTGTGCCTCGGGCTTCAACCGGACTTTCAGGAGCCGAGCACGCCGGGAGGACCGCAGCTCAGGTACCGCTCAGTTTCCTCACCGAAATGGTCCAGAGAAACGCGACATGTGCCACCAAAAGGTGCCCGCTTGAAATTGCTTCATTCCCACAGTATGGCTCATGGTGAAAATTCTCGGTCCGGATGTACATCTTTTTCCTTTCAAGACATGAACAAATGAAGTCACGTGACATCACGGAAGGGCGCCGCCGCTCAGTTACCGACTCAGCAGCGGTTTCTTCAGGTTGCCAAAAGTTCAAGCCCTTTTTAAGCACACCCCATTCCTCCCATGATGAAGACTGTTTTTTTTTTTTTTTTTAAAGGGGTACCTTTGTAATGTTGGAGGGTTTTTGGACTACCAACAGGAGATGGGACGCTTGTTCAATATTTCCACCCTATTTGGCACCCAGTCTGCCAGGTTTTGATCTCGTTGACCAGCCTTCTATCCAGGAATCCTCCCATGGATTCGATTCCCGGCTAGGTTGGTGTTTGAGGGTACCCGCTTGACGTTGGATTATTTTTCAAAGGGAAGTCGAAGGAAGAGCACATCTAAGGCCGCCCTGCACATACCCGAATGGCCCCTCCCCCCAAAAAAACGGTCAAGCCTGCCTCTCTTGAAGTGCTGCTCATAGGGTCGGACGGTCCCATTCAACTTGTGCCCACCTTGGGTTTGCAAGGAGCCCAAGCCGAGCTCGGTGCTGACCTCCACCCCCCCCGTGCCGAACTCCTCGCGCCGCGGATCGCGGCTGGGCCGAAGGAAGCTTCACTCGATGCTTTTATGTCTTCGTAGACGGAATCGATCGCTGGACGTGTCCCATCTCACTCAAAAAGCGCCTAAAGCAAAAAAAACAAATCAGAGACCAAGACCCAGAGCCTGGGAGGTGTGTCGCTTTTTTCTTCCTTTTTAAAACGGGACCCCTCTCGTTTTGGTACCAAAACGGCCAGCCAGCCAGGCACCCCGCCCCAGAATCGGAGCCGAGGCCGAGCCGCTCCGTGAGCCCAAAGGCCGGGGCCCCCCCCCCCGCCGTTTCGTGTGGCTTCCTTTTAGCTTTCCGTCCAGCGTCGCTCCAAGAAGGGGGGGGGAAGCCTCAAGAAACACAGGCCCACATGCTGCATGCTGGCTCTAAGAGTCCTTGGACACGGCTCAAAATTGGTGCGCACTGAGTGCATGTCTGGCATACCTCAACGGGCACTGTCTCTGGCAGAGGCTCATTGCAGTGCAAGGCTTGAGCTGGAAAGGGTCATGGGTCCTTCTGGCGAATGACTGTCAGATCGGAGTCAGATCCTCATTCGTGGTTTGCTGTCCAGATTTCTTTGTATATGTCTTTTTCCGAGTCATTTTGGGCGCCAGTTGGGTTTCCCGTTGCCACCTTTGATGGGGGGATACAGGAACCCTGAATCAGGGCCTCCAACAGGTTTGTTGCTCCCGCGCCAAAGGGCACCTAGTTCTTTTGTGTGAGATTTGGTCTCTTCTCTTTTTCTCTTTGGTCCATTCGGGAACGACTAGCTTCCCTCAGAAACCCGCGGAAAGAACCCCCCACTCCGAGTTTCCCCTTGACTGGGAGTCCGGGGTTTTCAGGAGAGCCGGGCCGCAGGCTCGGGGCCCTCAGATGGCTGACTGGGCGAGGGCTGGGAGGGTGCAAGGCCAGGAATTTTGAGAGAGGGAGCTTTCTCCAAAGTGGTGGACATGTTTTTCACCCAGAGATGATGTCCACCACATGGATCCTGAATTAAAATTCAGACCATGGTGCGTCGTTGTGATATGGGAAGGCTTTGGGGGTCAGATCCGGGCGCATGTTAGTGGGTGGTCTTGTAGCGCGTTGCCTCTGCTAGGAGCCGGGAACTGTTAAGCGTCCTTCCGGCAGGCATGGCAGGTCTAGAAATGCCTTTTCCACTCCATTGCCACAAGCCGCAGAGCTTGCAGCATGCGTCAGTGGACTGTGGGACCAGCAAGCAATAGAGTTCATGGTGCAACCCGGATCATATCAAGCCTATATTCCGCGGCTCATGGTTCGTGCTGACACGTTTGGTGACACGTTTGGTGCTTGAGCAAGTTGAACTGCAAGTGATTGACATGCGCACACACACACACACACTTCATATTCACTCCAGCGCTTCAGAAATGCTACTTACACCTATCAGGCCTGTTCGCGGGTGATTGCGCCCTGAAGAAAAAGCACCTGCACCTCTTGCGAGTGCCCATTTCCGAGTTACAACCCTCTCGCCACAGGTTCCACATCCGCTGGTTCAAGCCTATGCACGTTTCAACTCGCCGGGGGAGCTGTCGAAGCTGAGGCACAGAAGTCAAGGCCTGGGGCATTGAGCTCGAAAGTGGACGTTGGTCGGGTGGATGGGTTGATGGGACGGGTTGACGTGGAAGTGTGGAATTCCCAAAGTTGCCAGCCAGTTTCCTGGTTTCTGGCTCCAACTGATTTGCTACTCCCTAGATTGAGGTCGCAGGCTTCTGGCGCAACAGCGCCTGATGCAGTAGCAGACAGCTTATTTGGGAGTCCCCGTTTAGACCTAGTTCCCGGTTCGCATGGGGGTTGAGAAAGCACCTTTGCCAGTCATGCATCCTTCGACCGGAAGCCAGTCGGTGTCTCATAAGAAAGGTTTTGGTCACCTGCACACGTGGGCGGCACTCTGCCTGAGGCGCAGTTTTCTCCTCCGCGGCCGGAAGCAAGGAGCCGGGCATCGGGCAAGCCATCCGCTTGGGTTCTCTTCGTTGCTCGGTCTTTTTCATTTTGTATACCTAGGTCCCCCCGGTAGTGCCCTTTTACCCCTTTTTTGGGGGAGGGTTCCTCTGCTAAAATAGACTACAGAAAAAGAAAGAAAGTATTCTTCTAGCCTCTCTACTGGAGGACCTGGATACGCAACCTGCTTCGAGCGGGTGGTCAAACCCCACATCCCTTAGCATTCCTCACGCACATCGGGTTCTCATCCGAGCGCACGCTCCACGCAGGACTCGGTCTCTGTCCGCGCGGGCCATGCGGAAGTTTGCTGAGCTGAACGCTCACAAAGAAGAGTGGCCAGATGTGCGCAGAGAGGCGAGGGCTATGCGCTAGGCATCCACAGGTCGTGCCCCTTGGGCTGAAAGGTACTTTCTTTTTTTTGGAGGGGGGAGCCATGGGAAATCAGCACGTACGCATGCAACTCCCAGCTTATTCGTCATGGTGGAGGAAGACTGCATTTCTCGTGTCCAGCAGATTTGTAGTCAGATGTTTGAGACGGAGCCCAACCTTTCAAGGTTGGGGATTTCTTTGTTTGAGGATGCAAGGGGAGGACAAATGCAAGGCCCCCGTTGGTGCGAGGCATGCGCCGGCTGTCCATTTTTGCAAGCAGCGGACGCTTTTCAGTTTGGATCGGCATGCCAAAGGTTCCTCTGCGGTAGAGGCTTTGCTCGTGCACTACACCAACAACTTTGTCGAGAAGTGGCAGAACAATGTTCTCAATTGGTCCATGGACAATCGCAATCTCCACTGAAAGGGTCAATGCGTGTCTTTGCCAGGCTGCTGCTGCCGCGGACAGCGAGTGCCGGTTAAAGGCAGGGAGAGGTTTTGACCGCGGTTGAGGATTAGGGGGATCCGACTGCTATGTGCCGACCTCGCATGCCGGACTCGACTCTTCAGTGATTCTTGGCGAAGTGTGTAGAGTAGTCTTTATAGCCCGTGCCATGCGCAAAGCACGGCAGAATAACAGGGAGAGGTGGTCTGAAGAGAGGCGAAAGAAGTGATTGGCAGGCTGCTGCTGCCGCGGACAGCGAGTGCCGGTCAAAGGCAGGGAGAGTTTTTGACCGCGGTTGAGGCATTAGGGGGATCCGACTGCTATGTGCCGACCTCGCATGCCGGACTCGACCCTTCAGTGATTCTTGGCAAAGTTGTAGATTTGTCTTTGCAGCACGTGCCATGCGCAAAGCAGGGCAGAAAAGAAAGGGAGAGGTGGTCTGAAGAGAGGCGAAAGAAGTGATTGACAGGCTGGTGCTGCTGCCGCAGTCAGCGAGTGCCGGTTAAAGGCAGGGAGAGGTTTTGACCGCGGTTGAGGCATTAGGGGGATCCGACTGCTATGTGCCGACCTCGCATGCCGGACTCGACCCTTCAGTGATTCTTGGCGAAGTGTGTAGAGTAGTCTTTGCAGCACGTGCCATGCGCAAACCAGGGCAGAAAAAACAGGGAGAGGTGGTCTGAAGAGAGGCGAAAGAAGTGATTGGCACAAATGTAATGATGAAATAAGTCCGCTCATCTTCAAGCTGTGTAATCTCTGTAACCAAGATTAGAGTGACTTGACATGGAGAAGTAACGGATAGCAAGTTGTAAAAGCTAAGATATTAATATGAGACCGTTCCTTTGCTTCTATCTTCCGGAAGTTGAACAAGACATGACAATAATTCCCGAAAGTTGAGGATAGAGACAGAGAGAAGGAGATGCATAATAAGGAGACAGGACTCTTTCACCTACAATTATCTTCCTTCTTTAACCGTCATATCTTCACCACTCTGTTTAGGATGTAATTTCATATTAATTTTCCCTTTATTCCTAAGCCTTACACATGCTTCTAATGCATGCACTTCATTCAAGGTTTTTATAGAAGGATCTGGAGTTTGGAGGTTACAGTGGTGACTTCTCCATCATTAATTCTTTGGTATCTCTTTCTATATCTATTTCTTATCTTTTTCCTATGGATTAGGCTGGTGCTGCTGCCGCAGACAGCGAGTGCCGGTTAAAGGCAGGGAGAGGTTTTGACCGCGGTTGAGGCATTAGGGGGATCCGACTGCTATGTGCCGACCTCGCATGCCGGACTCGACCCTTCAGTGATTCTTGGCGAAGTGTGTAGAGTAGTCTTTGTAGCCCGTGCCATGCGCAAAGCACGGAAGAAAAAGTAGGGAGAGGTGGTCTGAAGAGAGGCGAAAGAAGTGATTGGCACAAATGTAATGATGAAATATATCCGCTCATCTTCAAGCTGTGTAATCTCTGTAACCAAGATAAAAGTGACTTGACATGGAGAAGTAACGGATAGCAAGTTGTAAAAGCTAAGATATTAATATGAGACCGTTCCTTTGCTTCTATCTTCCGGAAGTTGAACAAGACATGACAATAATTCCCGAAAGTTGAGGATAGAGACAGAGAGAAGGAGATGCATGATAAGGAGACAGGACTCTTTCACCTACAATTATCTTCCTTCTTTAACCGTCATATCTTCACCACTCTGTTTAGGATGTAATTTCATATTAATTTTCCCTTTATTCCTAAGCCTTACACATGCTTCTAATGCATGCACTTCATTCAAGGTTTTTATAGAAGGATCTGGAGTTTGGAGGTTACAGTAGTGACTTCTCCATCATTAATTCTTTTGGTATCTCTTTCTATATCTATTTCTTATCTTTTTCCTATGGATTAGGCTGGTGCTGCTGCCGCAGACAGCGAGTGCCGGTTAAAGGCAGGGAGAGGTTTTGACCGCGGTTGAGGCATTAGGGGGATCCGACTGCTATGTGCCGACCTCGCATGCCGGACTCGACTCTTCAGTGATTCTTGGCGAAGTGTGTAGAGTAGTCTTTATAGCCCGTGCCATGCGCAAAGCACGGCAGAATAACAGGGAGAGGTGGTCTGAAGAGAGGCGAAAGAAGTGATTGGCAGGCTGCTGCTGCCGCGGACAGCGAGTGCCGGTCAAAGGCAGCGAGAGTTGTTGACCGCGGTTGAGGATTAGGGGGATCCGACTGCTATGTGCCGCCTCGCATGCCGGACTCGACCCTTCAGTGATTCTTGGCAAAGTTTGTAGAGTTGTCTTTGCAGCACGTGCCATGCGCAAAGCAGGGCAGAAAAAACAGGGAGAGGTGGTCTGAAGAGAGGCGAAAGAAGTGATTGGCAGGCTGGTGCTGCTGCCGCAGACAGCGAGTGCCGGTTAAAGGCAGGGAGAGTTTTTGACCGCGGTTGAGGCATTAGGGGGATCCGACTGCTATGTGCCGACCTCGCATGCCAGACTCGACCCTTCAGTGATTCTTTGTTTAGTTTGTAGTGTAGTCTTCCAAGCGAGAGGCAGTCTGCTGGTTGAAATGTCTTGTGTGTGTGTTCCCTTGTGCGCAGGAATGACATCAAACTGAGTCCAATCATACTTTGAATCTTGCTTCATAGGGTGGCGTTTCGGATGCCGTTCTCGTCCGCTGCGTTTGGACCACGTCCCAAGAGGAAAGACATGCGATCGAATAGGAACCCCTGGGAAGAGTGGGACATAAAATCCAGAACATCAAAGGATCCCTAATTCTAGGGGTAGCTTCCCCATTCTGAACCCAGGGATCCTTCTTTCTAGAAAGTCTCCGGAAACCCAGAGTAAATAGCTGGTTTTTGAAAAGAACGATGGTTGAAAAGAATGGGGAAGCAACCCCTAGACCAATACACAAAAGCAAAGCACCTGCTTGAACCGCAAAGTGTTGCCCCATTTCAAGGTGCTCGCTCAGAGCTTCCCAGCCTTTCAGTTCCCCTCGCAAGGCTGGCCGGACGCACGAGTGCCGGAAGGCGAATGGGGCAAAGATCGAAACGGGATGGGATACTCAGCCCGTCCATGCGGATTGGGGGTGCCAAGGAGCCAGGGATGCTGAAGTTGCCTGTCAAAGGGGGAGCCAGGAAGCCCCAATTCCCACCAAATTCACTTGGCCGCAGCGATTTTTGTTGCCTCTCTCCAATCAAGGAATCGGAGCATCGGATGACCGCCCTGTCCACTTGCACGATTGTTGGCAAGTCAGGCGCCTTGAAATCTGAAAGTCAGGGGTTGCTGCACAGTGCCGGTGTATTCGGAAAGCCAGGTTTTGGAATTGGAATCGAAGCTTTGGTGTCCCTGACTCGTTGCCCGAACCAGACGCCTGGGCCAAGTGGCGTGTCGAGTATTGCAACCTTTTGCAGCTTTCAACTCGAGTGTCTCATGGCAGAGAGGAACACAACCTCGGCCCCGCTTCATCCAAGCGACACCGGCGTTTTAGGCTTCTGATTGTTCCAGTGGCTAGTCCCCAAGCATTTGGATGTGATTTGCTTTGGCCTGCTGCTCCTTGCTCCATCAGCCGAGCGCAGCACAACAGCCATTGGTGGTTCATAGTTGAACACAACGACTTTTTGGAAGCATGTGAGCCTGGCGCACAGCGAAAGTGAGTGGGAGCATGCGCTTCGGCTGCCAGGAATGCACATGCGCAAATATGCACCATGCTCACGATGGTACTCTATTCAGCGGGCATGTTGTCTGCATTCATGCACCCCATTTACGGGGATTTTCGACCACCATGCTGAGGATTGCTACTGAGGGAACCACGACCATGGAGGGGCACGCCTAGGCTACATGACCCACTGCCGGTTTTTTTGAGGCCATTATTGCGGGGATGTGACATCCTCAACTGCAAAGGTAAACCAACCCCAAGCAATTTTGAGGGTGCTGGATTTGTTCACTTTGGGGGGGCCCGTCATTGTCCTGTATGCTTGATGAACATGAATACAAAACAGCGTATGTTCGCATGGAGCCAACTTGGATTGCGCAATTGCACTACACTATTCCGCGTTTACCTGGCAAATGGTTACACCTTCTGAAAAACCCCGATCGTCTCCCGGCGAACTACCAATGGTTATTTTTCTAGCCCCGTCCAAATTGACGTTTTCCGTTTTGAGGCATGCCCTCGCCATGGTGCCAAGGGTTCCAGGAAACGGATTTCCCGGCAGGACAGACCGCCGGGGGCGTCGCCGGTGGATGCGCCACATGTGCTGAAGTTCAGAGGGCTTCCGTGGCTCTCCATGGATTCCACTGATTCATGTGAGGGTGGGTCGAAAAATGCTGATATGTCTATGGTTCATGTGGAAGGAACATGGGGAACCCATCCCTTTTGCATCGTTCTGCTATTGTGCGTCATTTGTTGTCTGCCGTGAAGGGCGAAGTGTGAAGGGCACCAAGTGTTGGAAAGGAGCGAACCCACAGCGCGTATGGGGCCTTGTTTGCTGTGAGACACTGCGTGCGAGGAGCGTGCCGCTTGGCAATGAGTACAATTGAAGGTTTGCAGTTAGAAGGCTTGCGTTGAGAGAGTGCGCGTGTCAAAACTGGGAGGCCCCCTTTATCGGGACCATGGTGACGTTTCGTGCCGCTTTTTCCAGGGGTCCGGGAAGGGGGGCATATCCTGAATATCAGTCTGTTTGGTACTTAAGGGGCACTTACTGTCAAGGCAACCTCAAACAATTCAGTAGCTCACTATCTTCTTGCAAAACGTCACAGATGTGACAAAAGAGCAGGAGCACAAGGGAGCTGTTGGAAGTAGGACTTAATGTTTACGGGGGGCGCTCGACCAGCGAAGAAAACTATGGCAAGCAGAAACACATTCTAAATCCAGCCTGATCAGCGCGCATTGAAATGGATGTCGTTGCGCGCGCAGCCGGAGATCAGCCAAGGCATTGCATTGAGACGGTGCGGCGTACATCAGGCAGAGTGACCCATGACCGGATTTCCGGAGCTGATGATCGCGTCTGAAGCAGGAAAAGACACAAACTCTGCGTATTCTTGGCATGTTGAACGGCTTACTGCAGCAAGGTGAACCTTAAGTCTTTGATGCATTACATTTCTTGCTTACATGAAGACATGACGGGCAGATTGTGTTTCCATACTTGGGCTCTGTCGTGTTTGCCTTCTCGCCCGGGCAGCTCGTTCTGCCAATGCAGGGCCGACGGTGCGCATGACGCATCCCGTGCAGGCTGGAAAAGGATTTTACATGTTCCAAATGGATTTGTGCATCTACATGCAGGGACAAGGAACATGCATCATTAGCCAGGGTGTAGTTCATACCCCACCAGCATTGTGCCAGGTGCGCGTGCCAGTGATGCCGTTGGGCGCTCCCAGGCGGGCCCCTTTTGAACCCCGGATTCATGAACGCCCGAACCCATAGCTTTAGACCTCGGGCTTCAGTCTGGTGTGTTTGGCGGACGACCCCTAAGGCCTCAAGGCCATCCGGCTGGGACGCTTGGCTTTGGGGGGCTACCATGATAGGTTTTGCCTTCCCTGAGAGACCCATTGCTTCAGTTGCACCCGGTGACGTCTCCCAGGTTTGCTTCGACTCGCGTGGGAGCCTCACTGGCAGGGCCTTCCTTCAAAACGTAGAGGATGCTTCATGCAGAGAGGACATCAATAAGATGAAACAGTGCGACACAGCACGAAGATATTGAAAACCCAACATGGACAGATGAGAAAGGGGGGGAGAGAGCGAGGGAGAGCGAGAGAGACAGAGAGAGAGAGAGAGAGAGAGAGAGAGAGCAATCAAAGCCTGGCTGTTGGCCAGGGAAACTGAGCTTGTCAGCAAGGGTTGCAGCTATGGTACGTTAAGCCTCTCCTTTCACGGCCCGCTTTCCATTCTCAATAGTTGCAGGCTCCCCCTTCAAGTTCTGTCCCGTTTATTTGCCCCTTTTGTCGAAGCAACATGCGGGCTTGGGTCTCGGACAACCCCCACATCTGGGTGCCTAAGGCGACTAGACTGTCGCTGCCAGCTGGGCTAGGGCACACCTGGGTGAGTCGGGTGTGATCTGAGTGGAACCACTCGTCTCACCGCTCACAAGTGGAGTAGTAGGTTCTTCAGTGCGAGTCTTGCTGTTGACAGACAGGTGTCAAAGCACCATTGGTTCTGAGTTAGGGATGGTTATGGACCAAATGGGGAGTTCAGACAACCATTGAAGTTCGTAATGAAACCATGACCATGGACCAAGCAGTTTTGACCAGGTCTGGCTCGAGCGGCCTTCCAGCGGGCAGACCTGTCCTAGCTGTGATGGGTGCAAGGGTGAGCACGCCCATAAGGCTGGCCTTTTCGTCATCCTGCGCGGCATCCATGCGCCAAATGGTTGAGCTGTGCTCTGACATGTGTGCCTCGGGCATGGGAGCAGCACAGGCGCACTTCCACACGGTTGCCTTGCGCGAAGCCATTTCTGAAGGGCGCCCAGTCTATGCTTCAGGCTGCAGTGATTCCTGCAAACATCACTGGTCACAGGGTTCGCAGATAGATTGCGAAGCAGGTGCCGGCTGCCATGAACATCATGCTCAGCTAATGCTCTGTGAGCGAAGTAGCCTTCGATCGTTGTGCGTGCAGTTCGTGTCAAGCCGTGGTTGGTTCGGCGACGGAGCGGTAGTTTATAAGTACCGTGCGATCGCCCAGCTGGTGATCCAATATGTCAAGTTTTCCGTGCTGGCGCCTTTGCAATGTGCCGACGCGGAGCTGAAGCAGCTCTTCCTGCAGGCAACTGTATTATTGTCTACCTTTCAGTCGGACTGGATGCTGCCCTTTTTGGCGCATGACGGCGCGCGCTTCTGGCGCCCCTCACTTGCAACAAGAATGGCTATCCTGTGGCCAGCCCAGGCAGCCTTAAGCCTGTGGTGGTCCGCTCGGTGTGGACTGCGCCTGTAGTGAGCGCGAGTACGGATGAGAATTCGTGAATGTGTATGACACATTGCCTGCGTCCCCTAATGAGGTCGCGTCAATTATGCCACTCATCAAGGTTTGGACTTGGCCACTTTGGCTCTCTTACCCCTCACGTGGCCTGAGGTATCAGGTCGATACTGCAGCCAGATTCAGTACCGGGTGGCGAGTGCTCCACGACCCACGCTCCCACCCATGACAGAGTTTTCTCGAGATGGAAAAAAGGAGCTTTGGCCATGGCGCAAATTATCAGGCTCCCAACTCTTGCAAGCCACTGGAAGCCTTGACTCCACTGCCAAGTCCTCGCGTCTTCCGCGCTGTGTTGGCTGTACGTGAGTTTCCTGGGTTGGGTTGGGGAGCGCTGATGTGAATAAGTGCCTGCAACACGCAGGAGTGTTTGACCAGTTTGTATTCACTCTTCAGCGTTGAGGGTGGGCCGCGTGCATTGCTCTTCTTCTTTCGGACTTCTGCTGAATAAGGTGATTTTCTCATGGAAGCGGACGACCGGGCTTCCCAAGGAAAATCGCGTCAAGCCTCCCCGTCAGCTCTGCATGCTCCCGCCGTGCCTCACGCATGGGAGCAGCGGTCAGTATTTGCCTTCATACACTGTAGTCAACAGGGTGACATTGTGCACAGCCCCTAGATTGCCAGGAAGAATTGGAGGTTACTCGCCTGATTCCAATGTCAGAGACACAATGAATATTGACCGTGGCTCATGGTATCGGAGAGACATGAAGCCCCCCTACCTTCCCAAGGTTCTCAAAAGCTTCGATCGGAGCCCCTACTAAAGTTCTTGAAAGGCGGTGGCTTTGGTGGGCCTTAGGTTTCTCCGCAAATCCGCCGACTGCCCCAGAAGCAAGGCAGACGTCGCCACTTTGCTAGGATGGAGTCTAGCCATTAGAATTGCGCCGACTTTGCATACTGCCAGAAAGGAGGTGTTGTTCCTGGCTGGCGAAAGAGACCTCCGGATGAGCTTTCTGCAGGCGAAATTGAGAGGATAGCCAGGTGGGCACGCGTGTAAGCAACATGACCCCAAATTGTGTTTCAATTCAAGCCAAGGTGAAACGGGTACCTGTGAAGTAGACCCCGTACTGATACCTGCCTGGCGGAATGGCTTCTTGCACACGTCCGGTCCTGGGGTTCCTTGACCTTGTTTTAATCAGAGACGCTTTTGGTTTACCATCTCGAGTTCTGCTTGGACCTGATCCAAGGTATACGTTCCCTGCCAGTTTGCGCGGCTCGAAGCGTCTTGGACCACACAAAGGTTGCGGGTGACCAACCAAGCTACCAGTCAGCTGAGCTTCAGCGTGCAAGAAACAGCTGACACCTTTCGCAGCCTTGTCACCGTCATCGATCCGAACTGAATCGCCGGAGCCTTGAACTCGGCGCGGAACTGAAAACCGGTCACCAGGTTTTGATAAAACAAAGAGGCCTGATTTGATGGTCCATTTGGGGTTTGATTTGGACATGGGGGACGAGCTCTTGTGCCCACAGCTCGGGGACTCACGCATTCTCCCGTGTCCTCTTGAGGCAACAAGTTATTTTGACTCTGCCTCACGTGAGCCAGTGTTGTTGACGAGAACGGGGCCCTCGCGAAATTTCAGCCGCAAACCACACGATGTTACTGTAAGCCACCTGATTTGCTCATGTCCTCTTGGGGGATCAAGCGCTTTGTCCAGGGCCCATATGTTCCTTGCAAGCTGTTTGTTGTGAGGGAAGGTTTGCTTCTTCAGTAAATGGTACCATTGGCGCTGCGATGCACAAGTACCGCCTTTGCCAGGAGATGACTTCCACATTGGAACTGGTCTGGATCTCAAACATTGCGACCCCTGATTGACAATCCGCCCACTTACTCAATGACTGCAGGTGGGGGTTATTAATCAGAGAGAGAGAGAGAGAGAGAAAGTCAAACTTAGGGAGCCCTTCCAGGTAGTTGGTGTCCATTTGTTTTTTCCTTTCAAACCGTGTCGAAAGGGTCCATAATGTTGAGAACCAGCCCAGGAGAGGGAGAGAGGGAGAGAGAGAGAGAGAGAGAGAGACAAAAAATGGCACGCCGCAGGTGCTGAGTTGAAAAACGAAAACACCACTGAAGGGATACAGCAAAACAAATTTTACGAACTCTATCAGGGTTCCCTATATTTGCCCTTGTGGCCATCTGAAACATCACTTTTTGGCGCTTCCTTTCGGTGGGGTCATGTTTAAGGAGGAAAGGCAGGGACACGTGCCTGGGCTTTTCTCCCGAACGCGCATCGACATGTGTCCTGACTCGCACCGCCAGCAAGCGGCTGAATCTGACTTGCGCAGGGGCCAGGGGCGTCAACTTGCTTGTTTGTGATGGGATCTGTGCGGCGGCACGTGAGTCGCTGACAAGTGTTGCTGTGGAGGACAGATGAACCCAAACCCAGGGGTATATATATATATATATACACATGTATATATATATATATGTAATATAACACACCAAGTATTGGGTTTTTATACAAACCCAAACCCAGTGATGTGTATATATATAATATAATATATATATAATATACAAAAAGCATAATATATAATATATATATATACATATGTATATATATATATATATCATAACATGGTAATTTGGACGATCAACCCCCAGCCGCGTTCAGGTGGAGAAGTTGAAAGCCCAGCTGGTTGAGTCCAGAGCGGACCTCTGCAAGGAGAAGAGAGAGTCGGGAGGGGGGGCTTTGTTTCGGCGCAGGGATTGGTTGGTGCTTCTTTTTGTTTCAAATCTTTTGTTTGGTAGATTTCTCTTTTTTTTTCAGATGATGTTTCTTTGTCTTTTGGGTTGGTTGTTTTGTGTGTGTGTGTGTGTGTGTGTGTGTGTGTGTGTGTGTGTGTGTGTGTGTGTGTGTGTGTGTGTGTGTGTGTTTTTGTCTTCCCCCGTTCTCAGCAACCCTGAAGCGAGTTCAACCACTTCTGGTTTGAAGTGAAGGGAAACCAAAAGAAAAGCCCGCCCAGTTTTGGGGTCCCCTTGTTTGACACATAACATACCCATTTGTCACAGTTCAGCTATTGGGAACGCGCGACATTCGCGGGATCCCTCAAAGTGCTCGCATTTTGAGATGTTCCCAAAATTGTTTTCAGGTCCCTATAGTTTCCCCAACACACGGGTGAGTTTAAGGATGTCAATCTCTCCACATTCACATAGTTCACACGGAACAGTGCTGAGATTGCAGGACAACGCACATGCATCATTATTTGCATTTGGTGCATGTGCTTGTGCTATGGATGGACAATCCTGTGCCAGTTGGACTTCCATACCCCGGGCCCGCCACCTTCCCACGTGCAACCTGATTGGTGCCCCTTCCTTGGACCATTTGAGTGGGGCTAAGTCTGGTTGGACGCCAGGGAAAGCCTCCGAACCCCCCCCCCAACAAAAAAAAACTGGAACGCTCCAGGAGCGCAGCGAGCCTAGCCTGGAGGTGCCGGGCTCAGGGATGAATCGAGAGCCCAACTCAAATATCCCCCTTTTGGGCTGCTGTTTGGTTGGATCTTTGAGCTTGAAGGGTCCATTTTGCAACCTTCTTCTTTAGATTAATTGGTTCTGTTTGTGCGACGCCTCTTTGCTGTATTCAGCCTTGCGCAACTTGGATCATGTATGATGATTGACCTTCTTGTTTCCTTTGCTGCAATGCGTTGGCATTCGCCTTTCCAGCTGCAATCAACGACCGGCTGGATGTTCTTGGAAATTGTGACGAGTCAGTTCTGGTGGACCATGAAGCAGATCGTGCGAGACTGGCAACGTGGTATGCCGGAGTTCTGAGGCTCGAACGGTCAATGCGGAAATGCGGAAAGTAGGGAAAGCGCAAATTCGACGAGCATGTTGCCAATATTTCTTCCAGGACATAACCCACACTGCATTTGGGTATGTGTCAAAACATGGGGGACCAAAGCCGTGGTCAAACATGGGCATTCCCGTATCCCGAAAACGCGGCCCCATTTGGCCCCCTCAACTTTGATCGAATTCGGTTTCGTTACTGAGTCGCTGAGCTGTGGCCAGGTTGACTTCGCGAAATCGTTGTCCAAAGATGGCCTCGACAAGCAAGGATTCGCAAGCGCAGGCGGGGTGGCCAGATATTTTGATGGCGGAGTAGGGAGGCTCAAAGTGAACAGTGAGGCGGATGAATCTGGGAGGATTCGTGCCAATTAAGTTTTACTCGCGTACTTCTTGGGAGCGGTGACTCGCCCAAGAGTGATTAGGATTCCTCGTAACGGGGCCTTTGAACCGGCTCCTCGATTCAGGCAGCGAGTCTGACTCGAGCACGCGCAGGCGGGGAGGGAGCCTTGGAGCCGGGTCTTGGGAGGCACGTCGAAGCGCTCACAGGCCCCGAGTTATTTCCCCTTTGGGTGGGGTGATGTTTTGACCCGGCACGAGGTTATCGGAGGAAGGACCTATACAATTTATGCCGAGTCGGGGCGAATGGTGTCTTGAGTTTGCTGATCCCCACGATCCCACCAAGGACATCAATAACCACAAACAGGGTCCTTGCTTTTTTCCACGGGCCAAATGACTTTTCAGCTAGGGAGCAAGATAGGGACTTAGAGCAGGCAAACGCCGCTGGCCTTGCAACTGCGGATGGGCAAGATCCACGCTGATCGGCGCTGGATGATCGACCACTTCCCAACTCCTGGGGTAGTCCTCGCGTGATTGCCAGGCAATGGGCTCGCTTGGATTTGTCCGAAACGTTTCTCCGAAGCAAAGGCAACGCCGTTCGAGAACAGAACACAGCTCGCCTCCAGCTTGACACACTTCACGTGCCTCTTTCACCCTCCCATAGCTTCGCCCCGACCCAAGTCGTGACACCACCAGCACAAGCATTTTTTTAACAACCACAGAGTTCGGGTTGTCTGAAAGCGCGCAGGTGTGAGCCGCACGGTTCTCAGACGGCCTGCATGCGTTTGTTTCTTCAGAGGGCACATGGTTGAGACAGTGTCACCCTGGTTGGATGATGCGGATGGCTGCATTTTTTTGAGAATACTTGTTTTCGGTTGCCGCTAGAGGGACACCAGCGCAGATTTAATCACCCATGCTTCAATCTAGACACACCCATGCGAGCTACGGAGAATATTCTTTGTTTCCCAAGATACTCTCCCACCAACAAACATGGAAGTGAACGTACTCATGTCACAAAATCCTGTTGAGACAGGCCTATCCTGTGAGAAGGATCCTGTGAGAGATAGGCGTTTTTGCGTGTGCCAAGGCCAAGCCGCGATTTGCAGGCAGCTTCCGTGCGTTGGATGACTCCGGTGCTTGGCATTGTGGCTGTGGTGTCTCCAACGCGCACATAGCATACCTGGTTCTCATGTTTCTGTTTGAACCAGTCATATCGGCAAAGGAGAATGCAGCATATGGAACAGACATGTAGTCTTCTTGCGATAGGCTATTTCAATCGGTTCACATGCTACACATTACACTCGAGCGTGCTTTGTGGGCCAATCTGACATGACGCAGTGGGCGAAGGAGTATTTTGTAAGCATTCCGCGCGTGTTCTCAAACTTCAACTGCAACACTTTGTCGGATGTCTTCTTAAAAAAGGGAAGGCTTTTCTTTGTGTTCAAAAGGCAATTCCTTGTGCCCAAAACTGATTCTAATGCTGTCATCGGTTTCACAGAACATGCATTTGGTCGGCGCCACATCGTGCAGGACGAACTCGCGTCTTTGCGGGAGGAGGCGACATGCGACGAACTGAATGGCATGGGTCTATTGGTCTATCGGCCGAGGCCTTGTGAATATGTGAGGGAACCCACAAAAAACAACACGGGGTTTGTAGAGGGACTTCCTTTTGACTGAGCCCCTTGTTGGGATTTGCGGGGCAGTAAACACCACAATCTATTGTTAGCGCTCGGCCCGGAACCTTCCAACGATAGGGCCGTTTTCGTCCGATTTGGGCGCCATGTTAGCTGAGGCACACAGGAATGTTGTTGAAAGTTTGGCAAGTGATCCACATCAGATTCGAACGACCCCACGACGGGCTTGCAAAACTTGCTGCGGGATTCCGCGAACCCAACACAGCAGCAAGTAGGAGCCCGTGGTGCTAGTTTTGTTTTGCACAAGTCCCAGCACGTATTCATTTGGCAGCAGTTTTTCTGGCCTGGCTACGCATTTTGATGGGGTCTTCACAGACATTTGGACAACTATCCACGTATTCTTGGTGTCCACCAACGGGCCATTGAATTTCATAGCGCGTGGGATATCCCAAACAAATGTTGCACCACCAAACCCAAGGGTCAAAATCGGCCCCAATTTTCCCATGTGGTTCGAAGCGACCCCTTAGAGGGAAACCACTTGGATGGGGACACATGTTTTCGGGGTATCGTTTTTGAAAGCAACGGACGGGGATTCGATTCGTTGCCAGTTCCGACACCACAGCAGCAGCCTCACGGCTAAGCTGACGAGCCTCGCTTCCAGCACTCGTGGGCCGGGGAGCCAAAGGCACGCAAAACAGGTTCACCTGTTTTATTGCCTATTGTTTGCCCAGAAACCAACAGGTAAAATGAAGGTCAAGAAAAACCGTTCGTTGGAAACTGGTTGGCTGTTGGGGACGAGCACATGAGCAGGGATTGGCTATTTTACCACAAATCAACAGGCAAACGGGCACATGGGAGGTTTCTAAACATCAGCCAGAAAACACCACCCTGTTGCTACTGCCGAAGTGCTTCGCCAAGGTGAGCAAGAGCCCCTTTTTCGTAAGCGCCGGAAATCCATTGGGCCCCTACGGGCCCCGGGCCGGGCCCCACCAGAAAGGTTTGAAAGGAATCCTTGGCTCCTAGGAAGGTTTCTTTCCGGCTTTCCCGGGGCCTTGTGACCGCCTCTCCTTAAAAGAGCCTCGGTGGGGGGGTTGTTTGTCCCTCGAATGGTGTGGCTTCTGAGGCTTTCACAGCAGCTCATTGTCGAGCGCGAGCAGAGACTTGCGTTTCAACAGGAGGCGGGGGTCCTGAGTTTGAGCTTGGAAGGGCCCAGGGTGCCGAGTTTGCCCTTTGGTTGAACCAGAATTTAGCCAGGGTTTGGTCCCTCCCAACTGCGAAGTGGAGGTTGGCAATCAGTACTTTGAATTTGTCGTCTCGCTCTTTGCTCAGAACGAGGCTTAGGGGACAACCCAGGACCTGGAATGCGACTCCTGGTCGCCATGATTGCCACTCTCTTTGTGGCAACTGTGATGCTGTTGTTGCTCACGCGGTTCGTCTCAGTCCCAATGCTACAATTGTCATAGTCCAGTCTTTGCCGTAAATCAAGTAGCTGAAGACTATGGCACAGAGTGGGAAGAAGAGTGCAGCAGGGCCAGGGCTTCTGACATTGATGGTCGCCTAGTTTGTTTTTTGGGCCATTGAGGGTTCAACCATGAGGCGAAGAAATACAGAGCTGATGTCATGCAATTCCTGGCACAGCGCTTCGGGGCAGCCTTCAAACTTTGGGGGGGGGGGGGGGCCCGACGTTCTGTGCCACACCACTTGCCAGATCCGAGAACGCCAAGATCGCGTCTCGGTGCCGTCCTTTCAGCAGGCGCTACAGGGATGCCTCATAGCGCAAGCAGCCTACGAGCGGGCAACCGGTTCACTGTTTGGTTTGATGTGTTTGCCTCGCTGTACAGTCGCGTGAAAGTAGAAGGGAGTTGTGCCATCTACGTTCACTCTGGTGTATCTTTCCCGGCGTGTGTTTCTTCATAAAGAGGGGGGGTGTACGGTAACATGACAAAACTCTTGCGCATGGCCCCATGCGCGGGCTCGCAGCTTTGTTGGCCAGATGACAGGGCCTGCATGACCAAATGGGCAAGTTGCATGGAGCCAATGCCCAGAAGACTCGAAAGCCCTCCCAAGCGAAAGAAACGAAACGCCTTCTGCATAGCTCCGTTCCTTTGCATTGGCTGGAATTATCGAAGACTGCTTGCCATTGTTGTCGGCCTAAAGTTGACCGGAACTGCTCCCATGTCACCTGAGATGGCAAGCTTCACATCTTGTGCTGACAGGTTTCTCCATGACTTTGCTCGAGGCCCAAAAGTTTAAGCCTTGTTTGGCCAGTCAACTTGGCAGGTCAGAAGATGGTGTGTAGGAAATCTCTATTTGACCCTATTTGAACATTGATTTAGATTGACGTAGACATTGGGCAGACTTTCTGCCTCGACCTATGCCTTGATCCATGCCGGCCGCTGCATCACCGAAATGCCATCCGGCCAACCGGCGGTTCCATGACCACCTGGAGAGACTTCGCTCCTCGGCTCACGGCACCCCTCAAAACCACGCTGAGGAGCTGGTAGGGCCATGGTCAAAAGACTGGTTCCTTTGGTGGGGATGGTCATCAACCTCTTAGTAGGGGTTTTAGACAACCAAGAGAACTGTTCTTCTCTGAGTTACTGACATCATTTCTGGTCTCTTGCTAGTTTGGGGAGGACGAGAAAGGGGGCACCTAAATTTCAACCACCAGAAGACTCCCCGCTTCTTTTGGCGCATGCGTAATTTTTCTGTGGAGCTCAGCCCTGCGTCACTCAGGACTGGAAGCAGGATCCAAGAGGTACTTCTCGCAGGAGAAGACCTACTTCCGTGCCATCCGGGCAGTCCGGCGCTATCCCCTGCCACTGCGCAGTGCGCACGAGGTCACAAGCCTCGACGGCGTGGGCAAAGCCTGTGCCCGGATCTTTGAGGAGATTCAGCAAACGCAGGCAGGGGGCCTGGCCGATTCGACCTGAATGCGTGGTGTGTATCAACAGGGGACGAGGGGCTGGTTTGAGCACATTTTGCAAGCAACCCTGGCAGGCAGTGCCGGAGACACACGACGCAGAAGCAGAGTGGAGAAAGTGCTGTAAACAGCGACTGGAAAAGGCCTTGTGCAAGGGCCAGCCTGGAAAGCCTGCAGGCAAACCGAGCCACACCTTCGCTAGACGGACATATGGTGGCCGGGGTGCGAAAGGCCGCGGGCGCGGGCGGGGCCGAGGAAAACAGGTGGTGGAGGATGCGGATGACCAGCCCTTATGTTTGCTGGCACCAACCCCGCCCCGCACGCCGCGCTCGAATGCGCAGCTAGTAGCGGTGACACCGGAAAGCGCCTTCCGCCCGACCCACTCGCCGCTGGCTTCGCAGACCTCGCTGGAGCGGTCTCCGCTGCAAGGCGGCTTGCAGCAGCTGGTGCAATTCGAGGTTCCGGAGCTGCCGGAGGTGCCAGAGCTGCCTGTGCCACTTGCAGATCCGGGTCTCCATGCAGTCAATGCAGTGGAGTGTCACTTGCCAAAAAATGGCATTGAGGTGACAAGTTGAACTATCAGAGACATGTGACAAACATTAAGGTTGCCATTTGTTAGGGTAATCTCAACCATGTGAGGTTCGGTCAAAATAATGCAGTGGCCTATGTATGGGAGGGACACAGGGAGCCAAGACACTTCTCACAAGACCGAAGCACCCTCCAATTTTCGCGTGTTATGGGAGCTACATATGATTTGACCTTGGCTCATTCTTTAGATCTATGTAGTTGGTTTATCGAATAGGATTTCATCCATGCCTGGAGTTTTTACATCACTCTAGGGGTACCTTCCCCATTCTTTCCAGGGATCCATCTTTTCAGGAAACCCTCAAAAGCCCATGGGGAAACAGCCGGTCTTTGAAAACGATGGTTGAAAAGAATGGAACAGGAATCCACCTGTAGAAACCCCGGATTTAAACTGGTCGATGTTTAGAACCCATGCTAAACAAGCCATTTCTGACTGATCAAGGCACCCATGGGCCATTTCTGGGGAATCAGCCCCCATCACATGACGTAGACCTGACCGGACCGATCGCCCGAGGCCGCAAGCGCCCGCTCAGGCGCTCCGTGTCTTCGCCTGCGCGGCCCAAGCGCCAGCTGCTCGCAACGCGCCACCCAGCGACCAAGCGGGTTCTCGGCTTCTGAAACGTGGCTGTGGGTCAAAACCGTTTTGGGATACCATTTTGGGGGTGCACCAGCCATTTTAGAACCTATTTTAGTGGTTGGATTGGGATGTTCACTGGGGGTACGATTTGGAGTTTGACCCATGGCCACATACCCCCCATGGTTGTTGTTGCGAAACATTTTTCACATTTTGCTTTTTGTGGTTGAGTGGTTGAAATCCAAATCCACTTAGCTGCTAAAAAATGAAGTGTTGCTCCCCTTCCAACGTCAACTAAGCGGGCCCCGTCCAACTGCCTGGTTTTCCATTGGTTTTCCTTTGAAAGGTGTCCCCGATTTTGAGACAGACCTCTGTTAATGGCTTTGTCTTTTTAAAGAACCCTCACAATAGGTGGTTTCCTTTGGTTTCCGTCCTTTAATCAAGGCCAACCAGGTACCCTCAAAAAATGACAGACCCTGGTGTATGTGATGCATCCGTGCGGTGCATGCTGTGTGTGTGTGTGTTCTGCGTCTTGTGATGTGAGGTGTACACATGCATGTATGGTCCCAACCCATATCCTATTATATACACCTGCACATACAGGCGCATGCCATACAATTGAGGTGTTTGTGTATGCGGGTGCGTCATTGTGTGCGCACCCACATGGGATGTGTGACGCGTGAATGGCGTGCCAGCGTAGTGGTGTTATAATGTGACAGTGTGATGCCGTGAACGTGTGTGGTGCATGGCTTGATAAATTGTCACCTGTGACATCATGTCATGTGTCTTCTTGTTTGTGATTTGATGTGATGTTGTCCATCGTGGTATGATGTGTCGTTTCTTGGTCTCTCTCTCTCTCTCTCTCTGTCTGTCTCATCGTTGTGTATGTGTTTGTTTGTTGTCAGTTTTCTTGCTTTCTTGTGTAGCTGCTTGCTTGCCTGTTTGCTTGCTGTTTGTTTGCTTGTTTGCCTGTTTGTTTGCTTGTTTGTTTGTTTGTTTGCTTGTTTGTTTGTTTGTTTGTTTGTTTGTTTGTTTGTTCGTTGTTTGTTTGTTTGCTTGCTTGCTTGCTTGCTTGCTTGCGTGCTTGTGATTGTTTGCTTGCTTGTTTGCTTGCTTGCCTGTTTGCTTGCTTGTTTGTTCGTTTGTTTGTTTGCTTGCTTTAGTTGGTTTGTTTGTTTGTTGTTCGATTGTGTGTTTGTTCGTTTTGATGGATGGACGGGTGGGTGGATGGATGGATGGACGGATGGTTGCTCGCTTGCTTGCTCGCTCGCTTGCTTGCTTGCTTGCTTGTTTTTGCGTGTGGGACATACATTTGACGAGCATACATATATTTCCATATGGTACCCTCCCTCCTTCCGATGCCACCATGTTTCCTTATTTTAGCAGTTTCAACAGGATTTTAGACAAACACATAGATATTTCTAAATAAGATATTTAGATCCTGGATCCAAGAATCAACATTACTGGGGACCTTTTGGGAGTAATCTTGGATCTATGAATGCCTCCCCTGAATTCTAAGCAAGGTATATACAATTGTAAATACTGTATGTAGATCCTACATCCAAAATCCAGATTTCTATCTATGTGTACATCCGTTTATACCTCACTTGGCGATGTCTTTTGTTGTGTGAGAGAGAGAGTGAGACTACTGTTGGCGCTTCTTACTCGTTAGGCATGGACTGACACGATTCTTGCACGGTCAGAGGGATGCACTTCTTTTGCTTCCATGATGAGAAGGCGCCTTTCTTTTGCTTGCCTCCAATGCGCTTCGGATGCGGAGATGAATGGAACAGCATGAGCCTCTAGGCTGTGACAACTTGTGCGCAGGACATCACCCAGGATGGTACTAGGAATGTCATCATTTGCTTGGGGGCCAGACGTGGTTGTTGCATCAAGTAGGTTGGGGAAGCCGCATCGGATGTTGTACGGCATGAGCAATCGGCTCATGCCACACAACCGCGCACACTCAGAAGCTGCAACACAATCAGGTTTCCTCATTCCGTTTTGTGCATGAATTATGTTGTGCCTTGGGGACCCAACGATTGAATCACTGAATACATCATTGGTAGTCTATTGTTGGCTTGGGGAAGACGAGAACAAAGGGCAATCAAGGGTTTTACGCCTATCCATGGTTCCGAGTCTGCTTGAGCAAGCCTTCGCAGTCTTGTCTGGTGCTCATTAGGAGAGTGGTTGTAGCCGCACCATTTGTGCCGCAATCAAACCTGGCTCTTGTCATGAATGGGTGCGGACATCCGCCTGTTTGTCTCTGCTTGGTTTTGGGTTGGACCCCTTTTATGACATCTTTGATTATGACTCGAATCTGACCCATTAAGCGACTCAAATCGTATCACAATGCGGTTGCAAACCACGGACGTTTGGCTCAGCCTGCTAGTCCTTGGGATGTGTTTGCCTTTAGCTGCCAGAAGGAATCACATCGACCACTAAGGGGTGTCCGCCCTTCAAATCGTTGGGCCCTACACTCCGTTCCAGGGGTTTAGAGCATGGAAGGAGGTGCCCTTAGCTTCGTTTGACCGGATTTGTGCCACTTCATCAGTGGCCAATCAGTGGCGGCCCTGTTGGCAGAAAGCGCCTTGGGTGCGGCGAGCGGCGCGGCATGGCTCCGCTGCTGGAGCCCCGGCAGCGCATCGCCGGCGAGGGCCTCGGATGGGATCTTCGTTCGGAGGAGGAAATATCACCACGCCAAACAGGGTAGTCCCCACCCTTTTCTCAGCTTTGCCGAACATTTCAGGTTTTTCAAAATGGGTTGGGTAAGAACTCATTCAAAAAGCGATCAAAGCAAGATCAAAACGAGATCAAGACAAGATCAAAACAAAAAACACTTCCACACAACATTCAGTCAAACATCCAATGTTAAACTGTAAACAACAAGCAACAAAAACACGCTGCACCCATTTTGTGTTTTGATCCATACGCATTCACATCCCACTTTTATTGCGTTTCAAACAGTTTTAAGCCAATACAATTTCATATCGTTGTTGTTGTTGGTAATCTACAACCAACATACCAACATACCAACATACAATATACTAAAGCCATTTTAGCACATCCTCTTTGAAGACGCGGCCAACAAATAGGTGCCCTTTGTTGTCATGCCCGCTGGAGGTCTGGGGCAAGATGTCAAGACTCCTCGATTTCCCAGAAAAGCTTATCGACAGTCAAGGGGTCAGTATAGAGAGTTTCTTTGGGTGGTATAAACATTTTCTTGGGTCAATCCGAATTGATTTTCCCTTGGCTCCTGAAGCAGATACTTGGGATTGCCGAGTAAACCTCTCGAGACCCTCTTGGGCAGTCCAAAAGAAGATCTGTTCCATGCCTTGTGCCGGGAAATGGGGGCCCGGGCTGAATAACCCCTATTTATTTTCCATTATTGGGAGCAACTCATTTAAGAGAGGGTGCAAATCACTTCTTGGTGAGTCGTTCCCTTTTAAGCCACCTGGTTGCAGTACCTTGCGGCATATGCATGTTGCAGGCGCTTTGTTGTAGTCTTGTGTAGCAGGGTTGCTCCGAACCTTGAATCGATGATCACCCTTTGGCTTCCCCTTTGGTTTGCCGTAACTGTGGTCGCAATCTTTCTTGTGCCACAGAACTTGCATTTTTTATTTATTTGGTGTCTTTGTTGCAGCACGGGACTTCGGTGTGAAACTTGTCGTGCGGCCTGTGCTCGCAAGATTACGGCCTTTGCTCGCAAGATTATTGGGGTGTGTGTCTTTTGAGGATGCGATTTTCAGGTTGGGTTGAACGGAGGGCCAAAGGGGAGCACTGCCAATTTTTTTGCCCCCCGCCCCCGCGCTCCCATTTTGACACATACCCCCGCCATTTGGTATCCTGCATACTACATAGTGTCAATGAAAATAGGCAGTCCATTTGATGGCTGAGTTGCAGCTCTTCGCCTTCGCACAGATCTGAAGCTCACTTAGCATGAGCGGAGACACATAAAACACTTGCTGGCACAGCTTTTGGCTGTTCACGCCGCTATGGAAAAGATACTCACCAAATGTTCCTTTCTGGCAGATGTGCTGACGGTCCTTTCTGCGTCAAGTAGATCGGACATGTGAGAATTGACACATGGAGGGCAAGCTCAGCTGAGTTTTCCCCTTCCCGCCCCCACTCTAAGCTGTGAAGTGAGAGCCAGAGTGCGATATTTTATATTTGAACATCCAGGTTGTTTCAATCATGGCTTAACCCAAGGTGCCAAATGGTTGGCTCTCCGTTTGTTCCGACGGCCAGACGTGGCCAGACGTGGCGTGGCCAGGTGAGCAGTTTGAGCCGTGCCGGCCCAATGACCCCAAGTGGAGAGCCAAGCACGGCGAGCTGCGGGCGGACCTGGGGCCCATGCGCCTCTGAAACATTCTGAGCTGTAGGCGGTTCACGCTGGCTTCGTGCAGGTTGTGGCCTGTGTAGTTTAATTCAACGATCCTAGAACCAAAGGGAATGCCCGCAGGAGCCGCACTCAAAACCCGGGCAGATGAAGGTTAGTAAGGGATAGTCTTTACATGATTGCACGATGTTGTGCACTTTACCAGGGTTTCAGCGTGACTCATTGGAGGTCGAGTCAAAATCTCCCAATCCGTTTATGGTTCATTTGACACCTCAATATCAGACTGTGCCCCGAATTTCCCATGTCTCTCCTTGGGGGACCAAGCAATTTTGTTCGGCGCTCAGTTCCAAGCGCAAGTCATACAATGTCAAGCCCAGGGAGGAGAGACTTTTGCTTGGAACATAGGCGCGTTTTCCTTGTCCGAATCTTCAAAATTGCCGACCCTCGGAAATTTCCGAGGCTTGCGCAACCCTTGGAAGCCTTGAAACACATGTGCGATTGGACACGTATTTTGAGGCTAGGCAACCTCCAAGGTACTCGATCGTCAACCTCTCCTACTCGGATGGCCTGCCTGCCGTGCAGTGCCAGGCGACAGCTTTTGCAGTTGTTTGCCTTCGAGCCAAGCAACTTTCGTGGACACGATTCCCTTCATGTCCGCTCATGTCCCCTCTCCATTTCCCTCTTGGGTTTTACTTCAGTCCCCTCTCCATTTCCTTGCATTTCCCTTCAGCTCCCTCGGAGGTTTTGGAGGATGGCTACCCTCCCCCCGGCCACTTCCATGTGTGTTGGAAAGAGGATACATTAAAGCACGCGTTGCTGACTCATTCTTGGTTGGCTGCCTCTGCAGAACTGGTTGCTGCACGCGTCCAGAACGAGCCTGGAGTTGCCATCCAGATTCAGTAATCAGCAGCGTGTACAGATATGGTTTCATGTTTAGAAGTTCCCAAATCGAACTAGGAGATACTTTCAAGCTAATTGGCGCACATCCGGCCTCGCCAGCAATCGCATGCGAGGTATCGATCGGCTTTAGGTGGCCTCTATCAGTTTCTGGTGGTAATATGGGTGTGCCACAAAACACGGACCCCAAAAATCGTGATTCGCTTTTGATTTACTTTTAAAACAGCCCCAAACGGGTACCCTAAAATGGACACAGCCACGTAGTCCGTTGCTCAGATCAGATCATGCTGAACCGTGTCTCGTCCGTGAGGCGGATGGCTCTGGCGTGGCCACCTACCTCTCTGGGCGCAAAGCGGTGTGCGTGATGTCACACCATCAGCGCCTCGGCTGGCTCGTCGTTGTGAAAAATGGGGTTTTGGGGCCACTTTCTGCTAGCTTCATTATTTTACCACGATCAAAGTCACCGGAGGTGGGTTAAAGGGAAACAACCCCAGTTTCTGACTTTGACCCCCAGAAACCCTCAAAATAACGACCCCAGTTCTGGGAGACCAAGATAATCTATGCAAGCAGTGGGGACTGTGATTTTCCACAAGCACTTCGAAGCGTCCGGAATTCCTCCAGACGTTCGCTGCCGGCACTTGTTTGTACGACGCTGTAAAGGCCACGGTGGAATTTTTGAGAGAAGACTGACACCATGGGCATGAGGTTTGCCATGACTTTGTTTGCGGTGGTCCAAATGTAGGGCGCCCGCCAACCCCCAGTTTGCAGCAACAAAACAACTTGTTCAGGTCTCCTATCCAAAAGTATAAAGGACCCCAGCCCTGGTGCAGCACTGGCGATAGCCGGCAACCTGAAGGTCGCAAAGTATTGCACCAGTTGGCACGCGCGTCCATAGGTCTTATTTTTATATCCCAACTGGTGCGAAGTGGATTTTGTCCATACACGGCAGGTCCGCTGTTCGATTGCAAAGGCCGACTCTGCTAGTGCGAGGCAAGAACTCTGGCAGCTCTCAGCGAAATCACAAGTTGTTTTTCCTTTTTTTTCCGGAAGCAACCCAAAAAATACCCACGGAAGCCAAAGTTGGATGGTTCACTCTGGGGTCATTTCAACGCATTCCCCACATAGGTGTCTTTTTTGGTTGTTTTGCTCGAAAAATAGATGGCGATTCCTGGTTTACCCGGTGGTTTAATCATCTGCCAGGGTCATCTATTTCCCCCAAAAGCACACCTGTGATTCCCCACCTCTCGAAAGGCGAGCTTCGGTGTGTCGTTCGCTGAGGTCCCGGCGCTTCAGCTGCTTCCTCTTCGCCCCGTCGGAGGTGGCGGTGCGCAGCGCAGTGCCGGAGAAGGACCGTCCCAGCTATATGCCGGCGCACGTGGACGACGCCAAGAGGCGATGGGATCCCGATTCGGCGCTGGGGAACGAACCCACAGGAGGGTGCTTAAACATTAGGTGTTCGAGCATGCCGGAGAACGGGTGAGATATAGTGCCCTGCAAGTTCACGGAAGGAATCTAAGAAAGGGCAACCAAGGCTTGAAGCGTCGGCTCCAAAGAGAATATATGTATATTATATATACACAGAATTTGTTCATAAGGACTTTGCTCCTTGAGTTCGTGCATCCCAAAGGAATGACCTAAACAATTTCAGGCACACGGTCCAAAACGCAAGAATTCATCCAAAAGGGCTTTGTGCACTTTCAATGTTTGTTGGTGGGAGGGTACTACCATGTGCAGATTGCCAAGAGCCAAACTAGTTTAACGGGTGGCAACTGTGCTTGTTGGTGAGCGCCCGAATCACGGCGAAGGGCCGTTGCTTTGGGGCTCGGTTTCATGCGAAATGGAAAGGGGATGGGAGCTTGTGGAGGGAAGAGCGGCTAGGAATGGTTTCCACTTTGGAAAGAAATTCAACCGCCTCGGCTTTCTGCTACAGAAAGCGACATGCGTTCCTCTCAGGCTTCCCAGAGTCAAAACAAGTCACAATCAAAACCCAGATAGATGAAGGGTAGTAAGGGGCCGTCCCAACCATAACTGCGTAGCGGCTGCCCCTTTGGTTCTATACTTGATTTTGGGTAGACTCCTTTAGTGCCAGGTTTTGACTGTTCAATTCAATGAGGCTGAAACTATCCCACAGGCCAGGCCTATTGCGCTTGTATTGTTGACCCCGTATTGACCAACCTGGTAAGCTAACAATGGGGTGTTCCCGCCGAGAGTGATCCGGCTTTCCTCTGCAATCGGTTGCTCCGATCAAGATCAAGCAGAGGTTCATTCGTGGGTACCTGTGAAACGGGTAGGTACCAAACAGAAGCCAAGGTGTGTTTTTCCGGTTCCCATTTCCCGTTCGGGCTCCGCTTGTTCGGCGGGTTTCCGGTCGCCTGGTCCTCGGTCCGAAACCGAAGGCGCCGGACGCGGCACCTGGGCGCCTTGGATGAGTGGGGCAAAGGGGTGCTGGAGTCGCTGCCCGACGGCGCCGGTCAGCGGGGCAGTTACGAGGTGACCGGCACCCACGTGACCGTGGCGCCCTGGCCAGCCACGCTTTTTTTGTTTTTTTAATGGCCACCAGTTCTTCCATGCTTTTCAATTCCGACCGGTTTTTTGGGCAACCGTGGCAACCACAGGCCATAGGGTAATAGGTTTGGTGTTTTTTTCCGACCCCGACCAGCTTTTTGGGGGCGCACGAAACCAAAGAACGCAGTTGACCGTACACGCATTTCGCTGCATGTTATGCTTTCGGGCCCGTTCCTCTAGTTTTTCTTTCCCCCGATTCCGACCGGTTGTTTGGGGCAGCTGTGGCAAGCATAAACCATAATTAGGGTAAAAATGGAGGTTTAAAACCTGGGTGTGTTGGGGAGAGTTTGGCTGCTTTTTGTGGGATCGATGGAGTTCAAAGATCGAACTTCCCAGTTTTTAGATCCAGGTCCGTTCGCAAAGAAACAGCTGGCTGGCTGTGTATCATGTTGATTTCGTTGCAGAAAGCAGCGCAACAGTCAGCTTACATTTGAAAGTTGCTTTGTTTAATTGGAAGGCCCCGCAACCCTTGGTGGGAATCCAGGATTGTTAAGACCCCATGCTTGGGGGATCAACCCACGGAAGGGATCCCAATCACCTTATTCGGTTTTCCTGACAGCAAATTCCGGAAGGAATCGCAAGGTAATCCCACGGGCGCACTTGCATGAGCGCACTTGCACGAGCGCGCTTGAACCAACGCAGCGCACTGGCACGAGCGCGCTCACAGGAGCACGCTTGCGCAAGCGCGCTTGCGCCCGTCCTTGCACGCGCACAATCTTGCACGAACGGGCTTGCACGAGCGCGCTCTTGCACGAGCACACTTGCGCGATCACAGTTGCTCAAGCACAAACTTGCACGAGCACTCTTGTGCGGGACAGCTTGCAAGAGAGACTAAAGCTGTCTTTCAAGGCGGCGGGGGGACCGAACCCGCTCTGCGAAAATGGCATCTTCTGGTCGATGCGCAAGATCTGCGGACTTTTGTTGCTACTTTCTGGGCTGCACGCTCGACCCTCTGTGGGGATCGGGGTGGTCGATGTGCAAAAGCTGAGGGGTTTTGCTACTTTGCGGGGTTCCAGGGATCGCCGTTGTTGATCTCACGCAGAGGAACTAGCGCAACTTCGCAAGCTGAACAACTTGTGCGGAGCAACTTGCGCAGAGCAGCTTGCGCAGCACACTTGCTGCGCAGAGCGCTTGAGCAGAGCAACTTGAACAGGGCACTTGCGCAGAGCAACTTGCACAGGGCAAGTCAGAGCACTTGTGCTAATCACTTGCGCAGAGCCTCTTGCACAACGCGCTTGCGCAGTGCGCAGGGCAACTTGCGCCGAGCTCTTGCGCAGAGCAACGCAGAGCAACTTTCAACACCACGGGGCACTTGCGCAGAGCACGCAGAGCAACTTGGGCAGAGCAACTTACGCAGAGCGCTTGCGCAGGGGACTTGCGCAGAGCAACCTGCGCAGGGCAACTGGCGCGCAGCAACCTGCGCAGAGCACGCGCGAAGCAACTTGCAAGCTTGCGCGGAGAACTCGCAAGAGCACACTTGCGTAAGAAAACGCACGCGGGAGATTAACATTACAATTTTGCTTTGCAGCGCCCATTGATGGACTCCAGATCGCGCGAAACCAAAGAACGCGTTTGACATTGCACACTTTTCGCTACATGTTATGCTTTCGGCCCACCCATTCTTCTAGTTTTTGTTTTTGCTGGGTAGCCGTGGCAACCATAAACCATAGGGTAAAATGGAGGTCAACAACCTGGGTGCTTGGGCAAGGCTCCTTTTCCTGGGCGATGAAGTGGCGTTCTCGGCTTCCGTGCTTAAAGATCGAATGCAAAGAAAACAGCTGGCTGGCTTTGTATGATTTTGTTTTTGTTTCAGTGGAAGGCAAAGCAACAGCCTGCTTACAATCGCGCCCGATCCTTGATGGGAATCCAGGATTGTTAAAGCCCTGATTACCTTGGGAAACAATTCGTCGTCGTTAATGCATGGTTTAAGGGTCTCGGATTGCGGATTACTCAAACTATTGGATGCGTAGGGGGTGTTCCCCGTGAGAATGAGTTGCTCCCCTCAAGCAAACTCATCGAGTTGAGACACATCCTGGGTTCCCATTCTGCCATTCCAACCCCTGAAGCCAGCTTCTGCAAGTGAGCCAAATATGCCATCACCTGCAGGAAGATCTACAAGTTAGCCAGACCCTGGTTTTATGTGTTTTTTTGGGGGGGGGGAGGAAAAAACCAGGGGTTTGGCTAACTTGTATATCTTCCTGTAGCTGATGGCTTTGACCCACTCCAATTCGCAGGTCACGGCTGGTGGCGCAGGCAGCCGTGTGCGGGTGCCACGGAACAAGGCGGAGGGGGAGCCGCTGTCTCTCAGACTGTGCCCGGAGCTTGCGGTCTCCTACAATGCGGCCACAGGAGTCTGGGCTGTCGTACCCAAACCCTCGAAATTTCGGAGCGCTGGATGTAGTAAGCCGCCTTGCTTCATGATGGCGGGGGCAGTTGCTGCAACTCTCAGAGTAAAGAGCATGGCAAAAAGTTGGATTTGCTTCGGGAGGCAGCGTGCAGGCAGGGGTTTGCCAAGTTCCCTACCAGGAACAGCGGATGGGCCCGAGACCCACTAAAAGTCTTCGCAGGCCGCCCACCCGGCAACCCGTGAAGCCTGCTTCCGATCCAAGCCAAGCTTGGAAGTTTTGGGAAGTTTTGATTGGCTGTAATTGTTTTGGTAAGGTCAACATTTCCTGAAGGCAAATATAAACCATCCAGATGCACTCGTTGGTTTTGGGGACCCTCTGCTTTTTAATGCAGTCGCAATGGTAGCCCAGAGTCGCAGTGGCCTTGACCTTGATGATTGTGCCCAGCACCAAGGCTGTAATGTTGACCCAGGATTGTAACTCCTGGTTGATGTTGATGCGGGGGAGCACCCCCGTTTTTCGATTGCATGATCGCCCGCCAGGTTCTACTTGCATTGGTGTCAATGCGAATAAGTACATTTTCTCCAGAAGAGCATTTGCCATTACTGATGTCACCGCTTTGGTTGGAGGTCAATCGGTGTTGGACGAGGGGTGACATGAACTTGTTTCCCACCAGCGAAGTGCAGCTAGCAGGTTGGCCCCTCGGCTAGGTCTGTAAGAACTACGCACCCCTGGTACATGTTTATTTGGGGAGGGTCCCAATCCAAACCGCATGGATAAATCCCGGCCTTTGCCATCCGTTGGGTACTTTTCATGTTGTTGTTTTGACAGAACTCAAGTCAGTGCCACCCTCGAGGAACGACGGCCGTTGACTTCAGCAGCGGAGGACAGCCCATGTAGCCTTTGCCGTCCATGTTGCATTTATTGCATGCGTGTTCAAGTCTCAAGCATCAAACCAAATGGCAACCCATGAAAGCTGCCCAGCTGACTTCCATGTTTGACCTCGGCAGGAGTGTCCTACACCTTCCACATTGGCGAGGCACCATTGCCAGTTATGCTAGAGCCAGGAGAAGCAGACACATTTCTTTGAGTTTGAGCGGGCATGAAGCCCCCCACTTGATTTCTTTTTTTTTGGGAGGGGGGCACCACCTCAAAAGTGGTTGGCGGACATAACTCCCCACTTAAATGGTCCCCACTTAAGTTTGATTTTCACCTGGTTGGAAAGCCATGTAACCGTGGCCTGGCAGGTTTGGCGCTTGGGTCGCTCTCCAGCAACCAACCCCCGGGAGATCCACGAGCAGATCGCGCTGAGCTCGCAGAACGCGTTGGACAGTTCCTGCAGCGTTCTGACAGCGCCTCGCTTTCAGGTTGGGGACTTGCGACCATTTTCAAGACCAACGCGCCTGCAAGGGGGCCTGGGCTATCAGTAGTTGGAGCCCACGGCCCTGAAGAAACGCCCAACTCGCCTAATGGGGAAGTCTGGGGTGTAAGCGCTTAGCTTATGGCAGAAACACAGACCCATAGAAAGGGCTTTGGATGGTTGAGAGGGGCGGGCCACGCGAAGGAAGGCACAGCGCTGATGGAGAAGACGCTGAAGAACACAACTTCTTGCCTCTCCCTGTCTACTGGCAGCGGCAAAACGCTCAAGAAGTCATCATCAGAGTCTACCATGCGGCTGCCTCTGGAAGCCTTCAAGCAGATGAGCGAAGGGCGACTAGATTTTACTCAGGACCCATTGGAGAGTCTCAGGGACCCTCACCGGCTTACCATCACAACATGAGTCTTATTTACTCAATTGGAACCGACAAAGGGCTCATTGTCATGACACAAGATGTGGGCCCTTTTGCTTGCCTCTGGAGTGGGCCGGCTTTTCGTAGGCCTCCTGTGGGTGTGTCCCTTTTGTCAACTTTTTGTTGGGCGCGTTTCCCTTCAAAGCCATTCAACGTCAGCCAGCCAAAAAAAGGCTTCTGCCTGTGATGGACCCCACAAAATCCAATGCGAGGAGGGAACACAGTGACTCGACCGTGGCTCGTGAGAGTGCTGGTCGTTTATTGTTAGCACTTGCCAAGCCCTCACCTGGATCTGCAGGGGTGAGTTTTTACATGTCCGCAATGGACATTGTGATGCGGCCGGCAGTCAGGGTCTACTTGGTGGTTTCCTTCATGGCCGTGACTAAAGAGAAACGTCGAAGGTGCAGACGCCGTCGCAGTGGTAACTTCGTGACGAGCTGGCAATCAACTGAAAATGTGACGAGATTTGTCCACTCTACAAGTGTCATGCAGTGAAGTTTCCGGCTTAGCGCCGTGCTTTGAGAGGTCGGGTGTCTGTGAAACACATCAGCACAGAGTTATTTGACTGCCCTGGTCAAACGGTGGCAAGCATGGTGGGATGTCAAGGGGTGGGGCTCGCGCAGATGTTGTGCAGCGCTCTGCTTGTTGCGCTGTCGTAGTTGGTTGCTCTTTCCATTGAGGGGGGCCACCCAAATTTCAAACCACCAAAGCCAATGGTTCACACTAAGACCACCCAAATTCTTCCTCCGTCCTCTTGGGAGAGAAAAATCAATACTTTGACCCTGGCATTTTCTGTAACCTGTTGTCCAGTGAATCAAAAGGCGTCGGCGCAACGTCGACAGGATCACGACCTGAAAAAGAAGCTCTCGAGCAAGGTGCATCCGACGCTCCGAAAGGTGCCGGTGAGTAGAGCCTTGAGGGAGGGCTGCTTGCCACGCAATGCGTCAGTCGCACGTGAGGTTCTGGTCCGTTTGAAACGGGCTGAATTTCCCTTGCCCATGTGTTTTGTGGGAACCGGAGGTTGTTGCCGGTGCCTCATGTGCCTCGTTTGGAGCATGTTGTTTATGCATCCAAGACGTCTTTTTGGGACCCCTAAAAACCATGGGTCATGTGGTTTCGGGATAATGACTCCCTGGAGCCTCCAAGTTCTCGTTTTGCACACATCTGAGCCTTCTCGCGCCTCGTTTGCGCCCGAGCTGCGAGGTTCTGAGCGGGTATCCTCTCCCAGGTGCTTGCGGTTTGGGTTGTGATCCTTTCAAAGGGTAGGCAGAGGCGGCCATGGATTCCAGCCTACACCCCAAAAGTGGTTGGCTCTGTTTTTTCTGCACAGCCCCTTATCCAACAAGTGGGTTCTCCCTATTTGGGTATGAATTCTAGCTTCGTATCCTGAATTGTGTGTGTGTATAAAGGGATGTGTCTTTGTAAGTGTGCTCATTTTAGGATGGTAGCTATTTTGAGCTGAGGTCCCCCTATTTTATTTAAACAAAAAGACAGATCTGACTTCGTATGGGCCATGGTCAAGCCCGAAACGCGGGCCATGGTCATGGCTCCCTTTAGGGCGAATCATTCCCCCCCCCCTCCATGGTTCTCCGAAGCCTTCGATCACCCTAAGGTTCCCAAGCATGGGCTGGTTTTTCCCGTTTGTTTCTCCACTTTTTTCGGGCCCGTCGCAATATTTTTCGCCGAAGCAAAAGGCCGCCGCTCGGAGCTCGGACCGGCGAGGCTACCTGTGGCCCGCAGCTCACCCAGGGAAGCCCCCCGCGGAGCCGCTGCGCCTCTGCGAGCCGCAGACCTTGCAGCGCCTCTCTGTGGCGGAGCTGCAGAAACGCGTCGCAAGCCAAGAGGGCGGCGCCTCGGGCCTCGTTTTTGGTGTTCATTTTGTTTTTAAAGAAAATATTTTATCTATCTTTCTTTTTATTTATTTATTTTGTTATTCATGTATTTGTGTGTTATTCATTTGTTTCTTCTTCAAATATATATATATATATATTTATTATCATTATCATTGTCATTATTTTTATTATCATGGCTTGGAGCAGTTGGTCGGGAATTTGCTGACTTGACTTTGGGCCTTTTGAGAGGGTCACTTTGAGAGTCTGTCTGTTGGTTTGGATCTCTTGGTTGGGAGGCCGGTTTTGTCAATGTTGAATTGGTTCTTTGTTTGTTTTCTTCTTTTTAAACGCCACAAATCCCCCCCCGGTGCTTTTCCTCAAATTTGTGTCCAGACATACTAGCGGGACCATGAAAGCGACATTGTCAAGGCTGCCCATTTTAAAATCACCCTTTTCAAAAGGTGCGCCAATTTGGTTTCCCTTTTCAAGTTTCCTTTCCCCATCTCCTTTGGCTTTTTGGTTTCCCTTCCCTTGTGGGTCTCAAAACACGCCAACACCGGCACCCGACTTGGTTAGGCCAGGTGTTGGCGGCGCTGGTGGTGGCGTCTTGGGCCACGCAGTCCGTCTTCAGCTCCTCCGCGCGCGCGGAGGTCGTGGCGCAGGCCGCCTACTCGGAGCTGAAGGCGGGCGGAGAGGCGGGAGCCGAGAGCGGGGACCGCGGGGACCGCGGGGTGGCTGGAGCGTTTGCTCCCCTATTCACATGGCCATGGTTCGAAGCCGGTTTGGGATCCCATTTTGGGATTGAATTCCCGAATTCCCCGCCTATTTTGGAACTCATAGTGGTTGGATTGGGATGTTCACTGGGACGGGGTGTTGACCCATGGCCACATGGAACGCCAGAACCCATAGAGGAAACTTGGTTTCAACGGCCGGGTCGGGGGAAAGGATTGCCCTTTTGGGGTCCATATTGATTTGCAGGGGAGTACATAAAGCAAGATGTTAGATGTATGCAACGCGTGTTTTTGTGTTTGCGAGCGAAGTGGAGCATTTTGCAAATCTACACAAGATCAATGGCCGATAGATATTTCTTTCCAACGCGCTCTTAGATTTGCCGAAATGTTCCCCCAACCACTATTGGGCAGGCCACAAGTGACATGTGCCCCGACACTCCAAGTAGTCCTTAAGTCCGCCAAGCATGGGCAGCCATTTTGATATGTGTACAGGTCTCCCCCCCAGCTGGTTGATACAGAATGTGTAGAGGAAGACAAAACGTGTGAGAGGTCCCAAACTAGTATGTGTTGAGGTATTGGCAGCAATACTGTCTCCACCCGAGTATTTCCAGGTCGCCGGTTTCCGCTTTTTGCACGTCTCCCCAGCGTCCGATTTGATTTTTTTTTGGCTAGGAGCGGCTGCAGTTCTGCGTGCTGGAGCTGGCGGAGGCGGGGGCCATCCACTCCAGCGCCTCGGCCGGATAGGCGGTTGCTTTTTGGGAGGGAAGGGTGGCTCGGTGCCGATGTTTGGGACTGTTTGGGTTTTGAGGGATTGTAGGATGTTGTTGGGGTTTGTTGGGGTTGTGTGGACTTTTCTGGATCAGGGTTGTGGGATCAAGGGGTTTCTCCCCACTTCTGTGATACAAGGGAATCCCGCTTTCTATTAACAAAATACGTAGTCTTTGGGAAGCCCTTTCTGTTGTATCACAGAAGTGGTCATTCCCCACAGCCCTGTTCTGGATTGTTGGAGTTATTTGGCTCTTGTTTTTTTTTTTTTTTGGGGGGGGGGTGGAATGAAAGACACGTGGGTTGAAAGAATCCCCGATCCTGGCAGAAAAGGAGTTGCGAACTCGGAGCTGTGAGCTGCGGACATATTAGCACGTAGTTCTACGACGCGGTTGAATAGGGGTTACAGCCCGGCCACTTCAATAGTAAATGGGTTAGCTCTGGGCTCTGGACCTCTAAATCTTGGGGACCATTCATAGTGGCTGGTTTCCCTTAAGTTTCCCTTAAATTTGCCTTTCAACCACCAGCAAAGCGGGTGCTCCGACCAAAGTGTTTTGCATGGCGGACAACCTTTCGGCTCCCAGCCATGAGCGAACAGTGCCAGTGGCTTTACCACGTGATCGGCACATCATATTGTTGGGGAAGGCTTGCCTGGTTTGTGTCGTGTGATGCAGTGAGGAGTACCAAACTGTTGCAACATGTTCCGGCTGGCAAGGTGGAGGCATGCCCCATGTACAGGCCAGTGAAGCTGCCTGTTTCTCGTAGTCGGATTGTGCAGACAAAGTCCCGTGGCTCAGGCACCAAGTTCAACAACCCATTGGTCACCAGCTATGGCGTCAAGGCCTGGGACGGCCATGTTCCGGTGGACCTAGGGGTCAAGGCCAGGCGACGGAGGGGGCGGCGGAGGGGGCTTAGCTCGGCGATGGGATGCCAGGAGGCGCCCTGGCTGCTGCTTTTTGCGCAGGGGGAGCTGGTCTTCAGCAACCAGACTGCAGACGGTGGTTATGGGGATCCACATTTTGGAGGTCCGGATCACTTTTGAGGGGGAACACCAAAGGCAATGGTATGGGAGTAAGGCAATGTTACTCGGACAGTACTAAGACCTAGCCGAGCATTCAAGGTCCGGGCGGTTGAAATACCCCCGAGGAACCCCCCGCCCTCCACCGGAACCGCTCAAGCTGCTCCGCTGCTCCGTGGCTACTTCCGGTGAGGGGGAACATGCCGGCCCACCATTTGCCTTCCCTCGGGGCTGTAAGTTAGATGTGTTTCTGGCGATCAGGCAAAAGGCGCAAGGCAGTCTCCCCTTCCTCCCCAATCGGGCTTGAAACGAGACTGGTGCTTGGAGCACGGAATCAGGGCTGTGCTGTGCCAACCAGACACTTGAGAAGCGTTTTTGAGGAAGCTCGAGAATCCCGGTCCTGGTCGGGCGGCGTTGCAGGTTGCGAGCAACTCCTGCTTTGGTTGAAGGACTCTGACCAGCGCTCAAGTCAATTTTGCCAATGGAATTAGCAGCTCAAGCATATTTGCGTCTCAGGTGAAGGCAGTTTGTGCATGGTAGCGGATGCCGTTGTGAGGTTCTGAACCACTTGAAGCTGAAATCGAGGAAAATATGGGTAAACCGACGGTTTCACTACAGGCTGGGCCTTACTCGTGCGGCTCTTCCATCCGAATGCTGTGCTACATTTCAACACGTGGGAAAGGCCCAACATTCCAAAATGCTTGGCGTTGCTCTTCCTGCCCCTTCCTTCCAAGCCCAAAAGCGCCGCTTTTTCTGGGCCGATGTCTCGCCGCCAATCGGTCCACACCTCCTTTGGGTAAATCCAAGTTGGAGCCCAGGCAAACCCAAACCCCATGGACCGCCAAAGGGGCTGAACTACCCAAGTAGCCCCAAGGGAAACCCAAACCCCACGACCCCCATGGACCGCCTTTGGCTGAACTACCCAAGTAGCCCCAAGGGAAACCCAAACCCCACGACCCCCATGGACCGCCTTTGGCTGAACTACCCAAGTAGCCCCAAGGGAAACCCAAACCCCACGACCCCCATGGACCGCCTTTGGCTGGACTACCCAAGTAGCCCCAAGGGAAACCCAAACCCCACGACCCCCATGGACCGCCTTTGGCTGGACTACCCAAGTAGCCCCCCAAAAAAAACCCACGTCCTCTCGGCGGATGTCTGCGAGCCATAGGCGAGAACCCCCAGGGCCCCCGCAGCGGCGGCCTGGGCTTCGCGGCGCGGCTCAGGCGACCCCGTCGAAAGGACCAACCAGTTGGGATAAAAAAGCTCAGGGCACCTTTTCAAGGGAAACCAAAAGGACCACCGTCTTTGGAGAGGAAGAGCTCCCAGTTGGGATGAGCGAAATCTCTCGTCTTTTGATATCCATAGATTTGTTCATAGCTGCGCAAGACGTGTTTCTTCATCCAGAGTGTTTTCGAGCTTCGATCTGAGGTCTTGTGGCGTCTTTGGTTACTTTGCAGTCTCTTGAGTTGTCGGCCGGGCGAACAACATCTTTTGATAGTGGTGAATCCTCTCCAGATGGCTCAGCGTGGCAACAGCAAGGGGACACGGAGAACTGCGACATGAGTAATGTTTGATTTAATCTGGCTGAAGAGCAAACAAGCATTTGAGTATTTGCCTGGCCAACCTGAAGCCATTGAGGTCGCGTAAACTGCAATTTCTGTTGGACAGACCGAGCTTGACTGCAGAGTACGTGGCCCCTTTCAGTTTGCCAATTTCTTTGCTGTGATTCGGCAGATTCTCGGACGTTCTGCGTATCATCCCGACCAGGAATAATTTTCTGGAACATGGTATGGATCCAGAATTCGTAAGAGTTTCCTCCATCCGTGGCTGCGGCTGCCTTGGATTTTGTCCATGCACAATGGTCAAAGTTATTCGGAACCCACCGCCCCTGCCCACAGGTACTTGGCCTTTGCTCAGCCCCAGGCGAGGTCCTTAGTGAAGTGGCCTTGCAGAGTGGTGCTTTTTTCCAATGAAAGCGGAGACTATTTCTTGGAAACCAAGCCCAGAAAGGGGCCCGATGGATGCCGCGCCGCGAAACGGTTGGGAGTTGGTTTGCCTTGTTGCCGTGGAGTTACATCGCCAGTAAGACATGTGGGGATTGATCAAAAGGTCCCTCACATGGGGTAACCCTTAGGGAAACCGCCCAAAAAGACGACTTTCACCACTAAATGGGAAAGTGGCCCATGGTCATATTGATCACCCTCCATGTGTACAGGTTGAACCAGGGCATGGCCCGCAGATGCAAGGGGCATTGAGGGAGCGATCTTGCTGTGTTCAAATCACCGAGGGGCGGAAAGCAAGGAGCTTACCCAAAACAGGGTAGTGCTTGCAGGCCCAGATCCGCTCGAGGTTTTTTCCCTCGGTTTTTCAACCTCTGCAACTAGGGTGATAAACCATCTAGCGATGACTCCCCAGACGGGCCTGGGTGTGTGGCTCCTTTAAAGTGTTTCCTGTCAAGACCAGCCATGGGGGGGTCCATGTTCCCTTGTGTGCCAACTGCAGCAGGAGATCCTCCCTTGAGGTATGGGGATCGATTCCGAGCATCGGACCATCTAGATCAGTACACCAGTCCACTTGGAACCTATCAGGGGCATGGTCTTGTTTCTCAGAACCTGGTTTCCCCACAATGGGCGCATCTAACTACCAGAAAAAGAGAGGAAAAAAAAACAACCAGAAAAAAACTCCATCTTCCCATGGCTTCCGTTTGAAGCTGACCTTTGAACCCCCCTTCCCCAGAAACGGGCACCGTGGCTTCCGCTTTTGGGAGGTCCTGATCGTGGAGCCCGTGGCGAACCCGGGCTCCATGCAGCTGGCGGCGCAGCAGAACGCCCTGGAGCTCCTCGTCGGGGGGCTCCTCCATGTCCCGTTTGGAGCTCCGGTTCCCAATGCGATGATGTTCATTCCCGAAAAGAAGGACCAAATCGGAGATGTGTTTGGAAGGCTTTTTTTTTGATACACCCTGTAGGTCCCTGGGATGGATCTACTCCGATGCAGAAGGCAAATATTTATTGAAGAGGTAAATTACCACATGGAATTGCAAGCAGTGCTTGGTTCCAATAGGAACAAGTTTAACTGTACCACAATCAGCAAAAGCTGGGTAGCCGCATCTTCAGGGTGTCCCATTGGAGAGGGAGTTTTTCGCGTTTGGGGAAACGCCAGGTTTATTCATCCGGGGTCAACATCAGCTGTGCGGGAGGTTCTCGCTCGGGTTTTACAGGAGCTCTCGAATTGCCCAGCTTGCTCTGATGACGATTTTTCTTCCAAAAAGGACTGATCGAAGACACACACACACAACCCCTTCTCAGGTTTCTTTAGCAGTGCCCAGCTGGTTATTCACGGGGAGGGGGGGGGGATCCCAAGTCCCAACTGAATCAATGTCTTCAGGCGTGCCTTTCACATGTTGCAAAGGTCTAGCGGTGGCCTCTTCAGAGCGAAGAGCGTGGCAACCCGGTTGCAGATGGTCAATCTTAGCTCGAATTCGTTGGAGCACGCCGTTCTTTTTTCTTTTTTTCTTTTTTTTTTCTTTTTTCTTTTCTTTCTTTCCTTTCATTCTTTGTTTGTTGTTCTATTTCTGTATTGTTTCTTTCTTTCTTTCTTTCTTTCTTTCTTTCTTTCTTTCTTTTCTGTCTGTCTGTCTGTCTGTCTGTTTGTCTGTCTGTCTGTCTGTCTGTTTGTCTGTCTGTCTGTCTGTCTGTCTGTCTGACTGGCTGTCTGTCTGTCTGTCTGTCTGTTGGTCGGTCGGTCGTTCTTCCTTTCTTTCTTTCCTTCCTTCTTTTCATTTTTCTGCTCTTCTTTCAGTTTTTTTCTTTTTCCGTTCCTACTCCTTCCTTGTCTTTCTCTGTCTTGACTTTCTTTCTTTCTTTCTTTCGTTCTTTCCTTGTTTCCGTTTGCCTTCTTTCTTTCTTTCTTTTTTCTTCTTCTGTTTTTCCCTTGTTTCCGTTTGGGAGAAAGTGAAACAGAACAAAGATATGGGTAGGGGAGAGAAAGAGAGAGAGCGAGAGACAGGTGAAAGAAAGAAAGAAAGAAAGAAAGAAAGAAAGAAAGAAAGCCATTTTCCTCCACTTTCTTTTGGTATGTTTTTGCATTTTGCTGCTCTCCTCCACATATTCTTGCGCATGCCACAGAATTTGGGTGCGTTCAAGCTACACCAAGCACACCACCTTGGCTTGCTGCCAGTTGCAATGTTCTCCTTGGAGTCTTAAAGTGGTAATCAAAGATGCCAGGCTGCTGGCTCAATTGCTGCAGCCAAATGCAGAATCTGTTCCAGCTTCGACTTTGAGAGCGGCCTTGCACTCCTTACTCTCATTGCACACCAGTAAACCAACCGGCGAGTGGGGGGTGGACATTTCAAAACAGTGAACAAGGAAAGCCCGCGCATTTCTGGATTAGTACCAGCATGGTGGCGCGCCTTCTTTCCTCTTTTGCCTCTCTGCATGGGTGAGTGCTGCGGCCTACAGTGGGTTGGAACATCAGGAGACTTCGGCTGGACTGCAAGTTAGGTTTCTAGCTATATGTATATACGTGTGTATCCTTATATATATATATACACATCCAGCTAGTCAATATCTGGCTAGAGTTTGACAGCTAAATCAGCTAGGGCTAGTTGTCGGCTAGTTTTAGCCAGTGAGCTAGACAGCGAGTTAGCCAGTTAGCTAGGTAGCCAGTTAGCCAGTTAGCCCGTTAGCTCGTCTACTAGCTATTGGTAAGCTTGCTAGTTGCTTAACTAGTTATCCAGTTAGCAAGCTGATTAGCAACCTAATTAGCAAGCTAGTTAGCACGCTACTTAGCAAGTTTGTTAGCAAGTTAGCTAGCAAAGTCGTTAGCAAGGTAGTTAGCAAGGTAGCTATTGAGATAGCTAGCTCCCTGGCTAGTTAGCAAGTTGATCAGTCAGATAGCAAATCATTGAGGTATCAGGTTTGCGAAGTATGGACCAGACGCAAATCTCACACACACGATCTTGGTCGGGGGTAAACGCCGAGATAGCTTTATTAGTTTCGAAACAAGGCACGTTGCCATTCCAACAGTCCGGTTGTGTGATGGCTCTCACAGGTGGTTTGCACACCTGCGAAGGAGAGCCGAGTTTCGACCATGATTGGCCGTGCGTTTCTGCGGCATTTTGGCCCAGTCATCCACTTTAATGACTCACCCAGTCAATTCCGGGAATTGGCACCGCGTCTAGCAACTCACCCTGGAACTCACCCGCGAGGTGAACAACTTCCAGCTTCAGCTGCAGACCCAGGAGGTTCTGAAGCGTGCAGGCCCCAAAGGGAGCAATTCTGCGACAGCTTGAGGGTGCTAGAAGGATGCATTTGGGGTGTCTTTTTTATCGAAGCCAAAGGGAACCCTAATTTTTTACTCGTGCCCATTTGGCCAAGAACCACATGTACCGCCTGATTTCGAGGATGGGGGAATGATGTGATTTCGAGTGCATTTGTTGAGAAAAATCTGTTGATCTCCCAAAGTTTGCCGTGGCCGGCGCCGGTTGGCTTTTCGTATTTTCTGTTTCTGAAACATCAAGGGCGAATTCATGCGTGCAGATCTGAATCTGTTTTTCAAAATCAATCCTCAATCCTTCCGCCAGATGGTAGTGTTCCCTCGAAGTGGTGTCGCTCTACGGAGTGGTGTCGCTGTCAGATTGCAAAGGATTTGGGATCCCCCCATTTTTTCACGGCCTATCAAAGCTTTCATCACCGTGATTGGTGTCCCTTTAATCCCAAACCAAGACACAACAATGGGTGCCCGAACTCCGCCGGCGGTCTTTCTTACCCTGAACAAGGGTTGTATGGATTTGTCTCCAGGGGAGCCCTCCATGGGCATTGGCTTCCCTTGAGCATTCTTTGGACAAGCTGAGAATCAGGGCATTCCCGGAGTAGGTTTGCCGACCTCTTGCTTCCGCCGAGTTTCGCTTTTGGGCGCTCACTCAAGGTCTGGGTCTTGAACGGGTTTCGCCAGGCTACAGCTTTGAACTCGCGGTCACCACCACCGACGCCTTGCGCCTCAGCGCCTGCGCGAACCCGCCCTACGGCGTTTTGCTTTGCAGCTCGCAGGCGGGAGCAGACTTGGGCGGCAAATGGGTTTGTGTTCCCCACCCCTCCCAAAAGAAAAAACAACACCCAAGAAAAAAAAAAACGAAGGCAACTCTGTGGGTTGGGTTCTCGTTTAGTTTTCTAAGCACGAGGGGGAGGGGTACTTGGTGGAGGCCAGCTTGAAGGGTACCGAGTCTGCAACATACTGAAGGGTTCTGGGAGGGGGGGGCTAGTGATTAGCCCTAATACAACCCTCCCCCTCCTGAGGGCAACCAAAAGGAGGATGTCAAACACATGGCTTTTAAAGGATACGCAGGCATTTGGCCCAGAAATCTCGGATGTGGGCCTCCCGTATTTTCTGTCTGGGAATGCTCTAGCAATTTGCCGCTGTGCTCACTTTAGTCACCCAGGCCCACTAAATTTAGTCTGGTCGGTTCAGAGCCCGGCAAGACAAGTATGCTCAACCAGGACTCCGACTCTTTTTCTCACGTTCATCCACAGTTCATCCACTGTCAACCCCAACGTGCCTGGTCTCTTGCACGGAATCCAGCTCGGGTGGCCATGAAGCCTGGAAAGTGGTGGACACAAAACCCAACCTAAATGATGTCCACCAGAGGGTCCCGAATGAAAAATCGCCCAGGTCAACCAGTCCGCCCATGTCTCCAAGTCGACGAGCTCCGCTCCGCTTCTCGTCTTGCCGAGGTGAGCGCTGGGGCCTACTCAGAGCTGGCCCTGCGGATGCGGCAGCGGAATCCGCAGCTGCTGGCCTCTTGGCGCGTGCCAACCAAGACCCTCGCGTAAATGGGGGGTGGGGGGCGAGCCACAAAACTTACTTCTTAAAAACACGAGACTTTTCAACTTTTCGGGTAACATGGGCTATATGTGTGTAAAAGATTAACTTCCCCAGGGCTTCGAGTTTTAAGGGGTAAGAAAATGGTGGACCCTGCTTAAAAGGAATCTCCAACCTCCCCCCTCTTCGGTTTTTGGAGAGCTTCGAATCGAAGCCTTCAAAGAATCCCTGTGATCAGCTCCTGGAACTGAGGGTCTTTGGCTTCCGGTGTTCTGTGGGGGGGAGTGATTCGTAAGGGGCCCTCCCTCAACACAGAACGGGAACAGGGGGGGGTCAATAGCGAAAGACCTAAAAACAGCTTGGGGGTCGGGCCTACTCAAGTAGTCTTTCACAGGAACTACTGCTTCGAACTGTTTTGTATTGCTTTGAGAAAGTATAGAACTCGGCCACCTGGGGAATCATGTTGGGCAAACTTTTCCGACTTGCCTGCCCATGTCCAATCGCTACCCGCCATTCGAGCTACCTGCAGAAATTCTTGTTTCGCTTTGACCAGCTTCGCTAAAAGCCTGGATCATAGAACTTTTCCTAGGACCCCCCAAACGCACCCCCAAACACACCTCCAAACATGGCCTATTTCAGTCTTTCCCATGTGTTTGGGGGCTGGGCGGTTGGAGGGCCTGCGAGGCTTTCATTTGCCATGATGGCAAAGCGCTCGGCGAGTTGGACGACGCCTTGCAGAGCGTGGTGCGGGAGAAAGAGCTGGCGCAGGGCGTGCTCTGGTTGACTGATGTCTGCCAGTGTTCTGGGAACGGGGGGGCTTGTCTGGGTTTATAGTCAAGGTTTCACAACCCTTTATAACCATTGAACAGTTGAGAGGGGCCCCAAAATCTTTTTAGGGAAGCACCCTCCATATTTGTCCGGCAGGGTGATGAATCCGAGGTTTACTGCTAGGTCTAAAGCGCCATCCGCAGAATTACTCGAGCTAAACTGTTTTAAAGGGAAACCACCAGACCCCAAAGTTGGGAGAACCACCTGCACGTTCCCAGTTTTCTCTGCCCATGCCTTTGTGTGTCATTGCCGGTGGGCCGTCGTTTGTTTGCCGAGATAAGGTCTATCAGAGCCCCGTTTTGTGCGGAGATGGTCCCAACCCCGCAGCTTACGCGCGACTTTTGCCATCCCCTGGGCTTTTTTAGCACATCCCCTGGTCGTTCCCATATCCCCTGTGTTAATTGGGTCCCAAAAAGGGCCACAAGTCATTCGGAGAACCCTCAAACTGCCTCACTTGGCTGTGAGTGGTACCATTTTGGGGTAGATGAATTCACCACCGATTTTTTGAACCTATTGTAGTGGTTGGATTGGTTGATGTTCACTGGGGGCTAACCGATTTGGATTTTGACCCACCGCTTTAGGGACCCACGGTTCCCGGAACAAAAAAGCCGCGGGATTCGGCGAGTCAGGTGATCTATCGGCCCATCACGAAGAGCTCCTTCCTGCGTTCCCTACGTGGACATCCCGAAGCGGGCGTCCACTACCCCACCTGCGGCGTGGTCAAGGAAGACCTCGTGGAGCTGCTCAAGAAGAAGCTGAACAGCTTCTAATGGCAAGCCCGGAATGACTGGTTGAACAGGGATTCACTTTTGGCACCCCTATGAAATGACTGGTTTAATAGAAAGTGGGTTCCATTTTAAGAGGGAATCCCTTCACTTTTGGCACAACCCCATCCTATAAAATCTGCCGAGTCAATCAATCCGGGTCGACATTTGTAGATAGGAAGTTCTTGCACAATCTCATTATCTTATTAGCTTAACTGGCCAGTCAACTTCTCCACGTGCCGCTTGAGCACGTATGGATGACTTGGCCATTGTCAGTGCGAGGCTTCAAAGGTAAGCCACAGCACATGTTTTGCCGCACTTGTTGCCTCTCTTGCCATCTAGGTCAATTTCAAAGGTGTTTCTGCAGCAAGCAGCAAACAGGTCAAGCCAAGGCAAGCGGGGCAAGCTGTGACTGCTTGGTGGTTCAGGCATCCCGAAGGGATTTGCCCGGAGTTTAGCATTTTCTCGCCTTGATGAGCAGAGCATTTCTTGAGGTGGACTCCGTTTGCGACAGCTTGCTGAACAAAATGGGGAGATCTCACTGCCAGTGGATAAAACCTACAAGCCAACGAGAAGCCCCCAAGGCCGATCGGCCTTGGGTGATAGTTGCCCTTAGCTACGCCTCTCCCCACCGTCAGCCACCGGAACGGGCGACGTCATGTTCTGAGCCCCAAGCCAGCGCTCCGATGAATGGCCACCAGTATACTCTGCAAGACATTTGGCCAAGCAAAGCGAAATGGATATCGTTTGAAGAAATGGACATCATTTGGCCAAAACATGTCTACAATCCCGAAGTGTCCTCCATGCGAAAGTGGGTTGTGGAAATTGCTTACGTCTGTGATACCACTGGACGGCTTCCCAATGACAAATTGAGGAGGTTCCCTGCCACAGCAGCCAGCTGAACCCGTCCTGAGAAACTCTCCGATCCTCTGAAGTATCATTCCCTCTCTGGCCGTTTTAGGTGGTTCGAGTTCAATGGAGCCGCAAATGTTGGTATTCAACCCCACTGGGGAACCCTGAAGCATCCTGAAGCTAGGTTCATCCATGTCCGACTTCGAGGCAAGCCGGAAGCAAACACCTCCCATCCAAACTCGGGGAACGAGTTAAAGCTAAAACCCCTGTGTTCATGCAGGTGTGGCTCAAAATCAAGCAGCTGATTACGCAGGTTTTAGTCGTTGTTTCATATACCAGGTGTCATTTTGGGTACCATGTTTTGAGCCTCAGCCATTTGGCTGTGGGTCAAAACCAATGGTATCCCATTTTGGGGTAGGCGAATGCACCACCCATTTTTGAACCTATTTTAGTGGTTGGACTGGTGGATGTCCACCCATTTAGTTGGTTGATGTTCACGGGGGGCTAACCGATTTGGATGTTGAAAAGCCCCTGGCCATCGGCTCTTGCGACGCCTCACCGCCCCTCCCCTCTCGTCTCGCCCGAGGCTCCGAGCCGGCGCCGGCGCCGCGCCAGGTGAAGCCGCCGGTGCCCAGGGCGCGCCTGCCGGCGCCGGGGAAGCTGGCGCCCGGGAGTCCAAAAAGACGGGGGTCGTTTTGGCCGTTTGCGTTTCTTCCGTTTTGGTTTTGGCGCCTCTTAAGGTGACCATGATCATGGCCAGTTTAGGTTCGACCTGGCTTAGGGGGTTGGCTTGAGGAAAAGAACCTTGGAACTATGGCCAGTTTAGCAGGTTGTACTAGTTGGCGGGGGTATAGCATGTCCGTTTTGTGTGACCTACAGTAACCATATTGCTGGAGCCGGCAGTCAATGGGGTCGAATGTCCTTCTGTGACAATGCTTCAGTTGCACGAACTTCCGAGTCTTAGCTGCAAGAGTCTGTCTGCAAGTTTCTTTGCGAAGATCTGGGCGTAGGTTTCTCTGCAAATTCTTTGTGCAAATTTATCTGGCAACTTCTCGGCTCAAACTTCTCTTCTCAAGTTTGTCAATGCAAATTCTCGATGCAAGTTTCTCTCCGCAAGCTGTCTGTGCAAGTTTATGTGTGTGTGTTGGTGTTTTTTTTTTTCTTTTTTTTTTCTCTTTTTGTTTTTTTAATGTTTCTTTTCTCGCGCATGTTATCGATGCAAGTTTCTCTGGGAGAGCTCTCGGTGCATGTGCTCTGCGCAAGTTTCTTTGCGCAAGCTCTATGCAAGTCGCGCGCGCAAAGCAAAGAGTCTCGGAGATCAACAGTTATTGCACCTCGACCACGCCGATCCCCGCAGAGGGCCGCGCGCAAATCAAAACAGAAGGGCCCCTGATGGGGGGTGGGTTTTCGAAACACAGGGATTTGGTAGTTTTTGCATATGTTTCGTTGATACTTTCAAAAAAAGGAACCTCGAGCCCTCCCCCCTCCCAAGAAAAAAGAACAACAAACAAACACACAAGAAAACCAGACCCTAACTCAGCCCTCATGACTCATGGATCATAGGGTCTGTTTTTGCGGTTTTCTCGAGGTGTTTTGCTCTTTTCCAAAACAACTAAAAACCTTGAGAAAAACAAAAGCAGAAACGCACAATTTCAGACCCTAACTCAGCCAGCATGGATACTCGAGGTTTTTTGCACTTTGGCAAAGAAACCTCAAATGACTCGAGAAAGCCAACAAATCAGACCTTAACTCAGCCAAAGCATGGATACATAGGGTCTAAGGAAATGTTGCTTTGTTTTTGTTGGTTTTGGTTTTCTCGAAGTTTTTTGCACCTGCCAACCGCAACAGGATTCTATTCAGTTTAATTGCAAGAAACAGCCAGCGTGTCTTTCGTTACCAGATTCTATCTAGATTTCCACTAACATCTACTTAAACTTCTAGATACTTGCAAAGGACATCCCATTTAAATTCTGATTCAAACTTATAATTGTAGTGGATCATCTTAGCAGAAACAACCAGCTTGTCTTTCCTTACTAGATTCTAGTTGTATTAATTTGTAATGAAGTTCTAACTAAGTTCTAATTAAATTTGCAATCACATCCTACTTGGAAAGGAATTCCCATTTAGTTTTGGAAGGAGTTCCTATTCACAATCTACTCAACAGTGACAAATCATCATCAATTTCTAATTGAACGCATAGAATCAAATTCAAAGTTCTAATTAACTTTTAATTGGAATCCTGCTTGGAAGCGAAGTGTGAATTGATATCCAAATCCAAAAAAGACAACATGAATTGACTTCTAGTCGAAATCCAATTTAATGTAAAGCCTCGCAGTGTAAACCTTGTAAACAATTGTATCGACATCAGCCTTTTTTTTTCATTGGATTTTTACGTTTGTTTTCACTCCTTTTCAGGGGCTTGCAAATTTTAGAAGAAGCAACAAGCTTCTTTTTCCTTACTAGATTCCCAATTAAAACCTGGGAAGGGACACCTATTCAGATTCCAATTCAACATAACATAGTCATTTAACTTGAACCCTAATTTATACATGATTCAAACTTAAAGCGTTGCAATCTAAAACTTGTAAACCAACAGAATTGAAATTGCATTTCCCTGCTAGTCTCTCCTGTTAAAGAGCAGGCAAATTAGCAGGAACGACCATTGCCTGCATAATTCTGAATCTCTGTCTGCCTAAATCTCACATCTGGGGCTGAAATTGGCACTTTTCATGGTTTTCAAAACATGAGTCGCACACGTCATCAATTTGTGCATCTTGACCATGTCGATCCCCGCAGAGGTTGTCATTTTCGCAGGGTGGGTTTGGTCCGCTTAAAGGAGCACTTGCAACAAGCTCGGTGTTTCTTGCTCTTCATGTGCGCTCCTGCTACTTGCTCTTCATGTGCTCTCCTGCTGCTTGCTCTTCATGTGCTCTCCTGCTGCTTGCTCTGCAAATGTTCTTGTGCTACTTTCTCTGCATGTGCTCTTGTGCTACCTGCTCTGCATAATCTCTTGTGCTGTTTACTCTGCGGGCACGATCCCGCAACTTGCCCAGCATGTGCTCTGGGACAAGGCTGGCAATTTTTTGCCAGGAACTCATTGCAATGCTGCCGGCAACATGTCCCCGAATATGCAGGTTTAGGCTTGAACTCGGGAACCGCGAAGACGGGAACTCGAACATGCGGCACCTGGAAGTTGCTAGGGAAAGCACAAAACCCACCCCGGCGGCCCGGCATGAAGTTCAACCCCCCCCCACTCCCAATGGGGCCCAGACAGTGCCCAACTTTGCTTTTTGGGAGAAATTCGTTCCCTTCAGAATGTGCCACCAAAACGGGGGAGCACTTTTCCCCCCATGGCCACTGGAGGTTTCACTGCCCATTCAGGGCAAGCACCCCTCCTCCCAACCAAAAACGGGCGTCCCCTACAGAATCGCCCAAGACCATTGAAATGCACTTGCGGGAGGTGAATTTACCTGAGTTTCAACCATTTTCCCTATGGTCGGACTGAGCATCCGCGACGGGAATCTGGGGACCAGCCGCCCACTTTGGGCGGCTTTGCTTCGGATACGCGCATCCGAGGTGCTGCTGCTGGACCACCGGGAGGTGGGCGCGGGCAAGGAGCACGCGCTGCGGGGCGCCATGCTGGCAGAGCTGCAGAAGAAGCTGCCCGGCGCCGTCGAGGCGAGACGCGGGGAGGCTGTAAGGCTCTGGTCGCATGTGGGGGGTGGATGGATATTCTTTTTTGGGTCCCCAAATGACCATGGAGAACTTTGTTTATATCGTTTTAGTGGGTTTCCCCCAAATGGCCATGGATAACTTTTCCCTTTTAGTGGGAAATATCATCTTTTTTACAAAGATATAGTCGATTTCCCCCAAAAGGCCATGGATATTTTTCCGATTTAGTGGGACATATCATCTTTTTGGTGGTTTCCCCCATGGTCATCCCATGTAAAGAACCTTTTGATCAACCCTTTATGTTGAGAGTGGAATTCAAGTTTTATAACTCGAATTTCAAAATCCGAATGGGAATCGTGGAATTGGGTTCCTTTGCTCCCAAATTCCAGATTCGTCGTTGGAAAGTTACGGTTTTGAGGTCATGGGTCATAGTCCTTGTGGGATGTTTTTCCTTTTTTTGGTTTTCTCCGGCCGTGTCTATGGTGGCCATGATCCACCAGCGGAGACTCGGGCCCCAAGGTCTGAAAAGGGTAGGGTCATTCTGGGGAAGTCTTATGGCATTCCTATGGCCTGACTAAGCCAATGACAAGGCCTCGTGAAGTTTAGGAGGCCCTTTTTGTTGTTGGGGCAGGGGGTTCCTCTGTATTTGTGGGTACCCTTGCACCCTTTTGTTCGAATGATATATTATATTATATATATATATATCCTTTTTGTGGTGGGTTACTTTCGAGGGAGACTGAGAGGCAAACCATCTCAGGGGCCAAGGGACTGAGAATGAGATGGGTTTGTTTCCAAGCAGGACGCCCTTGACAAAAGGCCCCGCTTCCAAAGTAAGAGTGGCCCTGGCTTGGTTTCTTCGCCGGCTTTTCACCTGATCCCCTTTGAAGGTTTGAAGGCCTGAGCAGAGGTTTTCTGGGGTGAGCTCTCTTGTGACACAGGCCCATGCTTGAGGCTACAGCTCTGTTAAGATGGCCTCCACTACCCCTCCTTAAGCTACAACCCCCAAAAGCCAGGGGTTAAATGGGATATGCAGCCGCTATGTAGCATAGCCACTTTATACAGGGTGTAACTAAACCCGGATTTCCCCGCGGGGGTAGCTTTGGTTGGGAGGAGTGAAAACCAGCTTACTGGAACTTCATTTGCTGCTTAAACACCGCGGCGGGAATTTGTTCATGGCTTTGCACCTATCTCTTGGCCCAATAGTTGCGCTGTGCTACCTTTGGAGCTGGATGATTCCATCAGCACGTGAGCAACAGATGAGATTCATGCAAGTCTCACGGTTGGTTTAGGGAGGACGAGAAGGCGGGCCCACCGATAATTTCAACCACCAAGGCAGGGGGACGTGACCCAATTTTCTTATGTCCTCTTGGGAAAGAGTCGTGATTTTGTCCGGCTGACATGTTGCACCAGGGTTGCAGTCTGCTTTTGGTCGCATTCAACACTTGGGCTGATTGGATTCCTTCTTGCAGGTGTGATTTTCTCTGCACTGTTGCTATGACTTTTGATAGGGCATCTTCTCAAAACTGGTTGTTGGGCATGAACCCCGCTTCAGATCCATGTTAGAACCAGGGAACCTCAGAATCGAGCCACGTGAGGAAACAAATCTGAGCCAAGGGACCGATGGACTGCAGCCTCCCGTTGGGCCCTTTTGCCAGGCTCGATCGCTGCCTTTGGGGGACATGATGTGGATCTGGCGGCACCAGGGCCTGGAGCCTCGAGCAAAAGTCGGAAAACCGATATGCCAACCGATTTGGCCATGGGTCAAAATCCAAATCGGTTAGCCCCCACTAAACATCCCAATCCCCACCAAAATAGGTTCTAAAATGGGTGGTGAATTCACCTACCCCAAAATGGTAGCATTGGTTTTGACCCACAGCCATTTGGGTGCCATCCATGGGGTGTGCCTTTTCGTGAAAACCGCCTTTGGGGTGGGGAAAGCAACACCATGCAACATGCTGGTTTGAAACAGTGTGGTTTGAGGCTTGAAACATGGTTTGCTGAATCTCCTGCCACCATGGGAGTATGTCAATGCGTTGAAATACGGGGACACCCAGATTGGATCCAGAAACCGGTTTGGAAGTGTGGCTTTTGTGGATCCACCCTGTAGGATATTAACAAAGTACTAAACTATTTATTACTCAAAGAGGACCAACAGAAGGAAAAACAGATGAAATCCACACGGATAGAATCCAGATTCGAAGAGTGCTCATTAAGTTTCCGTTTGAACCAACCTGGACGTATCACCTTCAAAAGTAGACGTTGGCTACGAGGAGGCCCGCGTGAGATCACAAGATCACACATACATACCTTGTTTGAAGGTTCCAAATGCTGTGAGGGGGCTCGTTCGTTTTTGCGTTTGCCAAACAAGGATGTAGAGACCACAAGATCACACAGACCATCTTGGCCTGGTTTCTCCAGTTTTGGTTGCCACGTTTAGATGAGTTCCTCTTGGTGGAGTGATGTTTAAGGGGACAATATGGGGGGCGCTGTTGGAATTCGTTTTTTCTGTTTCGGACGGAGAGCGGTTTGTGCATGAGGAGCTAGTGGCAGGGTGGATCGTGGAAAGGAAAACCTTCGTGGACCTTAGCAGCTCCATCATGGACGGACGCTACGAGGAGCCACTGAAGAAAGTCGCACGGGTAATGTGAAACCCAATTCGGCTTGGTTCAAATGGAAAGCACAAGGGACACCTCCATTTGACGGCAGACACACACAAATTGTGGCATGGACGAGCCTGGATTTAAGGTCTCAGCTGTTTTCGCGATTTCAGAACCCCCTAAGAATTGGAGAGGGGGTGTTCCCTTTGGCTTCTTTTGAAATGCCCACCAACTGGGTTCATTCATGTTGAGGGTTCTCAAAATCACTTTTGGGTGCTGGTGGTTTCCCTTTACACCTCCATTTAGCTCGGGTAATTTGAGGATGGCAGTTTCATGGTCCCAGCTTTGGCAGAGAAGAAGACCATCGAAGAGGTAGATTGCGCTTATTGTCTCCTGATGCTTTTTTGCAGTATGTAAGGGGTAAAGGACCCGTTCAACGGTTTCTAATAAACAGGGTTCGATCGCTTTGCGCCAAAGGATGTGTGAGGCCCCCGAAAGGGGCGAAGTGCATCGGGAGAGGGCGCAACTGGATTCTTTTCTGGTCCCTTGCGAGAATATGTTGGTCAGGAGCAGAAGGCCCGGCTGCTGGACGCGCCGGGGCTGGATGGCGTGGTGCTCATGGTGGAGGGCAGCGGAGCCCTGTTCGGCGTGGAGGAAGGCCTGCGGAGCGCACAACCTGCGTTGGGGCGTGCTCAAATGCGCGGGATGCGGGTGTTTCAGGTAAGCACACAGGGGGTGTCTTTCTTCCAGGGGCCTTTGCAGTGGTTTTCACGGGAAGAGGACGGTCAAGCACCAACCAAAACACCAAAGCAGTAAAAAACACATTCTGTGTTTAGTTTTTCCTTCTTTTTTTTTTTGGGGGGGGGGGGGCAATGCTTGGGTTGTTTATGCAAAGAACCCCTTTTGGTTAATGTCTGTGGGTATGCAACATTTCTTTACCGGTCCCCTTGAAAAAGGGAAACCGCCCAACCCTCTGCACGCAATTCGTGCAGACAAAAGGCTTACCTTTTTACCTTGTTGGTTGTCCGTTTCCTTTTAGTTTCCCTTTACGAAACCCTTCCGGAAAGTTATTTAAGGACTCCTCCCCCAAAAAGACACAAAACAAAGCACCAACTTGCTTGGTTTCCTTTTAGTTTCCCTTTGAACCGAACCTTTTTAGCGGACCCCCTACCGAAAAAATGGCCCTCCGTTGGGCCGCCAGGGGGTCGCAGCCCCGCCGGCTTCGGCGCGCGCCTGGCGCCGCGCCTGGGCGCCGGCACGCTGGCGAAGAGCGCCGCCCACACGCAGCTCATCTCAGGCGGTGAGGGAGAGTCGGAGAGTTGCGCAACCCAACTGAAGTGTTTGTGGGCTATGATTGCCCTCTTTCGGAATGGGTTCTCTCAATTAAAGTCTCCATCCCTACCAAACCCGGGTGAAAAACCATAAAACAAATGCGTATTCACAGCATAGGTGTCCTTTTAGGGGAAATAGGACCAGGTAAACCAGGAATCGCCATCTATTTTTCTAGCAAAACAACCAAAAAGGACACCTATGGAGGTGAGCCATTGGCAGCCCAACGGTGAGCATAGGTGTCCTTTTTGGTTGATTTGGTTGAGATTCCTGGTTTACCTGGTGGTTCAATCAACTACCAGGGAAATCCATCTATTTTCCCAAAAGGACACCTATGCAGGTGAGTGTTTTTTTGTTTTCCCCGCCCAAGCGAGCATGTATAGATGTTGACATATCACCAAAAAAAGAGAATACACACCACCAATCAGGTGCCTTTTTTGACTGGTAGCTGAATTGTCTAGATTTCTAAGGCTGATTTTGTAATGAAGCCCTGGTATGAAACCCCAAGTTTATGGGTGTTTTAGCTGTTACTTATGGCTTAGTTATGGGAACTCAGGCCCGCATATGTGCACTTATACAATCAGCCTTTGATTTTCGCAACCTGGTTGTTTGTGCAGAATACCTGTTTTGTTGCAACCTGTTTTGCCCCTTTTTTTTGCAAAGTTGGATTGTGGATTTGCAACTTTGTTTATAGGGTATTGCCGGTATTGCTGCTTTATGCTGGTTTGGTGTTCTTGGCTGCAAAATAGCATTGTGTCCATGGTGGAGGCGGGGAAGCCCCGGGAGATCACGTCACATGCGATCTGAGGGAGACGGAAGGGCTTGCCGTTGGTCCCATTTTGGGGCCCTGTTTGGAGTTGGCGCTTTTAAAAGCGGGTTGGGCTTGCTTTTAGAAGGGAAACAGAAAGGAAACATGTTCTGGGGCCCCGGATGTTTTCGAGGGCTGCGGAACAGTGGGAGTTCACTTTTTGCGTATTGCGGCTTCGTATGGAATTCGATGTATATTGTTTGCACTGGCCTTCCCTCTGCAGTATCCTTTGGATTGAAGTACAGACGGTGATATCGTATCACTTCATTTGATAGAGAATGGTTCATCCTGATTGATGTAAACTATTATATAATTCTGCATTGTGTGTTGCTTACTCATGCCAAAGTAGTCATAGCCCCTTTGGCTACATCTTTCCTTTAAAGAACAATGCAGAGGTTTGGACAATGTCATAGCTTTGTTATTTTTTTAGACATTGAAGTGTTTTAACAGCTACACATTCCTCGTCTGAAAACACAAATGAAGTGAAAGTACTTGTGAGACAGTCAACTTACAATGATTAGAGTTTGACCGTGGTACTTTAGTCTTGGCATTTCTGAGTGCGAGCCCTTTAGCCTCGTCCAAACCTTGACCGCGCGAACAACACATTCAACACAGTCAAATCGACTGCCTAGATTTTCACGTCCGTGAAGCTGCAAAGACGTGTGTCATGCAGTTCGCTCACAGGACTCCCGTCAATGATGTTTTCTTTGCAAAGCAGTTAGTCCTGCATGTCAACATGGAAGCAAAGCACTCATTAGAGCGCAATCGTGGGTGTCGGGGGGCTCTTTTGTGGGTTCTATGTTAACTTGCAGGGAGACAACGCCTAGGGCAGGGCAATAGCCGCCAAGCAACCAGAGGAAGGTGAATGGGAGTTGAATCCGCCAGGATTCCACGTCCTCCACAGCGCTTCAACGCCCCACAGCGTGGCGCTGCTGGCATCTTTGCATGGAGTACTTGCGCAGCGCGCAGAGGGCGGCTGCGGGTCAGGAGGGGCGGCCACAGATTCCAACCATAGCCACGGAGGTTCATGGAACCAGCGTTGCTTACCTAAGGAGTAAAGGAGCATCATCTAAAGTGGGTCAACCACTAGGTTAATATGGGGCTTGAACCCTGGCAGTAAAATCGTCCCTAACGGATGTGATTTTCCCAGAGCTCACAACCAACACGGGTTTGTCTGTTGCGAGGGTCGCCCCTTTTTCGTGGTTTGAAAAGAAACTAAAAGGACAACTGCAATTATGGGGTCCCTCAAACGAGACACGCCTAATATCAGCGATTTTCTCGGCGTTTGCGTGCGTCTCTTCGGGACCATCAAAGACCCGGCTTTGAAGCTGAACAAGTGCCGACAGGAAACAAGAGAGAGCTGCAAGCCAAGCAAGTTTCAGCAGTACGTCAAATACGTCAACGACTTGGGCTGAATTCCCATGCCGTGCCATCCCATCCCTCCACGCCCTTCTAAGCTTGTCCAACCCAAGCCGCGTGTGTTTTTTATTGAATCCATAGTGTTGGCATTGCTTTGTAAGGCTAGCGGGAAGGGGAAACGGTTCAAGCCACGTGTTTCACTCACAGTGCACTTTTGCTGCAAACATTTGCTTAGCCGGTTTGCCTTCTTCTAAGTCAGGCAGACCACTTAACACCATGGGATTCAGCATAGGAACCGCATATTCTGGCTGTGGTTCATGTGGTGCAGCTTTGAACATGTCTCTGGTATCGGGCAACAACAAAAGGGCTCCCACAAGATAGAAAGGCCTTTGGACCCTGTTTTGTAGGGTTCTGAGAAGCATTCTAGAAACCATACTAAGTAGCCCTATTGCCCCTGTCAGGACCAGGATGGGTTCCCTACGAGGAGTTTGCAGAGCGCACCAAGAAGCACGGCCAGCGCCGTGTCTTCGAGGCAGCGAGTGCCGATGGATTGTGACTCAAGTAGCCTTTAAAAACTGCAGCTTCACGTGCCACAGAATCATACAGAATCAAGCAGTCATTGTCTGCGTCAAGCCATGGCAAAGGTGGGTTCACGAGGACAAGGATGCGATGATTTAAAAAAGAAGAAGAGAAAAACATGCATGCCTCAAATGGAGAGCTCCAACATGGGCGGCATCCCGACCCAGATATGCTGCGATCTGTCGCATGCGAGTGGCAGTCAGGGCAGTCACCCATTAAGCCAGGCGTGGCTGGCGGCTCCTTATGATCCTTTGCCATAGTTTTTGGATGGACCCCTTCAAGGTTCCCGTTGTTGATTGTGACTGGTAGATGGTCTTTTCTCCAGTTTTCAAATCCCAGACTTATTCTGTCCGAGGGTTTGTCTCCAAGCCCAAAATGGGCTTCGGTTTCCTTGGGTTGCACTCACGGCAGGCCTTCGGGCGCATGCTGCGCATGGTCCCCGGCTGCGGTGGCGAGACCACTGAGGACACACTCCAGAGCTGCACCGAGTCACGGTGGGTTGGAAGCCAAAGATACGAATGGCTCGCCTGGGTAATGTTGACCCCGGATTAACAAGCCCCTGGTTGATTCATAGGGGGGCGTCCCCTTTTAGTGGGGATTCAGACCACTTTTGGAGGGGAACACCCCCCTAATAATGGGACGGGTTTATTAATCCTGGGTCAACATTACCTATGAACTTAAACAACTAGCCGAACTTAAGAGGACATGAATGACCTGAATCGGGGGCCGACCCAAGTTTCTACAGAGCCCAGGGGTGGCTGGGAGGCCGGGCCCCAACCTTCCCATGCCCTTTTCCCATGCCCTTTTGGGGACATCACCTTGCCGGAGCCTCTGCTCAATTTTTCAGCGAGTGGTTGACAAGACTTCCAATGCCAAGGGACAAAATGTCAAACACACACTCACACGGTTTTCAGGAAACGCCAAAGCAAGAGATTCAGCTCACAGGATTTTGCACAGGTGTCAAATTCAGGGAGACAGTGGCCCATTTGAAGCAAGTATGTGATCACACTGCGGGCCCCTGCCGATCACTTAGAGCTTCTAGGCCAAATGCTCTCAGGCAACCGAGGTACTAGCCCCGCAGAGGTTTCTGTAGACGTGAACCTGCCCATGAGGCCAAGAAACAGGACATGGAGCACGGGCACTTGTGTTCAGCTCATTGGTCATTCCTTTCAGCTCATTGGATAGAAAACATATGACGAGTTGGCCAAGGCCAACTAAATATGATGTCTGGGAAAGTGCGGAAGGAGAAGAAGGGAAAAGAAGGAGTAGAAGGAATCAAGCAGCAGAAAGCAATCATGGAGCTCATGATGTTTTGTGCAGGTGGCGAAAGTCCAATGACAGGACTAGTCCGGCAAGTAGCTTTCCCGGAGCTGCGAGCGTAGCAACAGTTGCTGTTCAGGTTGGTTGAGTTGCAGTCCCAAGCAACCAGGGCCCTTTACGAAAGCTTCAGAACCACGCCTAAGCAACGCATTTCATGCGGGAAGACTCAGCAAGGAGACGTCAGTTTTTGACGAGCAACTGACGCCCCTAATAGATTTATCTTCATCCTAGCCCATGATGCTCAGCCTTGAAACGCTGACCGTTATGCCTTCCTGAACGAGCACCATTAGGATGTTTTGGACACACAGGACGTTGATCAGCCTGAAGCCTGCTCGTCGTGTCATGTCTTGCGGCGCAGGTCCTGGTGGATGAGTTTCAAACCCCGCAGGCTGGGAAAGCCAATGCGGAGAGCAGCTTGTGTTTTTGCGAGTTTGTACCCTTTTGGGGTTGTTTTTGAAAGAGAAACCAAAAGGAAACCACAAGTTTTGGGTCCTGTTCTTGACACATGCCCTGCTTGAGACAGCCATTGCCCCGCTTGATTCCTTGGTGCTAGTACTCTACCAGCATTGAGTCTCAGTGCAGGGGCAGTTGTCACCACAATTGGCGGTTTCGTAGGAAGAGACTTCTCCAACATTGTTTTATTCGCAGGATAGCCGATTCACTGTTTTGCGTTACAACATGGCTTCTTGGCCACAAGATGGCCGAGCTGAATACGTATTCTGTTTATACATATAGAGAGAGAGGGAACGGATTAATTCTATTTGATCTAGAAGTAAAAACACATGACCCCCGTGTCTGCTTGATGGATTCATGGTGCGTGCGGGAGCCAGCAAACTGCGCATGCAGCATCCCCTTCGCTTCCAGTTGCTTCTGCAAAGCGCCTTCAGACTGGATCACTCTGGCGGTTCATGACCCCATGCCCGCTGCGCAAGTGGTACGCGTCATTCAGGGGGGTAGGAGGGGCTCCGTAATGGATGACATTCTCCTATGTCGTAGACTTGTTTCCAATCAACCCGCAATGCGATTGTAACTATTTAGGCCCTTCTCCTGGGGGTGAGCCAAATGATGAGTACCCCTCTTGCAACGCGAATCTAGGGGGATAGCCACGCAGCGCTTGCCGGACCATCTATGCGGGGAATGGAGGGAGAAAGAGTATGAGTAGTCATTTAAGTGCTGAAACTGCTGGATTAAACCAACCCAGCCCAAAAGGAGTAGTCGTTTCAGTGTTGAAAAAGCCCATGGGTTTCAGCGGCTTTTTTTCACCACGATCTCCCCCACCCCACTTCCCGTTGGCCGCGCGTCAGGCCTTCGCCGCGGCTCTGAAGGACCACTCGGACGCTGAGCTGCTGAAGCGCCTGCGTGGGCAGCGGGGCGGGCGCGGGCGCGGGGTGACGCAGACGGCGCTGGCGGCGTGCCGCGCGCTCTTCGCCGGCTGAAGGCCGGGGGTGACATGAGCCGCCCAAAAGGGTGGGTCGCCTCTGGGGTTCCCCTTTGAAACCGAGCAAACAAGGGGTACCCTCACAAACAGAAGGTTCCCTCAAATGTGTTTGGCGGACGTGAATCCCCACCAAGATGATGTCCAGCAAAGGGTCCCCAATTAATTCATGACCACATGGATACGTAGACTGAGGGACCAATTGGCCCAGCTTTGCTCGAGCGACTCTGCCAAAGAAATGTTTTGGCTGTTCCAAGCCGCTGGGCACGCAAATTGCGACAAGTCGTGCAGCATTGCGGCAGGTGGAGCGAGGCTGCGAAGCTGCGTCCACCGCGAGCTCTAGTTTTTTTCAGCCACGTCTTGGACGGGCGCTGGGGCGCATTTGTTGCCTTCGAAGCGCGTTGCCTAAATTGCCTGAATTCATGTGCATGGCAGATTGGCAGGCGTCCTGGCCTTGCCAGGCGAGCAGATCCAGAAAGCCAGAGGGCTCGGGTGGTTGGGCCGTGGAGTTCCACAGCATAGGTTGTCCTTAGCTATGCCATTGGCGTGAAGTCGTGGCTTTGGGGACCAGAGGTCGAGGCTCTGCAGCTGTTGGCTCTCAGCTTGTATCGCTGGGCAAGCTTTGTGAAATGACGAGGCGGGGTCTGGTCCTGATGGGCAACATCCTGCGCTTGGAATGGACGCCCGACTGGATGAAACACCTCAGTCCAGGTGCAGGAGTTTGTCCATCCACTTAGAGGGTGTGCTGGCATGAGCGGACGCGACAAACCGGGATATCTTTGCTTTGGGCCCCTATCCGGTTTTGCAGGTTGGTGGGCATCGCTTTTTGGTTGGCCCCTATCGATGTCTCGTAGTACTATCGTCGGTTACTAGGTGCAGACGGCCTCGGGAATTATGTGACGCGCTGCCGGTTGAAGAATCTGCGTGTGTGTCAAATTAATAGGGGGACCCCCACCAGTGGTGGTTTTCCGTCTGGTTTCCCTTGAAACCAACCTGAAAAAAGGTAGCCCCCAGAAAGCCCGAACCCATCTACGGCCACTTCCCTGCTTCAGGCGTTTGGTGCTCTTTGCCACTGCTACCCTGGCTGCTGCGGACCGGGTTGTCCCATGGTCTCATGCTATGTTTGCAATGCGCAGAAATATCTGGCAAGCCTTTCTACTCTCGGGCTTGTGGAATTGTTGTATATGTACAATGACAACATGTGTGCGCACGATGTGGACACAGCTACGCGAGCACACATGCTACATCAATTGCACATATGTATAGGTATATACCCACAACGTGGACACTGAATCATGCTGTGTGTTGGTTGTTCGTTTGCAAACTAAGCTACCTTTCCAGCCCTTGGCAGCTTTTCTTGTCTTCGCTGCCTTGATCGTAAAAGGCCTGACGGATTGGATGTCAGGCCAGCAAAAGGCCGCATGGTTCATTGTTGGGAAGTCAGCAAGTGTGCAATGCGAGGGCCACTGTGGTGCCGATCACCGGAGATCTGGTGCCGGAGCGATACTGCTATCATCCCCATAGAAATCCCAAAACGGGCAGCAGCATCGCTTTCTTTGGGCATGCATCAAAATTGGGAACGCCAAAATTAAGTAGTTTCCCGTTGGTTTCCCTTTGAACCAACGCCCCATGTCAGGAGCTGTTTTGGTCTCAACATGGTGGATCACCCGTTTGGTTGGTTGATGTAGAAGCAAACCAACATGAAATCACAAGTGTTTTACACATATCCCTATTTTAGACAACACCCACCTCGACAAGCTCCAGCAGGACAGCTGGGGACTGCCAGATGCGCCCTCCCTGCGCGGCACAGCAGCGCCCACGGTGGCATCCACGGCATCCTCCAGCGGAGGCAAGGAGGCCAGGAGCGTTCTGCGTGGAACTCGGCTGTAGCAGATGCCTGGGGTGAAAACCTCCAATGAAAATAATGGTTCACAGCAATTTAGATGATGAAACTCCGGCCGGAGAAGCAATGGCGGTTCTACAAACCCAAATTGCTTTGGTTGGAGTCCCAGGAGACCGTTTACTCATCCCTTAAAGGATGCAGCTGCCTTTCAACAAAATCACCTTTAGCTGATGTAGAGGACCCCCCCGGTAAAGCAGGTGGTTTTTGGATGCATCCTTCAAGGAACCGAGTAAGTTGCAGTGGAAGTGTTGTCATCTTGACGCAGTCCCTGCAACACGTGTGTGTTTGCTTGATACCCTTTTCCAGCTTGGTTGTTCCA